TCTCTGGATGTAGGTGAACTACAACTCCCAAACTCAAGGTCAATGCCCACCAAACCCTTCCAGTGTGTTCTGTTGGTCATGGAAGTCCTGTATGCCCTGTTTGGTTGAATTCTATCATTGGTGGAGTTCAGAATGCTCTTTGATTGTAGGTGAACTATAAATCCCAGTAACTACAAATCCCAAATGTCAAGGTCTATTTCCTCCAAACTCCATCTGTGTTCATATTTGGCATATGGAATATTCGTGCCAAGTTTGGTCCAGATCCATCATTGTTTGAGTCCACAGTGCTCTCTGGATGTAGGTGAACTACAACTCCCAAACTCAAAGGTCAATGTCCACCAAACCCTTCCAGTATTTTCTGTTGGTCATGGGAGAACTGTGTGCCAAGTTTGGTTCAATTCCATCATTGGTGGGGTTCAGAATGCTCTTTGATTGTAGGTGAACTATAAATCCCAGCAACTACAACTCCCAAATGAAAACAAAATCAATTTTTTTGAGTGAAGGACATACATTGGACTGTTAGGTGTCTTGTGTCCAAATTTGGTGTCAATTCCCCCAATGGTTTTTGAGTTCTGATGGTAGCACGAACTAACATGACATTTTTATTTATATAGATGTGAGGACCAAACCAAACAGTTGTATTGCATTAAAAACAAACCAACAGGCAAATAGAAAAAACAAACAAAACACAGAGTTTGCAAACTTGGCATTCTATTAAATGGATTAGGAATCAGCTGGTTTTCCCTGTGAGTATTATAATACTGTAATAGGCAGTTAGAGCACCTAGAGCTTCAGAGAGCTTCTGTTCAACCATCTCAAAGCTCCCTGCTTGAGCTGTGATGGCACAATCGTCAGCATAATAAGAATAATAATAATAATAATAATAATACTTTATTTATTCCCCGCCGCCATCTCCCCAAGGGACTTGGAGTGGCTTACATGAGGCCAAGCCCAACAGTGCATTAATAAACAAAAGCAATCAACAAAAAAACAATAAATACAATACAATTAATATAAATCGCATATAAACAATAACCAATAAATAGTAACTCACAAAGATTTAAAAAACCTATGGCCAGGCCAAATGTAATAGTTTAAAAGTTAAAAAATAAACTCTGGGCATGAACAAGGTAGGATATAACTGGTATAGGGTTTCAAAGAGAGATGAGGGAACGCAATCAATCCTAAACCAGTAGTAAAGTGCATTCTGAGCGCATATTGCTGAGAATTTTCCTTATTCTGGGAAGGCACACCGGAACAGCTACGTTTTCAGGCTCCTCCTAAAGACTGCCAGAGTTGGGGCATGCCTGATGTCTTTGGGAACTGTCCCTTCTGGCAGTGGTTGGTCATTTGTGTAAATGTTAAACATGATTATTATATTATAATATTATAATACATTATTATTCCATATTAGTATTATATATTCCATATTATAATATTAATATTATTGACAGGCAGATTCGCCTGGCTTGTTCTGTTGAGTCATTGAGAGGCAGGCAAGGCTTGCGGATGGGATGCCCAGCTTTAACCTTTTCCTCACCGGGGCTGCTGGGTTGTGATTCCCATCATCCACAAATAATGATAACCCGAAGGGATGGGAATTGTCATTCGTTAGCATCTGGGGACCAAAATTGGATGCAAACTAAAGCGCTGCCTGCTATGCCTGTATATTCATTCCTGTTGTTTTTGTGTTGGGTGGCTGTATGGCTGTATGGCCATGTAATAATAATCTATATAAATAAAAATGTAATGTTCGTTTGTGATACCATCAGAACTCAAAAACCACTGGGGGAATTGACACCAAATTTGGACACAAGACACTTAACAACCCAATGTATATCCTCCACTCAAAAAAATTGATTTGTCATTTGGGAATTGTCGTTGCTGGAATTTATAGTTTATCTACAATCAAACATTTTGAACACCACCATGATGGAATTGATCCAGTCTTGGCAAACAGGACTCCCATGACTAACAGAAAATACTGGAAGGGTTTGGTGGGCCTTGATCTTGAGTTTTGGAGTTGTAGTTCACCAACATCCAGAGAGCACTGTGGACTCAAACAACGATGGATCTGGACCAAACTTGGCACAAATGCTCAATATGCCTAAATATGAACACAGATGGAGTTTGGAGGAAATAGACCTTGACATTTGGGATTTGTAGTTACTGGGATTTATAGTTCACTACAATTAAAGAGCATTCTGAAACCCACAAATGACAGAAATGGGGCAAACTTCCCACACAGGACCCCCCTTCACCAGGGCAAGAAAATGTAATCAGAGCCCTCCTGACAAAGAGCCATCCAGTCATAAATATAGATAGATAGATAAGATTCTCTCTCACACACAGATATAATATCATAGATTTGAAAGAGACCCTTAAAGAAGGACTATGATATGTTGCATATTCCAGAGTAGGCAAACCAGACACTCTCCACATCAACACTGACAAAGAAACAACAGAAATACTGTTTACTCACAAGCATAAAGGAATTACATATATTAGAAACCAACACTTCTCATTACTTTATTTTCCAGAATAGGGACCACCAAACGCATTGCGCAAACACGAATCAAGGAACATGAAAGGCACTGCAGACTACTTCAACCAGAGAAGTCAGCCATAGCAGAGCACCTGATGAACCAGCCTGGACACAGCATTTTATTTGAGAACACAGAAATGCTGGACCACTCCAACAACCACCATGTCAGACTACACAGAGAAGCCATTGAAATCCACAAGCATGTGGACAATTTCAACAGAAAGGAAGAGACCATGAAAATGAACAAAATCTGGCTACCAGTATTAAAAAACTCTAAAATTACAACAACAAAACAGCAGAGAGGAAACAACCAGGCACATCTTAACACCTCTCAACAAGAGATTTTCCCAGGCTCAGACAGGCCTTCAAATGCTAATGAAGGTGGTCAGTTGAAACATTCACACCTAGCTTCAGCAGATAAAAGCTCCAGGAACAATCCATCCAAAGATAAACCCTTAGATTTTTAAGCAGACCTCACTACCTCTTCAACACTGACAAAGAAACAAGAAGAAATACTGTTTACCCACAAGCATCAAGACATGACATATATTACAAAACCAACACTTTCTCATTACTTTATTTTCCAGATCACCAGACTGGGCCACAGCAACGCATGGCAGGGGACAGCTAGTTATTATTATTATTATTATTATTATTATTATTTTGTGATATGAAATCCAGCATATATATCTCATTTGCTGTGACATACTGTGTTTTTGTGTCAGTAAAATAATAATAATAATAATCCATTATTTGTAGCCCACCCTATCTATCTCCCTGAGGGGACTCGGCATTTTCTCCTTCTTGTTGTTGTTTGCCCCCTTCTCTCCCTTTGTACCCAAGGAATGAAAGGAAAGAGCGGGTTGTTGTTTCTTGGGTCTTTTTCGGGCCGTAGCAGCAGGCGAGCCAGGAAGAGAGAAGAACAAAGGGGCCCTTGTCCTGGGTCCGTGTCCCTCTGTGTCAGGTCCAGCGGCCAAATTGGCCAGAGACACACGTGGCAATTGCGGGGTCTCCCCCCCTCCGTTATCCTCATTGGAGAAAGCAAAGCAAGGGATCTCAGGAAGGAAGAGGGAAAGCCTGTTGCTAAGGAACAGGTTTTGCAGAGCAGCAGGACGCATGTGTGGAAAGGCAGGAAGGATATTTGGGAATGGGGGTGGGGGGGGGCTATCATGGTGGTCTCAGGCCTCTGATGTTGTTTGCAAGGGTGATGGTCAAATGGATGGATGAAGTCCTTGGCGAAAGGGAGGGAGGGAGGGAGGGAGGGAAGAAGTGGAGGAATGCAGAGGGTTTCCCTCTGGAATGCCACGGCATTGCATTTCCCTCAGAGGAATGGGTCTGCATCTGGAAGACTCCCCAAACACACACACACACACACACACATTCCCCTTCCTTCTCTCTCTCTCTCTGGTGGGATTGGAAGTAAATGGAGCGCAATTGATGCCCTGCTTAGTCAGCAGGTCTGCACTGATGAAGGTCACAGACGGGGCTGTGTCTCTGAGGAAGGCCCTTCCTTAACTTCTTCTTCTCCTCCCTTCCTTTCTTTCTTTCTCACCATCTTCTCTTTCTGTCCTTCCTTTTCCTTCCACCCTTCCCTTCCTTTTCTTATTTTATCCCTTGTCATCTTCTCCTTCCTTCTCTTTTCTTCCTTTCCTTCTTTCCTTCCTTACCGTCTTCTCCTTTCTTTTTTTCTTCCTTCTCTTGCTTCTTTACAATCTTCTCCTTCTCTTTTCTTTCTTTCCTTTCCTTTTATTCCTTACCGTCTCCTTCCTTTCTTCTATTTCATTTGCTTCCTCACCATCTTCTCCTTCCTTCTCTTTCTGTCCTTCCTTTTCCTGCCACCCTTCCCTTCCTTTTCTTATTTTATCCCTTGTCATCTTCTCCTTCCTTCTCTTTTCTTCCTTCTTTCCTTCCTTACCGTCTTCTCCTTTCTTCTTTTCTTCCTTCTCTTTCTTCTTTACCATCTTCTCCTTCTCTTTTCTTTCTTTCCTTTCCTTTTATTCCTTACCGTCTTCTTCCTTTCTTCTATTTCATTTGCTTCCTTACCATCTTCTCCTTCCTTCTCTTTCTGTTCTTCCTTTTCCTTCCACCCTTTCCTTCCTCTTCTTATTTTATCCCTTGTTGTCTTCTCCTTCCTTCTCTTTTCTTCCTTTCCTTCTTTCCTTACCGTCTTCTCCTTTCTTCTTTTCTTCCTTCTCTTGCTTCTTTACCATCTTCTCCTTCTCTTTTCTTTTCTCCCTTACCGTCTTCTTCCTTCCTTTCTTCTATTTCCTTTTCTTCCTTACCATCTTCTCCTTCCTTCCTTCCTTCTTTCTCTTTCTGCCGTTCCCTTCCTCACGCCTCCTGTGTTTCATTCTGTGTCTGTACACTTTGAGCCTCCCTTGGGAGAGAAGGAGCAGGATCGACACTCTCCTCCTCCTCCTCCTGACTTGTTCTTCTCTCTCTCTCTCTTGGCCAGAGCTCCACACAGGAGATTGGGGAGGAGGTGGAGGACGGCGTGATCTACAGCATCTCCCTCCGCAAGGTGCAGCTCCACCACATGGCCAACAAGGGGCAGCGCTGGCTGGGGGTGAGTAAAGGGCCGGTGCGGGGGGGGGGTAGGGGGCAGGTGGGAGTGGGTGGGGCCTGGGCCTTCTCACCCCACGGCGGCTCTCCCAACACCCGCCCCGCTTTGCAGTTTGAGAACGAGTCGGCATTGAACCTCTACGAGACGTGCAAAGTGCGGACCATCAAGGCCGGGACCCTGGAGCGGCTGGTGGAGTACCTGGTCTCAGCCTTCAAGGGCAACGACTCCACCTATGTCACCATCTTCCTCTGCACCTACCGCGCCTTTGCCACCACCAAGCAGGTGCTCGACCTCCTCCTCCACAGGTAAGCACTCCCCCACCCCACCCCTCCCCTCCCCTCCGGGCCCAGCAGAGTTGGATTGTGATCGGAAACTTTTAAGGAGCCAAACATGTTGGGTAAGTGGGCTTATTAACCAAAGACCTTCCCCATAAATGAACAGCAGAGTAACTTATCAGCAGCAGCATGACCCAGCACCAGCACATTTTATTTATTTATTTATTTTGAGTACTTCTACCCCGCCCTTCTCAACCCCCGAGGGAGGACTCTGGGCGGCTTACAAAAGGCACAATTCGATGCCTACACAATAATACAAATAATGTTTTAAAACAGCAATTAAAACAGTTATAACAGTTAAAACAATCGATATATGCTTTAAAGCTTCCAAAGCAGAGGCTGGATGGCCATTTGTCAGGGGTGATTTGAATGCAATATTCCTGGATGGCCCATGAGGTCTCTTCCAACTCTTTGATTCTATGATTCTATGATTCTGTATAACATAATCATAAAACTAATCTCATGCTCAGCGTTCTCCATTCAGAGTCCATAACTTCATTCCACTTTGCCCCTTCTTATCAATCATCATAGTCCTTTATGTATCTGCTAGATTGTCCAAACGCCTGGTCACAAATCCATGTCTTTAATTTCCTCCTAAAGGAAAGGAGGGATGTCGCTGATCTAATTTCCCCGGGGAATGAATTCCATAGGTGGGGAGCCACCACCGAGAAGGCCCTGCTCCTCGTCCCCGTCAATCTCACTTGTGATAGAGGCAGGGCCGAGAGCAGGGCCTCCCCAGAAGATCTTAAACTCCGAGGTGAGACGTAGAGGGAGATCCGTTTAGACAGATACACTTGGCGGGAACCGTATAGGGTTTTGTAGGTCAAAACCAGCACTTTGACTTGTGCTCGGAATTGGATTGGCAGCCAGTGGAGCTGACATAACAGGGGGGTGGTGTGCTCCCTGTATGACGCTCCTGTAAGTACTCTGGCTGCCTCACGCTGGACTAGTTGGAGTTTCCGAACAGTCTTCAAAGGCAACCCCACGTAGAGTGCGTTGCAGTAATCTAATCGGGATGTAACAAGAGCGTGGACCACCGTGGCCAGATCCGACTTCCCAAGGTACATCAAATCATCCAGCCGTCCCCTGGGCAACGTCCTTGCAGACGGCCAATTCTCTCACACCAGAAGCGACTTGCAGTTTCTCAAGTCGCTCCTGACACGACAAAAAAACCCCCCAAAAAAACCAAGGAGCCCAAAGTGATGAGAAGAACAAAAACACACAGACCAAGGTCCTCTCTTCTTTTGGAGGCTTTGCTCTGTAGTAAAATAATATGGTTGCACTATTTAAAACAACAAAGTTTCCATAACACAAACAAATACACAGTAGCTTTACACACAGTAGCCTTCACACTGGAGCATGCTCACACAAGGCTTCTCTCACACAGAGGTTTACCTCACACTCCTCAGGACAACACTAACTTTGGCCCAGTGACTCTAACAGGCTTCAGCCTACTCACGCTTTTCTTTATAGTAAAATAATGTTGTTGTTGTTCATTCGTTCAGTCGTTTCCGACTCTTCGTGACATCATGGACCAGTCCATGCCAGAGCTCCCTGTCGGCCGTCACCATCCCCAGCTTCTTCAAGGTCAATCCAGTCACTTCAAGGATCCCATCTGTCCATCTTTCCCTTGGTTGGCCCCTCTTCCTTTTTCCTTCCATTTTCCCCAGCATAATTGTCTTCTCTAAGCTTTCCTTTCTTCTGATCATGTGGCCAAAATACTTCATCTTTGCCTCTAATATCCTTCCCTCCAATGAGCAGTCGGGCTTTATTTCCTGAAGTATGGACTGGTCGGATCTTCTCGCAGTCCAAGGCACTCGCAGAACTTTCCTCCAACACCATAGTTCAAAAGCATCTCTCTTTCTTTGCTCAGCCTTCCCTATGGTCCAGCTCTCACATCCATAGGTGACTATGGGGAATACTATAGGGAGTAAAATAATATGGTTGCACTATTTACAAGAACTAGGTTTCCATAACACAAATAAACAAATACACAGTAGCTTTACATGCAGTAGCATTCATACTGGAGCTTTCTCACACGAGGCTTCTCTCACACAGAGGTTTACCTCACACTCTTCAGGACGACACTAGCTTTGGCCCACTGACTCTTAATAGGCTTCGGCCTACTCACTCTTTCAGTGTTTGACTCACACTTTTGTAATCAAAAATACCCAGTTAATTTTTAATATTTCTGATGAAAAAATTACCAGAATTATGGGTAATGATTATAAATGGAGATGGAGTGGAACGGTGGCCAGTTTTCAGTTGGTGATTGTTCTATTGTTCTTGGAGACTTGCCCCAGAGCAGCATTCCTACTGTGGCTGCCTTGGTGAAGAGGGCCCAGCAGAGACTGGATTGTGATCTGAGATTCTTAAGGAACCAAACATTGCAAGGAAAAGTGCTGGCGGCTTTCTACCTCTGTGTTATAGAGAGTGTCCTAACCTATTGCCTCTATCATGTGTGGTTTGCTAATTGCACAGAGGCAGATAGGAAGGTGCTCCAGAGGGTTACCTATCACTCCTGCAGAGAAAATGATGGGTTGACCTCTCTCTCCCTTCTTTGGATGAACTTTATAATTCCCGTAACCTTAAGAAAGCTCAGAATATTCCTCAGAAATCTCACCCTGGAAGTATATATGTATATGTATATAAATAAAAATGTAATGTTTGTGGGATTAACATAGCTCTATTGAACTCTGCGGTTTCAGAGTGGTGTGGCTTTAAGGGGTTGTGCAATAGTGATTAGAATGTGGGAGGATGGTTGTTTTGTTTATTTTTTGTAATTCTACATTTATAATAATGTGATTGGGGAGTGCCATTTAATTTTGTTGTACAATGTGCAATGACAACAAAGTTGTTCTCTGGAGGTTTTGCCTTAGATGGTCCGTCTATTGAGAGGGGGTTGGCCTGGCCGAAGGGGGTTGGGCTGGATAGCCCTTGGGGATCCTATCCAACCCTGGAACTCTATGGACCCCTCCCTCCTCCTTGTCTGACCTTCTGATCCTTAGACTCTAGGCACTCCTCTGTCAGAAAAAGCTGTGTTAGATAGAAATGCATTGTCTGTAACTGCAGTACGTGAAAAATACAGTTCTAATGGGCATGTGGTCACAGCACATTCCACTGAAGGTTTAAGAGAGAGGAGACGTGCATCTAGAAGGACAGCTGAGTCTTGAGCATGTGCTAAGCATGACGAGAATTGTATTCCCTGTGGGTGTAAAAGGAAGTGGCAGACCCGTGCACGATCTCTTGCAATGCGAACCCCTTGCCATGTGCGTGTCTTGCTATGGTTGTGGCTTCTCATTGTGTTGCTGTGAGTATATCTTCGCATATACTGATAGCAGACCTGATGTGTAAATAGTTGTACATAGGCAACGAGTGAAGATTGAAAACCTCCCAAAGGTGTTTGGATGAAATCCAGAGCTCAAGTGTGGCTTATTAAAGTGGTGAGCACGTTCAGAGGCCGTTCTGTAAATCTCTGCTAACTACAGATAAAGACTCTGCAGTGTTTTTGGTTGGATCTAACAGCTTGCCTTGAGTCAGTCAGTCCCACATGCAGCTCAGGGAGGATGTGAGAGAAGAAATTAATTTGCATACCCACCTATCCAGCGGGTGATGCGATTGGAAAATGTTTTAGTAATGGGACGCTGACTATTTATGTTTTTACTGGTTTTATATGGCTTTATTGTATATGTTAATGGTTTTTAATAGTAATTTATGTTATTGGGGGCATTGAATTGTCCTGACTGTAAACTGCCTTGAGTTGCCTTCGGGCTGAGAAAGGCGGTATATAACTATGATAAATAAATAAATAAATACCTTGCTACAGAGGCAAGAATAACTATAGCCCACTTCTGGAAAACTAAAGAAACAGCAACAATGAATGGGTGGATTGAGAAAGTATTAGATATAATGAATATGGATCTATTGACCCAAAAAATGGCCCAAAACAGAAATATTTTAAACAAAACAAATTGGAACAGCTTTATTCTTAAAAAGAAACAGCAATTGCAAATACTAATAAAAGTGGAATAAAAGTGAAATAAAGAAATCTTTAGGGCCAAAAATAAGTTATATGTACTGGGACATTTACAAATAGAAAGGAAGTCAGTGTACAGAAATAGTACTACCACACTAAGCAGTCTGGAAGTAATAGGAATAATGTATATTGTATATATGTGGGTGTGTAGATCATCATGGATATGATGATCTTTTTTTCTCTTTTTTCTTTTTTTTTTCCTCCAAATATTTTACTTATAACTTTGTCTACTGTATTATTGCTGTTGATGTGTGTTGAAGTGTGTCAATGTTTTTTGTTGGTATTTGTTAATTAAAAAATTAATTTGTTCATATTCTACCTCAACATTGTCCTCCTCCATCCCTTTCAGGTTCGGCAAGCTCCGCTCCCAGAACCACGGGGAGCACCACGCCCGTCACGCGGTGGACGAGAGGCTGGAGCTGAAGAAGTGAGTGCCTCCTTCGTGGGGGGGAACGGTATTATGGGGGGAATTGGGATTCCTCGCCAGTTAGATAAGGCTGTGTTTGCTAGGAGTGCTTTGACTGCAACACCAAAAGTTTAAAAACGCACCCTTCCAGAACATGTGGTCACTGCGAGAAGCCACTGAAGGGTAACGTGGTGGGACTGGCCAAAGAAGCTGTGCCATGCCCATGCAACAGGAGTGACCAACTCCATGTCGTATACTTTGTCCCCGAGTATGATGGGTAGAGAGTGCGTTGGATGATATAAGGAGAAGGGGAGCCACGTGCTTGTTCTCTCTTATCTACTACGCCTTGGCTCTTGCATCGCGATCTCCGCTCTGTGTCACCACGATGGGATCGTGAGTGATAGACTGTATATAAGGAAGAAGTCAATAATACAAAACCTTCAACTGTTTTGAACAAAACTGAAAGTTTCAGAGTCTAATTAAACGAGATCAGGTCTGGGAGCTAAACTATTCTTTTTAGCACTCTGCTGGTAAATGAGCCGGTTTGCATAGAAGGGCTGGGCTGGAATCGGGCTGGATGTTTTTGCTTGCTTTGCGCATCGACGGAGGCAGTTGTTTGGGAGTTGGACGAACCCAGAGGGTGCTCACCAATACTTCCTCTTCATCCTGGAAAGAAGTGACGAGCGGAGTGCCATCAGCAGGGTTCGGTCCTGGGCCCGGTCCTGTTCAACATCTTTACTAATGACTTAGATGAAGGGCTAGAAGGCAGGATCATCAAGTTTGCAGACGACACCAAATTGGGAGGGATAGCCAGTACTCCAGAGGACAGGAGCAGGATTCAAAACGATCTTGACAGATTAGAGAGATGAATGGCCAACGAAATGCAAAAACGAAATGCAAAGATACAAAATGGGGGACAATGCCTGGCTTGAGAGCAGTACGTGTGAAAAAGATCTTGGAGTCCTCGTGGACAACAAGTTAAACATGAGCCAGGAATGTGATGTGGCGGCAAAAAAAGCCAATGGGATTTTGGCCTGCATCAAGAGGAGCCTAGTGTCTAGATGTAGGGAAGTCATGCTCCCCATTCTCTATTCCGCTTTGGTTAGACCACACCTGGAATATTGTGTCCAATTCTGGGCACCACAATTCAAGAGAGATAATTGACAAGCTGGAATGTCTCCAGAGGAGGGTGACTTAAATGATCAAGGGCCTGGAGAACAAGCCCTATGAAGAGTGGCTTAAGGAGCTGGGCATGTTTAGCCTGAAGAAGAGAAGGCTGAGAGGAGATATGATAGCCATGTATAAATATGTGAGAGGAAGCCACAGGGAGGAGGGAGCAAGCTTGTTTTCTGCTTCCTTGGAGACTAGGACGCTATGGAACAATGGCTTCAAACTACAAGAAAGGAGATTCCATCTGAACATGAGGAAGAACTTCCTGACTGTGAGAGCTGTTCAGCTGTGGAACTCTCTGCCCCGGAGTGTCTTTGGAAGCTTTTAAACAGAGGCTGGATGGCCATCTGTCAGGGGTGATTTGAATGCAATATTCCTGCTTCTTGGCAGGGGGTTGAACTGGATGGCCCATGAGGTCTTTTCCAACTCTAGGAGTCTATGATTCTAGGTGTAAATAACCGGCCTACTGTTGGCGAATGGGCAACAAAAGACCCTCACCTTAAAAGTATACAGGAGAGCAGCTTATTGAGCAGCAGCAGCAGCATAACCCAGAACCAGTAGCCAGTATAAGACGAAATAAAACACAAACACAGACAATTGTTATCTTCCTTCGGAGGCCTTTCTTGTAGAAAAATAATATGGCTACAAAAACAAGGTTTCTGTTGCATGCCAAGGCTGGGGTTGGCACTTTTGAACCAATGTTCTTTATAAGCAAAGCAGTTTATTGAAGATTAATATAGCAAAAACCAAAAAGGTAAAAAGAATTGTCCAGTTGAGCAATGTAAGATAATCCAAATTTAAGTCAGGAAACAGGAAGGTCCCGAAATCCAGTAAACAAGTCCACAGGAGTAAAGTCTTTCAGTTTCAAAAGGTTGCAAAGACCCAAGTCCCTTGAAGAAACAGCAAACTTGAACCAATAAATCCAAATGCAGGAGCTTGAAATCAAGACAAACAGCTTACAAAAATCTCAGCATGAACATGAATTCAAGGCAGAAGTACACAGGAATCTCAGCATGAACAGGAAGGCATGGATACCAGGCATGAAGCAAAATACATGAAAACAAAATGCTGGACTCACTGAAGACTATAGATTTACAGGCCCTATATTTATTCAGAAAGCCATAGCAAAAGCATTCCGTTTCCCTTGGGAAACCTCTCCCTGATGCCTCTTTTCTCTCAATCTTGCAGAGCACCTCCTCCCTAATTCCAGGTGGTGATCATGATAAATCTGGCCTCCTCAGTCAAAGCCCGGCTCCCTCAGTTTGCCAATTAGTACATTCCTTTCACTATCACTATTTGGCCTTGACTGTTCAACCTTTTCCTCGGCCTCTTTTTCTGCCTGCACTGAAGCATCTTTGCCTTGTGAACCAAATATCCCAGAATCCTCAGGCTAACTGTACTCTCTTGACCATCATCTCCATTCACAAACCCCTGAGAGTCAGCAGAAATCAGATCATTTAACTCAAACATTGGAACCTCTGCAGACTCAATGATCATTCTCCTCAGAAGCCTGAGGCAAAGACACACTCTCAGGCTGAGTCCCTACCTACAGTTTCCATAACATAAACAAAATTATTTATACTTCCTTGTTATATATTTGCTTCAGCTTCTTGCCTTCAACATTATACCAATCCACCTACAAGGAAAAAAGGGAGAAAGATCCCACTGATCCAGCTCCTCAGCTCCAAAGTCCTCCAGTTTGCTGGACTAAGTAGGTGTGTGTGTGGGTATGTGTGTACACTATGACATGTGTGTTTTCATGTGTAGCTATGGGGCAAAAAAGGGGAACAGAGTTCAGCATCAAGTTCCCGCTGCTTTGCCTTCTTTCAAAAGGCCCTCACGAAAAGACCACCGGCATCACTTTTCATGGAGATACTGGTGTCCACGGCTTCTCTCTCATGTAGATAAAGAACATACAACAATCTTCAAACTGAAGCAGCTTGCTCCTTGAAGTAGTCAAACACAGCAATCCTTACACTGAGGCATTCCTTACACAGAAGGAAGTCTTCACACAGGAGGAGCCAGTAACTCACAGGCACATCTGCTTATATTACCCTACTGTAGGTTTTGCTCCGTCATCGCATCATTTTAACTTTTTCAGTGCCTCTACATCACTTTTGTAATAAAAAATACACTGTTAACTTTCAGTATTCTTGACACCTACCTGGCGGGTTGGTGAGTGCCTGCGGGTGAAGGGGCCAAGCTGTCATCCTCCCTCCCTTCCTCCCTTCTGCAGCACCATCTCCTCCATCCTGGGGGCCTGGCTGGATCAGTACTCGGAGGACTTCCGCAAGCCCCCCGACTTTGCCTGCCTCAAGCAGCTCATCGTCTACGTGCGGCTCAACCTTCCTGGCTCTGATTTGGAGCGCCGCGCAAGGGTCCTCTTTGCCCAGTTCCAGCACCAGGAGCCAAGCCTCGAAGGTGAGCAGGGGAAGGCGGGCGCAGGGCAGAGGGTCAGTGATCGAGGGAGGGAGGGACAGTCGCCTGGTCTCCTCCCCACTCTCTTCAAAGGCTCGGCTTTAGAGACACAGCCAAGCAAAGCAACCTGGTGTTCCTCACTCTTGGAAAGAAGGCTTTGTTTTGAGGGCAGGGTATAAATGTAGGAAATTATATAAATAAAAATGTAATCTTTGTGGGATTAACATAACTCAAAAACCACTGGACAAATTGTTACCAAATCAGGCAAACGAGTGACCATCATTCATAAAAACACTGAAATATACAGCAGAAGGGACTTAGAAAGCCAAAAAACAAAGAATACATTACAACGCTTGCGCAAAACCATATATATATATATACGAGGAGTATTTTTTAAGTAAGGTCCGTTTGAACATAAGTACACAATGAAAGTTTATTTCAAAAAAGTAATTTTATTTTCAGAAAGTACTCTATTTTTTGACATAGTTGCCAAGTTTGTTCAAACACTTATCATACCTCTGAACCAATTCTAAAATACCCTCTTCACGAATCCTCGCTTCAACTGAAGCCACCAAATCGTCTGTAATCAAAGAAGGGCCCCCGGAGCGGTCCTCATCATGGACGTTGTCACGGCCATCTTTGAATTGTCGTACCCACTTACGCACTTTGCTTTCACTCATAACAGTATCATCGTACACTTCACAAATCTGTCGATGAATTTCTGCAGCAGGCAGGTTCCTTGATGACAAACACCGTATCACTGAGCGAACCTCACATGCGGAGGGTGAGTTGATAGTCTTAAACATTTTTAAAGCACAGAACAGAACCGTACAAGTTAGTTACAGAGCGGAAACTGAGCACAGTTGTTCCCGAGGTATGCCAGTACACAACGCACATGCTCATTGCAGTTTGCGCGCAAACTACTAGTGTCTACAACAAAACGGACCTTACTTAAAAAATACCCCTCGTGTGTGTGTGTGTGTGTGTATATATATGCAAACACACATATACACAAATATATACACACACATATATACAAAACACATATACACAGACTGGGCCACAGCAACGCGTGGCAGGGTATGGCTAGTAAATAAATAAAAATGTAATGTTTGTGGTATTAACATAACTCATAAAATCACTGGACGAATTGGCACCAAATTTGTGCACAAGACACCTATCAGGCCAACGAGAGACTTAAAAAGCCAAAAAACCCCCCAAAAAGACGCTACAGCACATGCGCAAAAGACTCCCCCTGGCAAACAATACACACAATAGCATATCCACATTCTCTTCTGGACTACACACCCTGCTTTCCGGCTACCTGCCAACAAATAGTTCCAAAACTTCCATAACGCCAAAACTTCAAAACTCCAAAATGCATCCTTTCCCTAAGCACAATGCCAAGAACCAGATCTGTTTTCCATAGAGCAGAACCTGACTCTCTACACAAAATCTTAGACTCCAAAAGTGCACTTCTTCCTCTTCCCTTGGGAAAGAAGCCCCAAAGTGACCAGACTGCTCCCGAGCAAATCTGCCACTCTCCAAATACACCATCTCTTTCCTTCCCATGGTTTGAGCATTATTAGACTGCGTCTTTTATAGCAATTCTCTGCTGATGTCGTCCCAAAGTTGTAAATGAATGATATATATCTCCCATCCTGGCTCCATCTCAGTTTCCTGGCCAGATATTGATTCTTCTTGATTGGTGTTAGCCTTGTGTTGACTTCCTTCTTAACACTGTAAAAATTTCTGTTATCACTGTCCCAATTCTTATCAGAGTTTACTTTTTAGTCCTTATCAGAAACTTTTAATTACAGTCCAGCAAGCAGGTAGTTAGTCATTGCAGGCCTGGGTCTTTTAGAATTGGTGTCTCCAAAATTATTAACTCCATCCATACATCCTTCCATTCATTCCCACACATCATACTAAATTCACATTTATCAAATCTGCAATGATATTTTCGTGACACATGTCAGTGGAAACCTTTACCTTTGTACGTTTATTTTTAAATATGATGTGAGCCACCTTGTGTCTGTTCTGGAGAAACGCAGCAGCCATATCTCTGTCATAAATAAATAAATAAATAAATACCAGGCTATTAAATACAATGCAAAATACACCATAACAATACGACATCAATCTGTTGAAATGCTACATAAACCAATGGCGAGATGCACCCATACAAGACTACGTCAGCTAGCTCTTACACAGTTAAAAACCAAATAAAATTCAATGTTATTAAAACTTAAGCAAGAAACAGTGAGAATATAGACAAATACACTAAAATTAGATCACCTGGTGCTGGGACCCTGACCTGTGACCAGGCCTGTAGCGAGGGGGTGGTTTTAGGGGTTCAACCCCCCCCCCGAAATGTTTCAGATTTTTTTAAAAAAACCTGGTTTACTCATGAATTTTAACTGGTTAACCAAATCCCCATGCTAAGTCTATGAGATGCAAAAAATTAAGAGTCCCTCCAGAACTGTAAGCACTATCTCAAGCAAATATTGACAATTTATTCACACTGTCATTACTTGCAGCAATAGCTGATGTACTGAAGCGACCAAGCAACTCATTAAGGAGGCCAGACTTGGTGGAGGTGGTTGACAGGGTTGGAGCTGCAGGCTATTGAAGGTTGCTCTGCCCCCTGCTGTGCTTTTTGCTTCAGCGTGAGCTAGGAGGCAGGTTTCAACCCCCTCCCCCCCCCCCCGAAATTTTCAACCCTCCCCGAAATTTTTTTCTGGCTACGGCCCTGCCTGTGACAGTACGTTTCCTTTCAGAGTTTTGGAGTGACTGGGATTTTACAAATGACATTGAAAAGGAGAGTGTTTTGAGGATGGGTGGGTGGTGGGAGCAATGGTTCCCAACCTGTGGTCCGTGGACCATCAGTGATCTGCAAGAACTAAAATATGGTCCACGACCTCACTGTTACTAAACGGTTGCAATGAGAACAATTGGTCTTGCGAAACCCTCTTATAGTGCTGAGATAGTATATGTTCTGTATCAGAAACTAGAGCTGATGTGGTCTATCCAATGCAATTTCCTGAATCAGCACTCCAAATAACCAAACCAAATCTCAAGTTGACCAAAAGCTGATTCGTCACTTATCGTGGGTGTTACGTTCCAGGACCACCCACGAAAAGTGAAAATCCGCGAAGTAGGGACGCTGTATATGTATATCGCATTCTGAGGGTGAGGCAGAAACGAGGAAAGATTTAAAGGCACTGCACACTTTTTTTTTTTGCTACCTATCTCTGCTTTGCTTTGCAATCTCTCTTGATTGGCTGCCTCTCTCCCGACGGGGAGAGTGAAACCCCCTTCCACACTCCATCATTGCTAGGAGGCATGATTGGAACGCCACTCTGGGCAGCGCCAACCATTCATAAACTGGGAGGCAAAAACACACAAAGCAGCGAGTCTGCAAAAAGCGAACCGCAAAGTAGCGAGGGAACACTGTAGAGTAGCTCCATCACCCCTGATCTCTTCCAAGCCTTCACTTTAGAGGCACGGCCAAGCAAAGCAACTGGGTGTTTTGGGGGAATGTCCAATGCAAAGTGCCTCTCTAACTCTTTCTCCCCCTCCCCCCCCTACAGGGCTGGACCAGCGCTTGGAGGGAGAAGGGCGGGAAGAGGAGGGTGATGGCGGCGCTCCGGCTGACTTCCTCACTTTCCCCCCTGAGATGGCAGCCGAGCAGTTCACGCTGATGGATGCTGTGAGTGACTGCTTGCTCGCTCCCTCCATCTCTCCGGGCGGGTCTCCCTACGACAACCCAGGCTGACCCCGTGGCCCTTCCCCCTTCTCTTCCTGCCTCTCTTTCTGCAGGAGCTCTTCAAGAAGGTGGTGCCCTACCACTGCCTGGGATGCATCTGGTCCCAGCGCGACAAGAAGGGCAAGGAGCACTTGGCGCCCTCCATCCGCGCCACCGTCTCCCAGTTCAACCGCGTCGCCAACTGTGTCATTGCCACCTGCCTAGGTGACCGGGCCCTTCGGCCCCAGCAGAGGGCCAGGGTGCTGGAGCGCTGGGTCGAGGTTGCCCGGGTAAGGAATAGGCGGGGCGGCCTAACCCCTGCCCACCCTCCTAGGGTTCAATAATACTTTCTGAACCTCGCACATGTCCTTTCATCCAGGTTCAGGTTCACACCCAGGCTGAACCCCAACAATTATGTTGACCGGGTTTGTTGGGAGGAAGGGGGTGGGTGTTCAGGTGCTGTGTCCCTGCAGGCCTGACACACAGTCGAAAAGGAAAAGGATCTCCTTATGTCGTGATTTTTGGTTATCCATTACTTGGTGGTTTAGATAACCCGTCATTCAGCCTCATAAATTCTGGAACAGAGAGGTTGTTGAGCTTCCTTCTTAAATTGTCGTTGTGTTTGACTATGCAAACAGAGTTGTTTACACCAGAGGTTCTTTGGTCAGTCCTGGGTTTCTTATTAGCCCTCATCACAGCACTGTTAATGAGCTCTCCCCCTCCTTGGTTCTCCCTAATGCCGCTTTCCATGTTCCATTTTTAGGATGGTGCCATCAGCCTTGGCAGGCCTTAATAGGCCCTTAGCTAGGCCCCAATCCTACATTACCATTCAATCTATTCATCACAGCCAAGTGGCCGCACAGTCACGGCAGGCGGGAGCTGGTCGGTTGGCTGCTCCTCCTAACCCACAGCCCTTTCTCGCATGCGTTCCCCCAGGAGTGCCGGATCCTGAAGAACTTCTCCTCCCTGAGAGCCATCCTGTCGGCCCTGCAGTGCAACGCCATCCACCGGCTGAAGAAGACCTGGGACGATGTGTCGCGGTGAGTCCGGTGCTAGGCCCCTTTTGGGGAGCCCTCCCCCCTTTGGGGAGAAGAGGAGACGGGTGTCAAGCTCACGCTTCCTTCTTTCCTGGCAGAGAGAGCTTCCGCACCTTCCACGAATTGTCGGAGATCTTTTCGGACGAGAACAACCACTCTCTCAGCCGGGAGCTGCTCATCAAGGCAAGTCCAGGGCTGCGGGGGGGGGGTGGGGTGGGGTGGAAGCCTCTCCTCCTCCTCCCCCTCCTCCTCCTCCTCCTCCTGTAGCTTATCTTCCTTCCCCATGGACATTCAGGAGGGGACTTCCAAGTTCGCAACGCTGGAGATCAACCCAAAGAGGGCTCAGAAGCGGCAGCAGCAGCAGCGGGAAATGGTGAGCAAGTGACCAAGGCCACCTCCCCCTCTTCCCTTTCCTCCTCCACTTCCTCCTCCTCCATCACTTTCTCTTCCTCTTCCTCCTTGGCTGCAGGGAGAGGCGACTGTAAGCCTCACCTGCCTCCTCCTCCTCCTCTTTCTCCTTGGCTGCAGAGAGAAGGCTGTGGGCTTCACCCGCTTCTTCCTCCTTCTCCTCCACTTCTTCCTCCTGCTTCCTCCTCCTCTTCCTCCCTGGATGCAGAGCAAGAGAGGCAGCTGTGGTTCTCACCCGCCTCTTCCTCTTTCTCCACTCCTTCTTCTTCCTCCACTTCCTCCTCCTGTTTCCTCCTCTTCCTCCCTAGATGCAGAGAGAGAGAGGGGCATCTGTGGTCCTCACTTGCCTCTTCCTCCATCTCCACTTCCTCTTCTTCCTCCAATTCCTCCCCCTGCTTCCTCTTCATCCTTGGATGCAGGGAGAGGTGGCTGTGGACCTCACCTGCCTCTTCCTCCTTCTCCGCTTCCTCTTCCTCCTCCTCTTCCTCCTTGGCTGGGTCTCGGCCTCCTCATCCTTCTTCTCTTCCACTTCCTCTTCCTCCATTTCCTCCTTCTGCTTCCTCCTTGGCTGCGGAGAGAGAGAGAGAGGCAGCTGTGGGCCTCACCCTCTTCCTCCTGCCCCTCCCCCTTCCCTTCTGCAGGGGGTCATGCAGGGCACCATCCCTTACCTGGGCACCTTCCTGACTGACCTAGTGATGCTGGACACGGCTGTGAAGGACTACCTGGAGGTAAACCAGGAAACGGGGTGTGTTTGAGAGCTTGGGCTCCAGGGATTGATTGCCATTGGCCCCTGGCTTCCCCGCCGTACATGGGCTTCCCCTTTGCTGGAGAAGGGGCTGCCCTCTTCCTCCCGTGGAGTCACAGCAAAGCCGTTCCCTTTGTGCGGGGGAGCTGAATCCCGCCTTTGTCGGAGGCAGGCCACTCGTGCCATCTTTTCAGGGCCTTTCCAGGAAGCGGAGGGATTCTAATGGCTACCTTCCTTCCCTCTTTTGATTCTCTTCCAGGGCGGGTTAATCAACTTCGAGAAAAGGAGAAAGGTAAGCAGGAAGGAAAAGGGAGGGAGAAACATAGGGGTTGGGTGGGCACAGGTATTTATTTATTGTTTAATGAGTGAACCAAACAGTTCTATTGCATTTTTTTTAAAACACACACACAAAGTTTACAAACTTGACATTCTACGAGGATTGAATGAAAAATAATGCCTCCCTCTTCGTAACTCCTCAACAGATGGCAGTACTGGTATGCAGCAGGTACTGGCTTGTTCAGTAGACTCTCCTCTACAGTTCCATTTTGATGGGAAGTCTTAGCATTGAACGGTTGTGTTGTTAAAGTGCAAAGTATGGAACCCTGCGCAGACGGTCGGTCAATGCGACTTCAGCAACATGCAGTAATTGAATTCTTGACAGCAGAAGGTGTCACCCCAAAGGAGATTCATCAGAGAATGCAAGCTGTTTATGGTGATTGTGTGAATGTGAGTACTGTGTGTTGTTGGGCGAGTAAGTTTAAAGATGTTGAGGTGGGAACATCTGACTTGCGTGACAAAGAATGAGTTGGATGTCCTGTGACAGCAACCACCGAGTTTCACAAGCAAAAGGTTGACAGATTGATTCAGGATTATTGTCGTATCACTCAGAAATTTCAGGCATAATCGGCATTTCACAAGAACGTGTGGGTCACATTATTGCTTTGCTTGGCTATCAGAAGATCTGTGCACAATGAGTACCCAGGATGCTGATGCCTTGATGCACAGACTTGAAACCTCTCACCATCCAGATTCAGCACCGTCTGACTTCCATCTGTTCCCGATAATGAAAGAATATCTGTGGGAACACCATTATGCTTCTGGTGTAGACGTTGAGAGAACTGTGAGATGCTGGTTGCGAAAACAGTGTCGACGTCTTCTGTGACAGCTTCAGAAAACTTGTTAATTGTTGGCAGAAATGTATCCAATTGTGTGGTGATTGTGTGGGAAAGTGAATAGTGGCCGTTAAAGAGCACATTCTAAGGATTATTTCTGCATTTGATTTATTAAAATATTCCATCCAAACCCAAGTAACGAAGGTGGAAGCATTACTTTTCATCCAATCCTCGTCTGTGCTGCCCCAGGCAGAGGTTCTCTGGGCAAATCCTGGGGACACAGTGGAAGTGCGGGCAGCGAAAGATAGAACAAGCCAGCCCAAGGGGGAAATCAATGTGGAATGGTGAGGGTCCTTTGCTCCGTCTGTGTTGCTATACATTTGGCCTCCTCTTGAAAGGAGATGCCAAGACACAACTGGGCTGAATGTACCATACGTCTTTACTGTTTGCAATGGTCTGGCAACATGGAATGGAAATCCCAGCTGACTGGCTGGAAGGCTGGAACACAGCCCCCCCTCAAGGGTCAGATGGCCTAAGTGGATCTGTCTCTGCCAACATCTCTTTGCAGCAGAGCATGGAATAGGGTGCAGGTGGCTGCAGAGCCTCCCTGGAGATCTTCCCAGGGATGGTTTTGACCCCCAGCCCCTCCCTCTCCTCTTCCATCAGGAGTTCGAGGTCATTGCGCAGATCAAGCTGCTCCAGTCGGCCTGCAACAACTACAACTTCACCCAGGACGACCGCTTCGTGGCCTGGTTTCACTCTGTGGAACGGCTGAGTGAGGCAGAGAGGTGGGTCGCTGGGTGGGCGGGTGGTGTGGCTGCTCTCTCCCGGCCCACGCACCTTCCCAGGGGTGCCCTGACCCTCTCTCTGGCCACCCTTTATTTATTTATTTATTTATTTATTTATTTATTTATTTATTTACAGTATTTATATACCACCCTTCTCACCCCGCAGGGGACTCAGGGCAGATTACAATGCACATAGACATGGTAAACATTCAATGCCATTAGACATACAACATATATACACAGAGGCAATTTAACATTCCAGCTTTCCGGCTTCATGAGAGTATACTCGATTCTGGCCACAGGGGGAGCTGCTGCTTCATCATCCACTTGTGACACCGAGTCCTTTGATGGAGTACTTCCTGATTCCTATGCATGCTGCTGGAAGGTTTTATGGTGTCATAAATTAGTTAAATTAGCCTCCTCTCATCAAGTGGTACCTACATTTCCTACTTGACAAATGCAACTGTCTTTCTGGCTGCATAGGTCAACAGCAAGCTAGACTATTAATGGTCTTCCTCATTCTTCTACACACTGCTGGAAGGTTTTATGGCGTCGTAAATTAGCCTCCCCACATAAAACAGTACCTAAATTTCCTACTTGACAGATGCAACTGTCTTTCGGGCTGCATAGGTCAACAGCAAGCTGGGCAATTAATGGTCTTCTTCATTCTTCTGCACATCGCTGGAAGGTTTTATGGCATCGTAAATGAGTTAAATTAGCCTCCCCGCATAAAGCAGTACCTAAATTTCTTACTTGACAGATGCAACTGTCTTTCATGCTGCGCAGGTCAACAGCAAGCTAGACTATTAATGGTTGGGAGCTCACTCTAACCCGGGCTGGCTTTGAACTCACGACCTCTCGGTCAGTACTGATTTTAATGCAGCTGCGCCACAACCCGGTCTGACCCCCTCCCTCCTTCCTTTGGTCCCTTGCAGCTACAGCCTCTCCTGCGAAATTGAGCCCCTCTCAGAGTCGGCCAGCAACACCCTGAAGGCCAAGAAGAACCCCGGGATCATCAAGCGCTGGAGCGAGTGAGTCCTGCCTGGCTGGCTGGCTGCGGATTGGGGCCCTCATTCCTGGTGTCGGGGCGGGATTGTGCAAAGTTCCTTTTGCACAGAAGAGAAGCCAAGAACGGGTTGAAGAGAGAACGGGGAATGAGGGAACGGGGTGGAAAGAGCGCTGCCAAGCGCCAGAAAGGAGGGGGGGTTCCAAATGACCTGATGTGGGGGGCGGGGGGAATGTGCAGAAAGTTTTCCAAAACTGGATTGTTCTGGTGAAAATCCTCAAAGTAGGGTTTTCCTTACTTCACGGATTTTCACTTTTCATGGGTGGTCCTGGAATGTAACACCCGCGATAAGTGAGGGAACACTGTACACCTGAAAATAATACAGAGAGGGGCTTTCTATATATATCTATATAAATAAAAATGTAATGTTCGTTTGTGGGATTAACAGAACTCAAGAACCACTGGGCAAATTGACACCAAATTTGGACACAAGATACCTAACAACCCAATGTATGTCCTTCACTCAAAAATTGATTTTGTCATTTGGGAGTTGTAGTTGCTGGGATTTATAGTTCACCTACAATCAAAGAGCATTTTGAAGCCCACCAACGATGGAATTGAACCAAACTTGGCACACAGTTCTCCCATGACCAACAGAAAATACTGGAAGGATTTGGTGGGCGGTGTCATTTGGTTTTGGAGTTGTAGTTCACCTACATCCAGAGATCACTGTGGACTCAAACAGTGATGGGTCTGGACCAAACTCTACACGAATACACAATATGCCCAAATGTGAACACTGGTGGAGTTTGGGGGAAATAGAATCTTGACATTTGGGAGTTGTAGTTGCTGGGATTTATAGTTCACCTACAATCACAGAGCATTCTGACCCCCACCAGCAATAGAATTGGGCCAAAACTCCCACACAGAACAGCCATGTGAGCCACAGCAACGCATGGCAGGGGACGTCTAGTGTGTGTGTGTGTGTGTGTGTTGAGAGAGAGAGAGAGAGCATTTTGAGGGTGAGGCAGAAGCGAGGAGAGATTTAAAGGCACCGCACACTTTTTTTTTTTGCTAGCTATAAGGAAGGGGCTATAAGGCCGTGATTTACATACTGCTTTGTATCTCTTTTTTTTAAACGATTGGCTGCCTCTTTCCCGAGGGGGAGGGTGAAACCCCCTTCTACACTCCATCATTGCCAAGAGGCAATACCCACAAAACAGCGAGTCCACGAAAAGCAAACCACGAAGTAGCGAGGGAACACTGTATTTCAATCTGTATCTTATGTAGGTTGTTTTCCACATTCCAGTACTAGTTTGCAACAATTGATTTCTTCTTGTCAGTGCACCCCGTTCACGCAAGCCTTTAGGTTTGTCCCTGCTGTCTTCCATTCAGCAGTTTTGAAAGCACAATCTCTTAGGGTCAACTTTTCCTTGCTTTGAGGGCCAAAAACCACAGTTTCACTGCACATTGTGTTTCTCAGTTATTAATAGTCCTTTCTTTACATTTTCAGCTGAAACATCTGTATTTGTAACAGTCCTTGTGTTGTTTCCGCAGTCGTCAGCCCCCTTCGTCGGAGCCCTGCCCAGGGGGCAGCTCCCACTCCAAGTCCTTTGAGCAGCTCAAGTGTGGGCCCTACCTCTGCGGAGGAGGCGGAGGAGGGGACACGGCCGACTCCGCCAGCGTCACGTCCGCCGGGTCCAGCAGCTCCGATGTGGAGGAGCCCGGAGTGGGATTCGCCCCCGACTCCCCCGAGGGTCAGGAAAGGAAGGTACGGGCCGGTGCGAGCAGCAGCAACGAGTGCAGCGGCAGAGGCAGCGGCGGCAGTGGTGGAGCCCTGGGCCTTCCTCGGGCCGTGGAGGGCAGGCGGCAGGTGCGCCTTGAGGGGGGAACATGGCAGTGACGGGCAGGTGGCCCAGAAACCCCCGTGGCGGCGTATGGGGAGGGAGGAGAAGAGAAGGCCTCTGCCGTTGGACTAAAACCCTCTGCCGTTGGACTCCTTCTCTTCCTCCTCCTGCTCCTCCGCTGCAGTTCTGGGAGTCCACCTCGCTCTCCTCGCTGGACACCTCCGGCATCGGCTCCAGCAGCAGCAGCAGCGCTGCCTCCTCCTCCTCGGTCTCCTCGGCCTCGCGCAGCCACAAGCGCTCAGCCTCCTCGGGCCTCTCCTCGGGCTACTCCTCGCTCTCCCTGCCCCTCTACAACCAGCAAGTGGACGACTGCTGCATCATCCGGGTCAGCCTCGCCGTGGAGAACGGAAACATGTACAAGAGCATCCTGGTCAGTGGAATGGAACGCGAAGAAGATGGGAAAGAAAGGGAAGGAGGAAAGAGTAGAAAGATGGGAAAAGGCGGAGGGAGAATGGAATGGCATGGGGCGGAAACAAGGCAGGAAAAGAGGAAGGAATTGAACAGGAAAGAAGGAAGGAAAGGAGGGAGGGTGGAATGTGGGAGAGCGGAGAGGCTGCTTATTTGTTTGTTGGTTTGTTTGTTTGTTTCAAGCATTGGTACCCCATCCTTCTCAACTCCCGAGGGGGGAACCAGGGCGGCTTACAACTGGCACAATTCGATGCCCACACATACAAACAGCATAAAAACGCGACATGTAAAATTAAACTAAAAATGTATATAGATGATCCTATAAGACTGTAGACAAGGAGGAAGCAGGTGTTAAGTAAGAGTCTATGATATTTTTATATGTATTATTTAGATCAGGGGTCCTCAAACTTTCTAAACAGAGGGCCAGGTCACAGTCCCTCAAACTGTTGGATGAATTCCTATGCAAACTGCACATATCTTATTTGTAGTGCAAAAAACCCCACTTAAAAACAATACAATTATTAAAATGAAGAACAATCTTAACAAATACAAACTTATTACTATTTCATTTGGAAGTTTTGGCTGATGAGATAGGATTGTTGCTGTTGTTGTGTGCCTTCAAGTCGTTTCAGACTTAGGTTGACCCTGAGCGAGGGCCGGGTAAATGACCTTGGAGGGCCGTATCCGGCCCACGGGCCTTAGTTTGAGGACCACTAATTTAGATAGTAGACTGTGACTCCTTAAAGGAAATATATTATCAGATAAATGATTATGGAACATTAATAGATAGAAAGTATTGCACTGTATGCAACAAACACTTGCAAATGTATGACTATTTGATTAAATAATTTTTTTAAAATTCAAAAATAAAAACACAACATTACATAATAGGTAAAACATTAGATTAAAAAAGCAAAATCCATTTAAAACAATATTATTAACTAAATAGCCATATCCAAATCTGATTCAGCGACCAACGACCCAGTCCAAGGCTTGTCCATTGTGATTGCTGTCAACCTGCTACCCAAAATCCTGGTCTCTAAACCATGTTTTAAGTATTGTCAAAGGCTTTCATGGCTGGAATCACTGGGTTGTTGTAGGTTTTTCAGGCTATGTGGCCATGTTCTAGAAGCATTTTCTCCTGATGTTTCGCCTGCATCTATGGCAACCATTCTCAGAGGTTGTGAGATCAGACCATAGATGCAGGCAAAACGTCAGGAGAGAATGCTTCTAGAACATGGCCACATAGCCCAAAAAAACTACAACAACCCACGTTTTAAGCTTTTCCTAAAGGAAAGGAGGGACGTGGTTGACCTAATTTTGCTGGGGAGTGTGTTCCCCAGGCGGGGGGCCACCTCCGAGAAGGCCCCGTCTCCCATCCCCGCCAAGGGCATTTGAGAAGAAGGTGGGATCGAAAGGAGGGCCTCCCTGGATCATATTAGACTCCGAGACAGGACGTAGAGGGAAATGTGTTCGGACAAGTAAGCTGGACTGGAACCATAATATAATAATAATAATAATAATAATAATAATAATAATAATAATAATAATACACTTTATTTATACCCTGCCACCATCTCCCCTGTGGGGACTCGGAGCGGCTTACATGGGGCCAAGCGTGGACAACACATTGTTTTTATCCTGTATATGCGGCCCGCCCATTGTTACCGTTATCCCGGACAACACATTACAGCAATAAAATCAAAACATAACAACATCATCAAAATTACATTTTTTTTAAAAAACGCAGTCATAAAATAACATTCTAATATGTTTATTAGAACGTTATTTTATGACTGTGTTTTTTAAAAAAATGTAATTTTGATGATGTTGTTATTTGTTGATTATGTTTTGATTTTATTGCTGTAATGTGTTGTCCGAGATAACGATAACAATGGGCGGGCCGCATATACAGGATAAAAACAATTGAAAGAATGAAATGAAATAAAATAGGAGCAGGATAATTATGGGGGGTTCATCAAATACATAAAGTTGTGAGTCTAAACATGTAGGGCTTGGCCCTGTCCGTTGCGCCTCTCCAGGACCCCCTTCGCTGGACATTTAACCCAGGGCCAATGGAAATGTAGCCCAAGAGGCTGCTGGGAAACATGATAAACATGTCAAGAAAATAAGTGAAGAAAGGTCGAAAGGCATGTGGTAAAATCCTCCAAGGATCAGCAGAGGGGACCAGGCTCATGGGGGGAAGGGAGGAAGGCAATTGAGACAGGCTGATGGACTCCCACCTACTTCCGCCTCTGTCCCAGGTGACCAGCCAGGACAAGACCCCCGTGGTAATCCAGAAGGCCATGGTCAAGCACAACCTGGACGCCGACCGCCCCGAGGACTACGAGCTCATCCAGGTCATCTCCGAGGAGCGAGGTGTGAACCGACGGTGGGACCCCGCCACATAGGCTTGCACCCCCGTTCACCTTAGTCCCGTGGTTCCCAACCTGTGGTCTGTAGGCCACCAGTGGTCTGCAAGAATGAAAATATGATCCGCGGCCTCACCGTGACCACACCATTGCAACAAGAGCTTGCAAAATCCTCTAGTATTTATTTATTTATCATATCGGGAGCGAACCAAGGGTACAGTTGTAATGTAATGTAAGCAACCCCCGATAGAGCCGGGTCTTATTAAATACAGTTTTCCCTGGTTGAGCAGATGGCAGCTACTGGGTGGCATATGTTCTGTAGAGCTGATGTGGTCTATCCAATGCAATTTTCTGAATCAGCACCCCAAATAACCAGACCAAAAACCGATTTGTAACCCTTTCAGTAGTAATGTTGGAGAGTCAAAATAGTCCTTGGTCAAGTGGTCCCTGGTCAAAAAAGGGTTGAGAACCACCCCCCCACCCCCCCCGCGCCCTAGTCCTATCACGGTCAAATGTGCAGGCAATGCAGCCGTGGGGGGGGGGGGGGATCTTATCTCTGAAGGGGAGGAGTCTCGGCTGCTCTTGCTGCGCAGGGACCATCATAATTTGCCTCTTAACATCAACAAGACCAAGAAGTTGATAGCAGATTTTAGAAGGAATGGATCAGAAATCCAGCCTTTGCTTATCAGTGGAGATCAAGTGAAGAAGGTGGCCAGTTTTAAGCTTATGGGTGCCGCATTGTTGAGGAAGCCTTTCCGTTGTGCTGGCAAAGAGGGCCCAGCAGAGAGGGCATTATTATTATTCTCTGAGGCTTTGAAGGAACCAATAATTCCCACTCCTGCCATTAATACTTTTAGACCAGGGTTTATTATTATTATTATTATTATTATTATTATTATTATTTACGACATTTATATGCCGCCCTTCTCACCCCAAAGGAGACTCAGAGCGGCTTACAAGATATAGAATCCTAGAATCCTAGAGTTGTAAGAGATCTCATGGGCCATCTAGTCCAACCCCATTCTGCCAAGAAGCAGGAAAATCGCATTTAAAGCACCCCCAACAGACGGCCATCCAGTTTAAAAGCCTCCAAGGAAGAAGCATCCTCTGAGGTAGTGAGGTCTGTTGGAACTAGGGAAAAGGGTTTATATATCCTCTGAGGATGCTTGCCATAGATGCAAGCAAAACGTCAGGAGAGAATGCCTCTAGAACATGGCCATATAGCCCGAAAAAACCTGTATTTGGACACATGACACCTAACAACCCAATGTATGTTGTTCACTCAAAAATATTGATTTTGTCATTTGGAAGTTGTAGTCTACAATCAAAGAGCATTCTGAACCCCACCAACGATGGAATTGAACCAGACTTGGCACACAGAACTCCCATGACCAACAGAAAAACTGGAAGTTTGGTGGGCATTGACCTTTGATTTTGGAGTTATAATTCACCTATATCCATAGATCACTGTGGACTCAAACAATGATGGATCTGGACCAAATTTGGCACAAATACTCAATATGCCAATATGTGAAAACTGGTCGAGTTTGGGGAAAATGGACCTTGGCATTTGGGAGTTGTAGTTGCTGGGATTTATAGTTCACCTACAATCACCCACCAACAATTGGGCCAAACCTCCCACACAGAACTCCCATGTGGGCCACAGCAACGCGTGGCAGGGGACGGCTAGTCTATATAAATAAAAATGTAATGTTCATTTGTGGGAGTAGCATAACTCAAATACCACTGGACGAATTGACACCATATTTGGACACAATACACCTATCAGGCCAACGACTGACCAGGCCCTTTAGTAGAGGAGGATCCTCCAAATGCACTGCTTCCAAGCTGCAAGCTTTCTTCTCCTTGGATTTCTTTGAGAGCGTAATCCCTCCGTAATTCCAATTTCCTATTCCTGGACCGCAACTCCCAGCAATCCTCCAGATAGATAGATTAGATAGAGATAGATAGGTAGGCAGATAGACTGATCAGAAGGACTGCTGGGAGTTGCAGTCCAAGAATAGGTAGAGAAGGAAGAAAGGAGAGAAAGAGGAAGTGAAAGAAAAGGGGGAAGGAAGGAAAGAGGAAGAGAAGGAAGAAAGGAAAGGGAGGGAAGGAAGGAGAGAAAGAGGGAGGGAAAGTTGTCCACAGCCACGCATGGCGGGTATAGCTAGTTCTACATATATAATGTGACTGCAGGTGGCATTTAATTCCGATGTACAGTGACTAAAGTTCTTCTATTCCTCCCTCCTTTCCCCAGAACTCAAGATCCCGGACAATGCAAATGTCTTCTACGCCATGAACTCGGCTGCCAACTATGACTTCGTCCTCAAGAAGAGGGGCTTCTCCCGGGCCTCCGCCTCTGCCGCCAAGCTCAAGCACGGCTCCAGCTCCACGCTGCCCAGGATGAAGCAGAAAGGCCTCAAGATCGCCAAGGGCATCTTCTGAGCCCCGACGGGACAGGGTGGGCAGGCGCAATAAGGCTGCTCTCCATCAACAATGGCTTAATGCCATTGCCGCCGCCATGGACCCCCCTCCCCTGGGGGCAGAGAGATGCGACAAGAACGCCCTCGACAATGGGACAACGATGTCGCCACTGTTGCGATGGACTCCCCTGGATGTGCAGATGGATGCGCCAAGGCAATTCTTGGCAACGGGACAATGCCACCACCATTGCCATGGTCCCCCCTGGGGATAGGTAGATGCGCCACCATGGACTCTACTGAGTGTGCCAATGATGCTGCCGCTGTTGCCACAGAGCCCCTCTTGGTGTGCAGACTGATGCGCTGAGTGCACTCTTGAGAACAGGACAGTGATGCCGCTGCCACCGTGGACCTCCTGTGTGTGTAGCAGGTGCTCCGAGATTGTTCTCGACAGTGGGACAACGATGCTGCCGCTGCCACGGCCCATCCTGCCTGTGCCGTTTGTGGCTTCCTTTCGCTGAAGCAGAGGAGGCTCCTGTGGCCCTGGAAGGCTTGCCCGCCCGCCGCTCTTTGCCTTCAGCCGCTCTGCTGCATCTCTGGTTTTTTTAGCAGAGATTTTTAAAAGCCTTTTTAAGAAACCAAGGTGCAAAAGGCCCTCTGGTGCAACACCCACCTCTCTGCCTTAGGAACCCCTTCCTTTCCTCAACACCAACAAGGGAGGAAACGGAGGAGGAGCAGAGCCGGGGCGTGGTCGGCTCTCTTCCCTTCTCTTCTTGTCCTGGGGTTCGAGGAGAGCCTGCAGGCACCAAAGATCAGATGGCAGCGTCACTCCCGAGTGGTCAGTTAGGGTTGGATTCTGCTCAGAGAAGGAAGGCTGTCAGCAGTAGGCTGTGCTCAGAGGAGGGGAGCCAGGAGCCCTTCCTTCCTTCCTTCCTTCCTTCCTTTGGTAAGCAACCACTTCTGTGTTTTAATGGACTGGAGACGTTGACAATTGAAACGGGGACTTGACTGATCTCTGTGTAAAGGCGAGACGGAACCGAGTTTACGACGTGTCTGCTCTCTTCCCCTGCCAGTATTTATTGCTACTGTAAATAGTCCGCGGGGATTTGTACATTTTACTAATGCTGTTTAGAGTCCATTGGTGTGGTCACCTTGTGAATGTGTGTGTGTGAGAGAGAGCGCTTGAGAAGGGGATGAAGGGCCGGAGATTGACCCCAGTGTTGGGAAGAGCTTGGGGCAGGGGGAGGGGTTTGGCGCCTGCCAATCACCACACTGGAAAACACTAAGGGAGGCAGAGCCCCTCCCCTCAATGGCCGAAGCCAGGCCTGGGCCAAGGGGGGCCCTCCTCCGGGGGCTCCCACACTTCCCAACAGCCTCCCGGCTGCTCCGATAACTCGGACCCATGACCTGACATTGCTGCTGCTGATGCCTTTGTTCTTTCATAACCAGCTGTTGGGAATTATGGGAGTGGGAGTCCAAAGCACTGGGAGTGAGGGCCGGATTGGGGCCAGGCCTGCTATACGTGGCTGTCTCTTTGCGTAAAGGGAGGAATTTCACACGAGGTTTGCATAAAAAGGGAGGAATTCTACCTGGCTGCCTTGCTGTGCCTTCCTTCCCTTTTGGCCCATTTTATGGCCGGAATCGGGCGGCCCGTTCTGCCGATGAAGGGGATTCCCTGAGGGCAGGAGAGGGGGCCAAGGGCAAGTGCAAGTGTGTCGGTGGAAGCGATTGCTGTGTGTGTGTGTGTCCGTCTGTCCGCTTCCTGTCTGGCCACCTGGCCCTTCTCCCGACACTGATAAACCACTGGCACGTTGACAGTGATTGGCAGGTGACAGTGCCCCTTCCTCCTCTTCCTCCGGCCCTGCAGCCCTTTCCTCCATCCCTCCCTCCCTGTTTGCGAGTGCGGTGTGTCTGTGCCTGGCGTGACTGTTTTTGTACAAATCGGCACACGATCGACTTGTGTTGTGTACACACAGCAATGTAATTAACCTTTTCATTAAAACGGCCAATGTTTTGACAGGACTTTTGCGTGGCTTCCGTGGCACTGCTTCTTTTCCTCCCCCCTGATCCCAACCCAGGAGTGACCCTCCCTCTTAGCTCCTCTAATCTCATGATTTCATCTATTTTAAGCACTGGAAAGAACCGTCACGGGAGAAGAAGAGTTCTTTCAAAATATAAAGTCAATGAAAGTGACACTTCCTCATTGAGATTCCAATCTGACTCTCGTCCATATTTAGAGCAGATGCTGTAAAACACCAGGAACCCAGGACTTATTTGGGACGTGGCTTCTCCAAGTCTGGGCTGGTAGAAAGAAAGATTAACAAAACTAGCTGATCAGAGAAACACCAGGAATATGCAAATCTGTCACCCTTGTTTTGCTTGTATTTTTCCAAATCACACCATCATTTTCAGCGTATAATCTCTCTCAGTTCCAAATCAAGTTGCAGTACCTCCTATTTAACCCAGGATATCATGCATTGTTTTAAGTGTACTATCATGAGGATTGAATGAAAAGCAATGCCTCCACCTTCGTTACTTGGGTTTGAATGGGAATATTTTAATAACACAGAAATAATCCTTAGAATGTGCTCTTTAACTAGCAGTATTCACTTTCCACATAATCACCAGACAATTGGATACATTTCTGCCAACAATGAACACGTTTTCTGAAGCCGTTGCGGAAGAAGTCGACACTCTGTTTCTGTAACAAGGGTCTCACAGTTCTCTCAATGTCTTCATCAGAAATATAAGGATGTCCCTGCAGATCTTCTTTCATTATTGGGAACAGATGGAAGTCAGACAGTGCCAAATCCAGACTGTATGGAGGATGCTGTACAGTCTCTGAAGTTCTGCTGTGTACCTATCGTGCACTAATAGCCACGCAAAGCAATAATGTTCACACATTCTTGTGAAATGCCAATTATGCTTGAAATTTCTGAGTGATATGACGTCTTGTGAAACTCAGTGGTTGCTGTCACAGGATGTCCAACACTTTGTTTGTCACGCAAGTCAGATGTTCCTACCTCAACATCTTTAAACTTACTCGCCCAACGACGATCAGTACTCATATCGACACAATCACCATAAACAACTTGCATTCTCTGATGAATCTCCTTTGGGGTGACACCTTCTGCTGTCAATAATTCAATGACTGCAAGTTGCTTAAGGATACCCTCTGCGAAGGGTTCCATACTTTGCACTTTAACAACACAACCGTTCAATGCTAAGCCTTCCTGCCAAAATGGAATTGTAGAGGAGAGTCTACTGAACAAGCCAGTACCTGCCGCATACCTGTACTGTCATCTGTTGAGTTACGAAAGTGGAGGCATTACTTTTCATTCAACCCTCGTAAAAAAGAAAGGTGACATGTTTTTCCTATAGGTCCCCCCCCCCCTTGGAAAATTTGCACATTCTGAAAGGTCTCTGATTTCCCATGATCTGAACTTTATGGAGTGTTGATTCCAACTGAATTGGGATTTCCCCCCAATCTTAATTGCTATGCATGGACACAGAGAATCTAAGGATTTCATCACACAGGCTTCAGGAAGTGTCCTCAATGGAGACTGATGGAGGTCATCATATGATGTAAGGTTACTTCTGGCAGGGCTCCGTAGAATGGTGCATCCTGGCACCATTCTAGGTCACTGCCTAGAGAACACAGGAGGATTCCCATGTTCTCATTGAGAAGAACGGGGCAGTCATGCGGTGACATTTCCCCTGAAGGATACGGTAAGGAGTGATGCAGACAATGCAGGGCACAGGACAATAGTTTGCCCCTGCTGCCCATCGGATTAGCCACCCTGCAGGGCAACTTTCCCCAGTGTCGCCATATGGCTCTCAATGTGATGATGTTCTAGATGTGTGTGTGGAAAAATAGGCAGTCCCCAAGTTTGGAACAAGATAGGGTCTGTTAGGTGTGTTCTTAAATTGAATTTGTTTGTACGTCACTTCCTCCCTCTCCAATCAGTCCCAACAGGAAGTCCTAGGTAGCCCTCACTGGCCACTTCAGCCCAGATTCCCCCAAATAACCACAGATCCGTTGTTCCTCCAACAAATATATTTCTTTCCCAAATCCATACAAAACCGCCTCTGTGCACAGCGTGGCATCAGGCGTAGAGCTGCTTGATCTTCTGCACCGACTTGCGCCACCACCCGGCCCAGTGCTGGGCCTTCAGCTGGTGGGCCGTGCTCTCGGCCTGGATCCGCGCAAACTCCGCCTCCAGCACCTGCTTGAACCTCTGCGGGAAACGGGAAAAGGGGGGCGCCTTTAGGATGAGGCCCCCTTCCAAAAGGGGGAGCCTCACAGCTGGCGTCTCTGCAAGAGGGGTCTCCCCCCCCCACCAAAAATGGGGGGAAACCCCTCTTAGGAGTACTTCTGGAGCACTGCAGTCCAAAGACTCATAGACTCAAAAGACCCCTAGAGTTGGAAAGGACCTTCAGAGGTCATCCAGCCCAATCCTCTAAAGAAGAAGAAGAAGAAGAAGAGGATCATGGCCTTGGAAAGTACCTCCAAGGAGTCCAACCTCATTTGTCCAGAAAGGAAGGACCCCATCCAATCCTTCCTGACAGATGGCTATTCAGCCTCTCATAGAATCCTAGAGTGGGACGAGACGTACAGCCTAACCCTCTAAATAATAATAACAACAATAATGGAACCATAATGGATGAGACCTCCAAAGGCTATTGAGTCCAACCTCACCTCTGGCAGGAAGGAATGCACTACCCAGTCCCAAGGAGATCCCCCCCCCATCCAACATCATCTAGAGCTGCGGTTCTCAACCTGTGGGTCACGACCCCTATGGGGGTTAAACAGCTGTTCCATAGGGGGTTGCTGCTTCCATTCCTTCCTCTATCTTTCCTCCTTCTCCTCCTCTGGCAGTGTGGAGGGGAAAAGGAGTCATGGGGGGCGCTTATTATTATTATTATTATTATTATCTTTATTTGTACCCCGCTAGCATCTCCCGAAGGACTTCATGCAGCTTACAAAGGCCAAGGCCTCAAAACACATCATAACAATACAACACCTAAAGCAAATTAAAAACAGTTAAAGCAATATTCAACAACAAGCAATAAACAATACACCAAGACACAATAAAACTGGGCCGGGCCAGAGTAATGGGAACAGGATTAAAAGTGCTGATGTGACAGGTGATACGTAAGGATTATAGGGTAAGTGCAGTGTGTGGCAATCTTAGTTCTAATAAAGTGCTTCTGGGACTTGTTATTTGAGATTTCCTATTCTGGGAAGGCACATTGGAACAGCCAGATCTTCAAGTTCTTTCTAAAGACTGCCAATGTAAGGGCCTGTCTAAGATCTTTAGGGAGGGTGTTCCAGAGTCGGGGGGCCACCACAGAAAAGGCCCTGTCTCGCGTCCCCACCAAACACGCCTGCGATGCAGGCGGAATCACGAGCAAGGCCTCTCCGGATGAACGAAGTGAGCGTGTGGGTTCATAAACGGAGATGCGGTCACGCAGGTAGGATGGTCCCAAACCGTTCAGGGCTTTGTAGGTAAGCACCTGCACCTTAAATCGAGCTCGGAAAATAAACGGCAGCCAGTGGAGCTCCTTGAACAGAAGGGTTGACCTCTCTCTGTAAGGAGCACCACTTAACATCCTGGCCGCTGCCTGTTGGACCAGTTGAAATTTCCGAGCCGTTTTCAAGGGCAGCCCCCACGTAGAGCGCGTTACAGTAGTCCAATCTAGAGGTGACCAAGGCATGGACCACCCTGGCCAAATCAGCCTTCGCGAGGTATGGTCGTAGTTGGCGCATGAGTCTCAATTGTGCAAAAGCCCTCCCAGACACCGCCAATGCCTGAGTCTCAAGCGTAAGCGATGAATCCAAGAGGACTCCCAAACTGCGGGCCTGTGGCTTCAGGGGGAGTGTAACCCCATCCAACACAGGTTGCCACCCTATACCCCGATCAGGTTTGCGATCGACCAGGAGGACCTCTGTCTTGTTGGGATTGATCTTCAGCTTGTTCTTCCTCATCCAGATAGACACAGCGGCCAGGCACTTGTCCAGCACCCGAGAGGCCTCCTTGGAATTAGGTGGAAAAGAGTAGTAGAGTTGTGTGTCATCTGCGTAGAGATGGCACCTAACTCCAAAACTCTGCTTAGAGGCAGAGATGCGCAAGGTAGGGCAGGAGACGGGCCTGGTTGTTTCCTAAAAAACTCTAAAATTACAACAGCAAAATAGCAGAGAGGAAACAACCAGGCACATCTTAACACCTCTCAACAAAAGATTTTCCCAGGCTCAGCCAGGCCTTCAAATGCTAATGAAGGTGGTCTGTTGAAACATTCACACCTAGCTCCAGCAGACAAGAGTTCTTTGTCCCACCCTGGTCTTTCCACAGATATATAAACCCATTATCCTAATTCCAACAGACCTCACTACCTCTGAGGATGCGTGCCATAGATGCAGGCGAAACATCAGAAGAAATGCCTCTAGAACATGGCCCTATAGCCCGAAAAAACCCACAAGAACCTAGAAATGTACAGTGGTTGTCACAGAAATGTACAATTACATTGTCACCTGAGGAAGACTAAAAAAATCAAAACCGGTCGTGTGCTCTGCGTACTCTTCACAGGCGGAAAATTTACATTATACTTACGAATTTGTACTTGTTTATCCAATATAAGTTTATATTTCATACCTGTTTAGTAATTACTGACCTATACATACTGTTGTATTTGTGGGTACAGTGTTTCCTCACTTATCGCGGGTGTTACATTCCAGGACCACCCGCAAAAAATGAAAATCCGCAAAGTAGGGACACAATATATGTACATCCTGTTCCGAGGGTGAAGAAGTGAGGAGAGATTTAAAGGCACCGTGCACCTTTTTTTTTTTTTTTGGCTAACTATCTCTGCTTTGTTGTTGTAGGTTTTTTCGGGCTATATGGCCATGGTCTAGAGGCATTCTCTCCTGACGTTTCGCCTGCATCTATGGCAAGCATCCTCAGAGGTAGTGAGGTCTGTTGGAACTAGGAAAAAGGGTTTATATATCTGTGGAATGACCAGGGTGGGACAAAGGACTCTTGTCTGCTGGTGTGAATGTCTCACCCTGGTCATTCCATAGATATATAAACCCTTTTTCCTAGTTCCAACAGACCTCACAACCTCTGAAGATGCTTGCCATAGATGCAGGCGAAATGTCAGGAGAGAATGCCTCTAGAACATGGCCATATAGCCCGAAAAAACCTACAACAACCCAGTGATTCCGGCCATGAAAGCCTTCGACAATACATTGAATATCTCTGCTTTGCAATCTCTCTTGATTGGGGCCTCCCTCCCAAGCAGAAGCGGGAAATCCTTCCACACTCCATCGTTGCCAGGAGGCGGGATTAGAACGCCGCTCTGGGCAACGGCAACCATTTATAAACTGGGAGGTGAAACCCTGTGAAACAGTGAGTCTGTGAAAAGCGAACCGCGAATTAGCGAGGGAACACAAAGGGTGCAAGCACCTGTGGAAAGCTCACCTTGGGTCGCCCTTTGGTGCTTGCTTTCCCACAGATGAGACGGAGAGGTTTGTCTCCCCTTCCTCCTCCTCTCCTTCTTTCTTCCTCTCTTTTTCTCTTGTGCCCCTCTCTCCTTCTTCCTTCTCTCTCCCTCCCTTGCGCCACCTCTCCCTTTCTTTTCTCTCCACAATGCACTTCTCTCCTATCTTTCTTAGCCTCAGAGGATGGCAATGCTAACACAACCTGGCCAAGGAAACCCTGGTGGTTGTGGCCCAAGAGTTCCAAAAGCCAGGTTTGGTTAGAAGTCACCTCCCGCTTTTTGTTGATAAATTCTACAAGCTAGCTGGCATTGCTCCCCCAATGTGCAATGGGAAGTTGCTGCTAAATGTGACAGAAATAAGGTTGAACACTGTGAAAACCACCCACTACATGGCTACCAGCCTCCTCACATCGCTAATAGTCAACACGGATTTATCAAAAACAAGTCATGCCAGACTCATCTGATCTCTTTTTTCGATAGAGTTACAAGCTGGGTACATGCGGGGTATGCCGTGGATGTTGCGTACCTGCATTTCAGTAAGGCCTTCGACAAGGTCCCCCATGACCTTCTGGCAAGGAAACTAGTCCAATGTGTGCTAGGCAAAACTATGGTGAGGTGGATCTGTAATTGGTTAAATGGACGAACCCAGAGGATAATTCTCCCCAAGGCTTCCTCTTCATCCTGGAAAGAAGTGACGAGCGGAGTGCCAGCAGGGCTCTGTCCTGGGCCCGGTCCTGTTCAACATCTTTATTAATGACTTAGATGAAGGGTTAGAAGGCAGGATCATCAAGTTTGCAGACGACACCAAATTGGGAGGGAGAGCCAAGACTCCAGAGGACAGGAGCAGGATTCAAAATGATCTTGACAGATTAGAGAGATGATTGGCCAAAACTAACAAAATAGAAATGCAAAGATACAGAATGGGTGACGCCTGGCTCGAGAGCAGTACGTGTGAAAAGATCTTGGAGTCCTTGTGGACAACAAGTTAAACATGAGCCAACAATGTGATGTGGCGGCAAAAAAAGCCAATGGGATTTTGGCCTGCATCAATAGGAGCATAGTGTCTAGATCTAGGGAAGTCATGCTACCCCTCTATTCTGCTTTGGTTAGAACACACCTGGAATATTGTGTCCAATTCTGGGCACCACAATTCAAGAGAGATATTGACAAGCTGGAATGTGTCCAGAGGAGGGCGACTAAAATGATCAAAGGTCTGGAGAACAAGCCCTATGAGGAGCGGCTTAAGGAGCTGGGCATGTTTAGCCTGAAGAAGAGAAGGCTGAGAGGAGATATGATAGCCATGTATAAATATGTGAGAGGAAGCCACAGGGAGGAGGGAGCAAGCTTGTTTTCTGATTCCTTGGAGACTAGGAAGGGAACAATGGCTTCAAACTACAAGAGAGGAGATTCCGTCTGAACATGAGGAAGAACTTCCTGACTGTGAGAGCCGTTCAGCAGTGGAACTCTCGGCCCCGGAGTGTGGTGGAGGCTCCTTCTTTGGAAGCTTTTAAACAGAGGCTGGATGGCCATCTGTCAGGGGTGATTTGAATGCAATATTCCTGCTTCTTGGCAGAATGGGGTTGGACTGGATGGCCCATGAGGTATCTTCCAACTCTTTGATTCTATGATTCTATGAGTAGACTCAAATCAAGGAAAAGCTTTATGAGCACTACCACTCCTCTTGGCGTCCCCTCAGCAACAGCAAGGGTATCCCTCTGGGCAGCTAAACCCAGAAAGCCCAAATGGATCCCCCACCCCCCATGAGGGAAGTCTTCCTGAAGGGGCAAACCAAGAATGGGCAACTTGGAAGTCCCTGAACAGACGCAGAAGCAGAGTGGGCAGATCAAAAGACAACCTGGCAAAATGGCACAACCTAGAAGAACCCCCCACGTTGTGTGACTGTGGAGCAGAACAGAAAACTATGCATCTGGATGCTTGTCCGCTATGCCCTGCCTCATGCATAGAGGATGAATTGTTGGAGTCTACAGACAATGCCGTTGCTATTGCTTGTTTTTGGTCAAAAGATATTTAGCTGCCTGTGCTCCTATTTTTATCAGTTTTATACTAATTTATGCAATGCTTTTGATACAAAATAAATAAATAAAAAGCCACCCTCTAAAGGAGAGGCCTCTTCAAGTCTTGGCAAAGGCACCCCTCTTCTTCAGGCAGTCCCCAAGTTACAAGCACAATATCATAATCTGTTGGTTGGTTCTTAAGCTGAATTTGCATGGAAGCCATTTCTTAGGTGTAACTCCATGCATGCAACCACACATATATATTCACACACATACATATACTAGCTTTGAATAGCATAGGGAAGGGTTAACACCCCTGTGGCATTTCCTTTACTGCCTGTGCCCCTGTTCAAGAGATGTCACCTCACTTTCCGTCCCTGTGAGAATGGGATTTTGAAAACAATGAAAGCAAGGATTGGGGATACAGATTGAGCGGGGGCACTTTCTGCCTTGATAACCCTTTCAGGAGTGAACCTCCCACCCGAAGGGTAGATTTCTCTCCCTCCCTGTTGCCACCACCTGTAGTCTGAAGAGCATTGTCACACAAACGTGGACAGTCCTTAAGGAGGAAGTTATGCAGCAGCAACGAAAATGATCTTCTGGTTGGGGGTCACCACAGCATGAGGAACTGTACTCAAGGGTTGCAGCATGAGGAAGGTTGAGAACTGCTGCTCTAGAGACTCTCTTTCCAAGGCCAAACTTCTGCACACGCAGGGCACACGCACACACACCCCTCGTACCGCGTAGACGGCGTCCCTCTCCTCCAGGGCGGCCACGTGTCCCAGGGTGGTCTTGGCAGTGGTGACGGGGGCCGTCTCGCGCCAGAGGATCTGGTTGGGCAGCCCCGCCAGGGTGGTCCTGGGGAGTCCTGGCCACGTTCTTCCGGAGGGAGGGAGTGGTAGAGTCAGGTGAGGGGTCCTGCTAGGAAGTCCTGCCCCACCCGCCCAGTTCCTGCCCAACTGACCTGCCTGCGCGCTCGGCCACCAGGCGCCCTCCCTCGGCCTCCAAGGACAGGCCGGCCTTCTTGCGGCGCAGGAGCGTGCTGGTCTTCTCCCGCAGGACCTCCACTTCTAAGGGAAGTAGGGGGCCAAGGGGGTCAAGGGTCGGGAGGTGGGTCTTGCCTTTCCCAACAGGGAGGGAGGGAGAGGGGTGGACTCACTGCCCAGCTCCACGTCGTCCATGGTCAGGCACTGGTCCAGCTCCACCAGGATCTTCTCAGTGCAGGAAGACAAGCCCTGCACGAAGCTCTTCGCACAGTCAATGACACATGCCTGGGAGGAGAGTAAGCCAGACATATACACCCATCCCACCCATCCCCAAGTCCCGCCCTCCCTCCCCTTTGCCCACCTCCAGCTGCTGGGTGCAAAGGAGGATGCTCTGGGCCTCGTTCTGCTGGCGCTCGGCCTCCTCCTGTGACAAGGCCTCCAACTGCGGGAGGTTGTGCGGGTGGCCCAGCGTCGGACACAGCTTGGCCTTGGTCTGGTCCTGGAAGGGGAGGGATGGAGAAAAAAATGGACAGGAAGGAAGAAGGGAGGGAGGAAGAGAAAGAAATAAAGGATAAAGGAAGAGGGAGAGATGTACAAGAAGGAAGGAAGGAAGGAAGTGAGAAAGGGACAAAGAAGGAAGGAGGGAAGGAGACAGGGAGGGAGGAGAGAAGAGGGAAGGAAGAAGAGGAAGAAGTGAGGAGGTGAAGGTGGGAGGAAATGAGAGGAAGGAAGGAGGAAGGAAGGGGGGAGGGAGGGACAAGAAGGAAGGAAGAAGAAAGGAGGAGGGAGGGAGGAAAAAGGATAGGAAGAAGGGAGGGAGAGTAAGGAAGGAGAAAGGAAGAGGGAGGAAAATACAAGAAGGAAGGAAGGGAGAAAGAAGGGGGGAGGGGGAGGAGGGAGAAGGAACGAGAGAAGGAGGAGGTGAAGGTGGGAGGAAGTGAGGAAGGAAGGAAGAGGGAGGAACAAGAAGGAAGGAAGRAGGAAAGAAGAAAGGCGGAGGGAGGGAGGAAAAAGAGGACAGGAAGGAAGGGAGGGAGAGAGGAAGGAAAGAGGAAGAGGGAGGGAGGTACAAGAAGGAAGGAAGGGAGGGAGGGAGGGAGGRAGGAAGGTGTGACAAGGGGAGCCCCGGTCAATGTGTAGCCAATAGGAGGGCTTCTTGAGGGAGCGCAGGAGTGTCCCCCCCTCCCTCCCCCTCTTTCTGCCCAGGGCAAGGCAGGCAGGCAGTGGTGGTGGGGGCGCTTGGGGGGGGGCACCTTGGCAGCGTCCCACTTCTGCAGCTGTGCCTGGAGCTGCCTCCGGAGCTGCTCGGTGGCCTCGGAGAGCTGCTGCTCGTGGTCCCGGAGGAGGCGGCCCAGGAGCAGGCGGGCCACGCTGGGCAGGCACTCCTCAAAGCGGCGCAGCTGTTCACGGAACTCTGGACCGACGGGGAAGGGAAGAGGAAGGGGCTCAGGCCAACGCACCGCTCTCGCTAACCTACTCTCCTCTCTTTCCTCCTTTGCTTCCTTCCCTATTTCCCAGCTTCCTTTTGCCATTTTCTTCCTCCTGCCTTCCTTCCCCAGCATGCGTTTGCAGCACCCATTTTAAAGAAGTGTTACTATTATTATGATTAGTATTCACAAAACCCCCAAAGCAAACAACAACTTATAATACTATTTATTTATTTATTTCGTATCAAAAGCATTGCATAAATTACTATAAAACTGATAAAAAATAGAACGAGCACAAGCAGCTAAATATCTTTCGACCAAAAACGGGCAATAGCAACGGCATTGTCTGTAGCCACCAACAATTCTTCCTCTGTACATGAGGCAGGACATAGAGGACAAGCACACAGATGTGTAGTTATCTGTTCTGTTCCACAGGTCATGCAAGGTACGAGATTGTTTTAAGTGGTGCCATTTCACCAGGTTCCCTTTTAATCTGCCCACTCCACTTCTGAGTCTGTTCAGGGACTTCCAAGTTGCCCATTCTTGGTTTGCTCCTAGAGACAGACCCTCCCTCGTGGGGGGCCATCCAGTTGGGATTTCCTGGTTGAACTGCTGTGGCTGGGGGGATGCCAAGAGGAGTGGTGGTTCTCATAAAGCTTTTCCTTGATTTGAGTCTCCTAGGTGGAGACTGATAGCCATGCCATGGGTGGCTTTCACAGTGTTCAACCTTATTTCTCTCACATTTAGCAGCGACTTCCCATCCCACATTGGGGGAGGGGGGAGGGCAATGCCAACTAACTTGTAGAGTTTATCAACAAATGTAGGTTTGAGACATCCTGTGATACAGTGTTCCCTTGCTACTTCGTGGTTCACTTTATGCGGACTCGCTGTTTTGTGGGGTTTTGAAAATATATATTTTATTTTATTTTTACTTATTAATCGCCCTCCATCCAAGAATGCTCCAGGCGATTTACAGCTAAATTGTAAAAAATAAAATACATACATACAAAAATTAAAATTAACAGAGATCGAATGCTCTAGCAAAAAGCCAGGTCTTAAGTGCGAGAGTAAAAGGCCCTAAGTCACGCATGGCTCTCATGTAGGGCGGCAAGGAATTCCACAAGGCAGGGGCAGAAATAGAAAAAGCCCATCTGCGCCTGGTCCTTTCCAAGTGCACTTCTCTAGGACCCAGTATATAGAGTAAGTCGCGTTGGGCTGGTCGTTGCGACCTCCGATGATGGGAGAAGGAGAGGCGGTCCCTAAGGTACGATGCTTACGTCTGGTGAAGGCCAGGGACCCCATGAGTGCGGCAGCCTGAAGAGCGGAAGGGAAGACCTGCCTCCCTGGCCTGCTGCGTGGCTCCGGGGGCCCTGCCAGGGTCTGCTGAGGCCAGGGAGGCAGGCAGGTGCTCCTGGGATGGGCCGGAAGGCAGGTAAGGAAGCACGGGTAAGAAAATAATATATAAAATAATGTATAAATATTAAAATTAATATAGCGACCCTACTTCGTGGATTTTCACTTATTGTGGGTGGTCCTAGAACAGAACCCCGCAATATGTGTATATGATATGATACGATATGATCTATGGCTCTTCTTACCGGAGATGCTGGCCACGTGGAACTCGTCGGTCTGCTGCTGGTACCGGAGGAGCTTCTGTCCCAGGACCTCGATGCACTGCTCAAAAGTGTCCTGCAGGTACTCCGGCCGAGTGATCTGGTGCTTCTCCTTTTTGTAGAAGTCCTTGGGTGGAGGAGGGTGGGAAGAGGGAGGGAGGCGGCTGAACGGGGAAACCTCCTTCCAAGGGAATTACTTGGCTCCGTCCGAAGGGGATCCAGCTTCACCCCGGCCAGCCATGACCCCAAAAGGAGCGAAACCCCCCTTACATCCGCCAGCATCATTAGTGTGTCAAAGTTCTCCCACAAGATGGTGAAGATGATCCCTTTGAAATGCTCATTGCTACAAGAAAACACAATACAAGGAAATAATAATCATCATATTAATCACATTAAGAATACAGTGTTCCCTCACTACTTTGCGGTTCACTTTTAGTGGGCTCACCATTTTAGTTTTTAAAAATATTAATTAAAAATATAATATATATATATATTAAAATATATGTATTTTCGCTGTTTTGCAGGTTTTTGCCGCCGCCTCTCTCCCTCCTCAGTCCTCCCTCCCTCCAGCCTTGAAGGGCCTTTCCTTCCTTTCCTTCACTTTATTTTAAGTTTATAAAGACTTAAAATAGTGTATAACTACTCAAATCTATATATATATATATAAATGCTCTGTGCATAATGAGTACCTTAAGAACGAAAGAACTAATGAACGAAATCACACCAAATTTGGCAACAAAACGTCTCACAACACAAGGAGTGACCATCACTCAAAAAATTATGATTTTGTCATTGGGAGTTGTAGTTGCTGGGATTTATAGTTCACCTACAATCAAAGAGCATTCTGAACTCCATCAATGATGGAATTGAACCAAACTTGGCACACAGAACTCCCTTGACCAACAGAAAATACTGGAAGGGTTTGGTAGGCATTGACCTTGAGTTTGGGACGTTGTAGTTCACCTACATCCAGAGACCACTGTGGCCTCAAACACTGATGGATCTGGACCAAACTTGGCGCAAGCACTCAACACACCCAAATATGAACACAGATGGAGTTTGGGGGAAATAGACCTTGACATTTGGGAGTTGTAGTCACTGGGATTCACAGTTCACCTACAATCAAAGAGCGTTCTGAACCCCACGAACGACAGAATCGGGGCAAACTTCCCACATAGAACCCACACGACCAACAGAAAATACTTAAGGCCATCGAATCCAACTCCCTTCATCAGGGCAAAAAAAATGTAATCTAAGCCCTCCTGACAAATAGCCATCCAGCCATACAGGGAGCATACCACCCCCCTGTTGTGTCAGCTCCACTGGCTGCCGATCCAATTCCGAGCACAATTCAAAGTGCTGGTTTTGACACACAAAACCCTATACAGCCCAGCGTATCTGTCCGAACGCATCTCCCTCTACGTCCCACCTCGGAGTTTAAGGTCCTTCCGGGGAGGCCCTGCTCTCGGCCCCGCCTCTATCACAAGTGAGATTGGCGGGGACGAGGAGCAGGGCCTTCTCGGTGGTGGCCCCTCACCTATGGAATTCACTCCCCGGGGAAATTAGATCATCGCCATCCCTCCTTTCCTTTAGAAGGAAATTGAAGACATGGATTTGGGACCAGGCGTTCGGGCAATCTGGCAGATAGATAAATAAAGGTCAACGACGACCGATAGGAATGGAAAATGTGGAATGACGTTACGGACTCTGATTTGCGAACATTGAGCATAAAATTGGTTTTTTATTGATTGCGATGTATATTGATTGTTTTAACTGTCGAAACGGTTTTAATTACTGTCTATATTTTATCTGTATTACTGTGCAGGCATCGAATTGTGCCTTTTTGTAAGCCGCCCTGAGTCCCCCCCCAGGGGTTGAGAAGGGCAGGGTAGAAGTATACGAAATAAATAAATAAATGCCTAAAGAGTCAGGAGGTTCCGTGGTGTCAGCCATGAATAGGTTTTTAACCAGTTTTAGGGGTTTTAACTATTTCTTTTTAATAATAATAATAATAATAATAATAATATTAATAATAATAAGTGATAATATCCCTCACTCGTTCTCCTTGGGCTTGTCCCCAAAGATCTGCAGCTTCCGGTCAGCCTTCGTGACCTTGATGTACTTCTGGATGGAACTTGTGCTGCCGAAAGAATCAGTTGAATAATAGTAATAATAACCAATGCGGAGAAGCAGACAGGCCAATAATAATAATAATAATAATAATAATAATAATAATAATAATAATCGTCATCATCAAATGCAAAGAAGCAAAAAGGCATCTCATAATAATAATCAATGCAGAGAAGCAGGCAGGCTGATAATAATAATAATAATCCATCATCAATGCATAGAAGCAGACAGGAGAATAATAATAATAATAATCATCATCATCATCATCATCTCCAATGCAAGGAAGCAAGAAGGCCTCTCAATAAGAATGATGATGCTGATAATAATAATGATGCAGGGGAGCAGTAATCTAGTAATCGTAGTGAGGGGTGGCCTTGCCTCCTGGAGACCCTCCTCCCCATGGAGCTGGACTTGTTGGGCAGGTGTGGGGGGCCATGGGGGGGGCTGGGCTGCAAGCTGTTGGAGCAGGCGCCCCGGGCCCCGGGCGGAGAAGACCCTGCAAGGAGAGAGAAAGAGGGAGGAAGGTGGGGAGGGGGCTCAAAACAAGGAGATCAGGGGTACCCCCCCCCCAACTGAGCCCCCCTCCCCTGCCCACCTGCTCCCTCTGTGCCTGCAATGGGCGGGGAATCTTTCTCCGGGGGGGAGTCGGCCCCCTTCTTCAGGCGCTGAAACCTGGAAGAAGAAGAGGAAGGTCGGCACCGCTTTCTCAGAAATGTCCTAACCCATCCGCTCCCTTTTGCAGAAGGGCACAATCTGATCCCTCCCAATAGGTGGCCACCCAGATTCACAAACGCTAGCAGGTTCACAGAGAAACAGGGCAAGGGTTAGAAGGGATTCCAAAGGCCAACCCCCACTATGTATTTATGTGTGTGTATGTGTGTGCATTAATCTCTCATAGGATCATGGTTGGGAGGGGCACCCAAAGGAAACCCAGTCCAACCCCCTCAATGTGTTTATGTGTATCTATAACTATTTCTGTATTATTATCTCTCATAGGATCCTAGTTGAAAGGGGCACCCAAAGGCGATCAGGTTTGGCCCTCTCTATGTCTATATATCTATATATCTGTCATAAAACCTTAGAGTCATCCGAGACGCCAACCCCATACATGTCTCTATAGATCCTAGAATGGAAGAGGCACCCAAAGGCCATCCAGTCCAATCCCCTATATGTCTACAGTGTTTCCTCACTTATTGCGGGGGTGATGTTCCAGGATCTCCTGCAATTAAGTGAAAAACTGTGATGTAGGGACGCTATATTTATTTTAATATTTATACATTATTTTAGTAGTTCTACGCTATTTTAAGTCTTTATAAACTTAAAATAAAATGAAGGAAAGGAAGGAAGGAAGGAAGGAAAAGCCCTTCAAGGCTGGAGGGAGGGAGAACTGAGGAGGAAAAGCGCCTCAGAGAGCGGCGGCAAAAACCCGCAAAACAGTGAAAATACCGTGATACAGAATTTAAATTAGTATTTTTTGAAAACCGCGAAACAGCGAGTCCACTAAAAGCGAACCACAAAGTAGCGAGGGAACACTATATCTCTATCTGTATCCATATCTAAATCTAGCATAGGATCCTAGTTATGAGGGGCCCTCAAAGGCCATCCAATCCCTCCTCCTCTATATCTATATTTGTATATTGTAAGACCCTAGATCCGGGAGGGGCCATCCAATCCCCTATATGTATCTCTATCCAACGATGCTAGGGCCAGGCAGGCCTTCCCTACCCACCCAGCAAGGTTCTTGATGAGGGGGAGGGCGGGGTCCTCGAAGGCGGGGCGCCCCATGCGGCTGGGCAGCATCAGGGCCGTGCGCTCCACACCCATCACCATCGGGGGCGCCCCCTCCGCAGCACGATCCTCCACCGAGTACAGTGACACGCTAAGCGAGCCCCTCCCCCGCCAGGAAGGGGGTGGCTCCTGCAGGGAGGGAGGAGGAGGTGCAAGGTGAGCACGCAGGACAGGTGAGGGAGGGAGGGAGGGGCCCCACAGTCCACCCACCCACACACAAAGGGACCCACCACGGACGGCGGCTGCAGCAGGCAGTTAAGGAACTTGCTCCGCTGCTTCAGCTCCTCCATCACAGACTTGGCAAAGTCATAGAGACCCTCTGGAGTCACCGTCTGAGAGGGAGGAAGCGAGGGAGGGAAGGAGAAGGAGGGAGGAAGGAAGACGGAAGAAGGTGGAGGGAGGGAAGGAAGGAGAGAAAGGAGAAGGAAGGAAGGAGGAGGAAAGGAAGGAAGGAGGGGAAGAAGGAGGGAAGGAAGAGAAAGGGAAGGAGGAGAGAAGAAGAAAGAGAGAGGAGGAAAGGAGGAGGAAAGAAGGAGGAAAGACAAGGAAAGAAGGAAGCAAGGAGAGAGAGAAGAAGGTAAGAGGAAGGAAGGGAGTGCAAGGAGGGAAGGAAGCAAAGAAGGAAAGAAAGGGAAGGAGGAAGGCAAAAGGAAGGAGGGAGGGCGGAAAAAGGAAGGAAGAGAAGGAGAAGGAAGAGATAGGGAAGGAGGGAGGAAAGAAGAAAGGAAGGAGAGAAGGAGAAGGAAGAGAGGGAAAGGGGAGGAGAAATGAGAAGGGAGGGAGGACGGGCAAAGCCAGAAGGAAGCAGGGAGGGAAAAATTAATATCACCATTGCTCCTTCCTTTATCTCTCTTCCGCCGTTTTCTCCTTAAGGGGACTCAAGGCGGCTTATGACAGCACGACAAGATTGAAAAACATGGTTAATATGCAAAAGTTGAAAAGCAATTCAATACTTGTGTCATGGATACGAAACGTAGTGGAGAGACAACAATAAAAAAATGCCACTAAATGGATAAAAAAGGCAAAGTGCCTTGGCCGCTCTGGAGGGAAGGCCCTCGGAGGAGAAGGATCCATCCGTACAAGGAAGAGCCAGCCCAGCAGGAACCGGGCAGACACCGGCCCAGGGTGACCCAGCCCTTGAATCCCTTGGTTAGAGCAAAAAGGGAAGTATGCATAATAATAGTAATAATAAGGATGATGGCGATGTGCTTCACCTCCTTGTCGACGTTGGGGTGGAGGCAGGCGTCGATGCGCAGGAGCAGCTTCTCCAGGAGGGCGTTGAGGGTCTGCGTCTGCAAGTTGGACTTGGCCACCTGGGAAGGGGAAGGAGAGGGTCATCATCCATGGTCATCATCATCACTATTACATGATTAAATCAATTATTATTAAACCATCAGCATTGTTATCAGGTTATTCTAATACATTATTGTTAAATTATATTATTATTAAAACTTCATGATTATTACATTATTATAATAAAACAAAACTTTTTAAATTAAATTGTTATTACTAGATCACCATTATAAATGATCATTACATGATTGTTATAATTATATTTCTTTATTATAATACTAGCTTGGGACCCAGCGCTGCCCGGGTTTTTTGAGAAAGGAATTGTGTAGCAAGTTGGTCTTTATCAGTTATTTATATGGCTCGCAGTGTTCCCAGGAAGGTACTGCGAGTCCCATCATCTGTGGTCTATCCTCCTCCAAACAACAACAGGATGTAGAGTGGGTCATGGGGGCTCTGTGTGTTAAGTTTGGTCTTACGGACTTCCGGTGTGGAGCCATGGCGGCAAGACGGAGGTTTTGAGAGCTCCTCAAACCTCAGCGTTTTTCCAGTTGGTTTAGGGGGTCAGTGACTCCCCTCACCCAGTGGATGGAGACTGGGGGAGAGGCAAAACCTTAGGGTGTCAGCCGATGGTCTAAAACCCCCTCCCCCCTCAAGGGAGAGGGGAAAAGAGACCCGGCAGTGATCCCGGGAGGTAGCGACCAAGGATTCGCAAGCCGGCCGGCATTTTAGCGGTTCCGGCATTTTTGCCGCCAACCACACCAATCTGGAGATGGAGAAACACAGTACAGCACAGAATTAAACTGTGAGTACTCTCATAGTCTCGGGTGTTTTAAGAAAGAAGAAAAGAAGCCGTACCATGATGCCCATTTAATCATCTGCGAGCGCTTAGTATTTGATAGCTGAAATATTGGAATATTGAAGCGCTTGAATACCGGCATACCCGAATAATTAATAGCGGGCGCACGAGCATACCCCTTTTATCAGGATGGTTATTGATATGATATGATAAGATACTTGTTTTTGTGGGCAAATAACTTATGGACTGTTTGATATCTGAAAACCGTCACTTCGGAGCGTGGTATTAGTGTAAGTGCAACCTCGTAGTGGGGAAGGGCAGCAGCGTTGTATGTTTTGTGACGACGGTTTCACATAAACTCACCATTGCTACCTTATTGCTTCGGCAGCGCGCCTTTTAAAGTTCTTAAGCCATTTCTAAAGTTAACAGTTATTAAAAGCCAACAAAGTTACCTAAAATCTACGAATGCCTGGCAGTCTAGATGACTAGCCTGATCAGCTTAATAACCCGCAGCCGGACTGCAACGACAATTCTACTTAACCTTCATTCAAGCCTCATTTGAACCGAATTCTAATTTAAACCATTATATTCTCCGCTGCATTCGCCATACCGCCATTTCCATCGATCTCGCCCTTTCACCCCTCCTCCCTCTCCCCAGTAACCTACACCCCTCTCCTCTGATATAGAGGAGAGACAGAAGAGCCCAATCTTACTAAATTTATCAAACGTACTTCGGAATTCTACACTAAGATATTAAGTGGTGGAAACAGAAAGTTCAAACAATTGGTCTAAATCCAGCTCCGCAGTACACCAGGAAAACACAAGAGAACTTAATCTAACCTAATCAACTCAACAACTTGAGCCAAAGCAATCTTCTAATCAGGCAAGATAACCCAGGACTGGAATGGCTTACAAAGTAGTCCCCTAATTAAGAATTAAGAGTTATCCAGCAACCTACCTCTCAGCTGTGCGGCGTTCCTCTGGCGGCCTGGGCTTGTTGGTGGGAACGCATGGTCGACTTCCCACGAGAAGACGCGAGAGGACAAGATTGGGGGAGAGGATTGCAAAGCTCACGGGAACGCGCAAGATCACGCGGGAACGCACGGGATCGTGCGAAAGCCCGCGAGGTAAGCGCTGGTCAAACCCCGTATGAGAAAAAGAGACAATAATAAACTAAGTAAATCAAAAAAAAAAAAAAAAAAAAAAAAAAAGGGGAAATAAGAAAACAACGGAAATCTTGGAAGGTACCAAGGAAAAAGAGACTCTGAAGCAACCAAAGATACCTGGAAGGTGTTGCAGAGGCGGCGAAAGCCAACAGAAGAAGAAGAGGTGTAAGTACATAAGTTGTTAGAAATAACATAACGTAATTATTCTGATTTATTAAAGATACTAAAGGGTGACATAGATGCAGCAAAAAGGAAAAGAGTATAAAAAGAGAGCGCAGGAAAAATAGATTAAGAAATCAGAAGAGGAAGAAGAATCGACAAGGGAGGAATGGGGGAAAGAAGCACAGAGGACTAGCTGCACAGGATAAAACGCAGGAAAATCTCAAGAAGAAGAAAAGGGTGACTCAAAGGATCGCTTCCAACGATTAAAACAGGAATAGACTCAATAAGGCTCAGGAAGTTATAATTATTTGAAGTAAGGAAAACTAATCTACCCAAAAAACCAAAACCAGTAGGTATCTGAAAATCCCAAAGATGACTACCCCAAGAAACAAAGGTGATAAAGAAAAAGGAGAAAAGGATAAGGAAGGGGACAAAAAGGCATCTCTCCAAACTGGTAGTACAAGTAAAAAAAATCAAGCGATGGAAGAAACAACTACTAAAGATTCAATTATGAAGGAAATTTTGAAAGAAATACAAGGAATTTCAGCCAAGCAAGATACACATCAGGAAGATCTAAAAAAACTATCAGATAAACAAGACGCCCACAGAGAAGAGTTACAAAAAATGAGAAAAGAGATGACGGATGAGCTGAACAATATGAAAAAAGATATCCAGACATTTCAACAGGAATTGAAGGACATGAAAACTGAAAGGCAGGAAATGTCCCGTAAACAGGAACAAAATGAAAAAAAGATTGCCGATCTAGAAGAAAGAAGCATAAGATTGGAAAGACAACAAGAGAAATTAGAGGCAAAAGAAATGGAGTATGAATTGAGGTATAGAAACATAGTAGAGGAGCCCAAGGAGGATGTAAGACAAACTGTAATTGAGTTGACAGCAAAATTGATGGACTGCCCGAAGGAGGAAATGGAGCACCAGATAGACCGTGCTTATCGAATCTCTACTAGTTATGCAAAGAGAAATAAAGTGGAGCGTGACGTAATAGTGCACCTGACAAAGAAGACAACCAGAGATGGAATCCTAAAAAGGAACAACATAAGCCAGATGACATACAGAAGTAGGAAAATAGCAATTATGAAAGAAATACCACAAACTGCACTGCAAAAAAGGAGAAAATACTTCTATTTGACAGAAGAACTAAAACAACAAAATATAAGATTCCGCTGGGAAAGAACGGAAGGGATCATGGTCACGTACAGAGGAGAAAGACATTGGTTAACATCAGAGGATAAAGCACAGAATTTTTATGAGAGACTGAAAAAAGAAACAACTGACCAAAACCTCAATGGACAAAAACAAGGGACAAAACGAGCAAGGCCAACATCGCCGGGTGGGACCACACATGAAGAGGAGCGGATGGGATGGGAACCAGACGCTAAGGAGGCAAGAAAGATGGAGAAAAACGGGAAAAAAGAATCTTGATGGAGTGGAATCTTAAGTGTCTATCCAACAATATTAATGGACTAAACTCTCCTGCAAAGAGAAGAAAGATCTTTAATTATATAAAGAGGAACAATTATGACATAATAGCGTTGCAGGAGACGCATATATGTCAAAAGCATGTGGCACATCTAAATCAAAAAGGACTCAGGACATTTTATTCATCTGCCATTGAGAAAAAAAGGGGAGTTGCGTTATATGTCAAAGAGGGAATTGTTGCTGAACAGGTGCTCAAGGACACAGAGGGCAGAATGATAGGAATAATGGTACAAAGAGGGGGATGGAAGGGTTTATTTTGTAATGTGTATGCTCCTAATGGAGCAAAAGTTAATTTTGTAAATAAACTAAAGAACCTGCTTTTGGAACAGGAGTACGATGACCTTATTTTAATGGGGGATTTCAACGGTGTAATAGACACCAGTTTAGATAAAAGCCCAAGGGATAAAAAAGGGAGGAAAGAAAGAGGAGGGAAATTACCTGAGTGCTTTCGCAAACTGCAAACCGACCTTGGTCTCCAAGATGTCTGGAGGACACATAACAAAAAAGAAAGAGATTATACCTTTTACTCTGATAGGCATAAGAGATGGAGTAGAATAGACATGGTATGGGCCACAAAGACACTCATAGGCAGAGTAAATAAGATACATATCCTACCACGTCGCTACTCCGACCATTGCSCAATAGAAATGGTTTTAAACTACAAAAATWCCAGGAAAAAATGGCGGCTTAGTGCCCATCTACTGAGAACGGAGGAAGATATTAAGAGACATTCGGAGCTGCTAACAGAATTCTTTAAAATAAATTGTAATGGAGAAACTTCAGGAGAAATTATATGGGATGCCAGTAAAGCCTACATGAGGGGGATGTTTATCCAGCAAAGCAATAAAATGTATAAGGAAAAAACACAGAAGGAGAAAGAAATAGACGAAAAAATAGAGATGTTGGAGAAAAAACTTAAAAAATACCCAAAGAATGAGAAAATCAAATTAGAACTACACCTATTCAACAAACAAAAGGAACACCTAGAATTAGAACAAATGGCACGTAAGTTGCTATTTGTGAAACAGGACCATTTTCAAAATGCTAACAAGGTAGGAAAATGGCTATCTAGGAGAATCAAAAAGAAAAAATGCGAGCAAAATATATCCCAAATCCAAGAGAAAGACAAGATATATACCAAAAATGAGGAAATTTTAGCCCAATTCCAAAATTTTTATAAAACCTTATACACGAGAGATCCAATAAATAGGGAGAGCATAAATGAATACTTGGGGAAGCACAAGATAGAAAGACTATCAGAAGCCCAGAGGGAAGCCCTAAATAGGGATATTTCACCGGAAGAAATTGAAAAAGCGATTAAAAGACTGGACTCCAGAAAAGCACCAGGACCCGATGGCCTTTCCATGACTTACTACAAAAAGCTAAAAGAGATTATAGTGCCACATCTGACCATATTGATGAATGAAATATTGCAAACAGGGAGAATGCCAGACTCCTGGAAAGAGGCCAATATAGTCATGATACACAAGGAAGGCACGGACCCCATGAGGGTCAAAAATTATAGACCAATCTCGCTTTTAAATAGTGATTATAAAATCTTCACTACAATCTTAGCGGATCGGCTAAAGGAATTTTTAACAACATGGATAAAGGAAGAACAGACAGGGTTTCTGCCAGGGAGAAGGATGAAGGACAATATTAGGAACATATTGAACATCATAGAATACCACGAAAGCCACCCACAAAAAGAATTGGCAATATTATCGGTAGACGCAGAGAAGGCTTTCGACAGTCTGAATTGGTCCTTCTTTAAAGCGATTTTCAAGGAACTAGACGTAGGTTACAAATTCTCAAACGCTTTGGAAGCGATATATGACGACCAAAGAGCAACAATTAGAGTGAATGGACAGGACTCCGTAAGACTGGACATAGAGAAGGGAACTAGACAGGGATGTCCCCTGTCCCCTTTAATTTTTATATTGTCACTTGAAATCCTATTAAATGAGATCAGAAATGACAATAGATTAAAAGGAGTAACTGTCCAAAAAGAAACCTACAAACTTAGAGCTTTCGCGGATGACCTAATCTGCACTATACAAGAGCCGCTAAAAAACATCAAACTGTGGATAGAGAAGATTGAGGATTTCGGGAAAGTCTCTGGGTTCAAAATTAACAAATCAAAGTCTAATATTTTAACGAAAAATATCCCTAGGGATAGAAAAAAGGACTTGACAGAGATCTCGGGGCTACAGATAACATCAAAAATAAAATATCTGGGCATTTATATAACCGCAAAAAACTCTCAGCTTCTAAAAAATAATTATGAAGAAAAATGGAAAATAATAAAGAAAAATTTGAAGGATTGGCAATCAATAAAACTGTCATTACTGGGGAGAATATCTGTAATTAAATCAAACATCCTCCCCAAAATGCTCTACTTATTCCAAAATATCCCTATTATTAGAAAGAAACAACTTTTCATAGATTGGCAAAGGGATATCTCGAAATTTGTTTGGAATAACAAAAAACCTAGGGTTAATTTCACAAATATGATAGACGAAAGAAAGAGAGAAGGCCTAGGCCTGCCGAGTTTAAAGCTGTATTTTGAAGCGTGTTGTATGGAGTGGATTCAAGAATGGATACTACTTAGAAATAAAAAGATATTAATCCTTGAAGGCCACGATCTAAGAACTGGGTGGCACGCCTATTTATGGCATAATAAGGCTAAGGTAGAAAAAACATTTAGAAATCATTTCATTCGGTCGGCTCTTTTAAAAGTTTGGGATACGTATAAGGATAGGATGTACCCCCATACACCACTTTGGGTATCCCCCCTTGAAGCTCATCAAAGGAGGGAGCTAGGCTGGAATCAATGGCCAACGTACAAGGATATACTGTTTAAGGAAAGAAAGGAAATTAGATTAAAATCTAAAGAGGTACTAAAACAACAATATAGAAATATCACCTGGCTCCAGCACTGGCAGCTAAATGAATACTTTAAAGAAGATTCAAAAAAAGGTTTTATGGAATCACCTTCTGCATGGGACAAAGTTCTAGAAAGGGGGAAAAAATGCATAACAAGGGCATATAAGCTCCTACTCGAATGGGCCACAGAGGAAGAAAGGATTAAAGAATACATGGTTAAATGGGCGAGGCAAATAGGAAGATCTATCTCCCTAGAGGAATGGAGTAAAATTTGGAACGTAAAGACAAATTATTCTTATTCCTATTATTTTAAAGAGCATTGGGTGAAAACAGTACATCAATGGTACCTTACACCGACCAAGATAGCAAAATTCTCCAAACATGTTTGTAAAAAATGCTGGAAGTGTGGGGAGGAGGAAGGGACATACAAACATATGTGGTGGTCCTGTAAGAGAGTACGTAAGTTCTGGAAAATAATACAAGAGAGGTGCCAAAAAATCCTTAAAAAAAGTATCCCCCTAAAACCAGAGTGTTTTCTGTTAGGATTAACGGAAGGACTATGGGATAAAGAGACGGATAAACTCTTCACATACTTAATTACGGCAGCAAGATTATTATTAGCCAAAGTATGGAAGCAAAAAACCACTCCGACGGAGGAAGAGTGGATAGAGAAAATAATTGAGTTAATGAATGCGGACCATCTAACGTTTATCCTATCATCCTCAAGAAACATCTCCGTATTACCAACAAATTGGACACCGGTGAAAGCGTGGCTTAGAGAAAACAAGATTAAATGGATAATAGCCTAGTCTCCCTCCCCCCAAACATGTTCAGATAAGAAGCTCAATACCTGTGGGGAGAGAATAAGAACAGCAGATTAATCTAGGCTCCATGTAAGGTCTGTTAAGAGAAAATAAGAGAGAAAGGGGAAACCCCTAAAGAATAGGATAAGAAAATGCTTAGAAAAACTAAGAAGGCATGGTATTCTCAGAGTAAAGAATTATGGGTCAAATATAATAAGGGAGAAACAGTAGATGGCTGGATGGGTCATAATAGGAAATAAGAAATAGTTCCAAGATCAAAGGAGAATTAAAGTAGTGATACATATATAGAAACACCGTAGACGAGAGAGTAGGAGGTCCATTCCCTTTATGGGCAGAGGTCTTTTTTAAAAAAAAAATGTGTTTTGATAGGTCTTGTTGTTGTCAAAATGTTTATTATGTATTGTTGTGAATCACTGTTTATGTTTATGTGCTTGTCATTTCTATATTGTTTGTGGATGTTTATTGTTGTCTTTTTCTACCATTGCAATAAAATTAATAAAATAAAAAAAAAAAAAAAAAAAAAAGTTTGGTCTTGATCAGTCATTGGATGAGGGTCACAGAGTGGGTTTTGTGGGCTCTGTGTGCCAAGTTTGGTCTGTAGTGGTAATTTTCTGACGCAGCTTCAGGTCTTTTCCTCTCCTCTGTCACCTCAGAATCTTTACATTTTCAGGCTGGCCAATCAGAGACCATATGCAAATTGTACCACAGTGGCAGCCAATCAGAACACTGCCACATACACCTCCCTCCCGTCCTTCCTTCGCATACAAACACTGACTTTTATTATATACATAGATTGCTTCTCTATATTGTATTATTAGGATATCATTATCATAAATTTATATTCTAAATATTCCTCTTCCTGTTTCTTGCCCATCGACTCGTTTGCCCCTCCTCCCTCTGGGAAGTGGAGGCCCAACCCCAAGCATGCTACAAGTTGCTTCTGGAATGAAAACAGAGGAACGGCCTGCCTCAGGGGAGCATGCTTGCTCTATATATGTTCAACATTTACGCATTTGCGCATTTGACCAGCCACTGCTAGAAGGGACAGAGAGTTTAATCTATGCTGATGATCGTGCCATCACCACTCAAGCAGGGAGCTATGAGATGGCTGAACAGAAGCTCTCCAAAGCTTTAGGTGCTCTTACTGCCTTTTACAGGAAACACCAGCTGATTCCGAATCCATCTAAAATGCAGACATGTGCTTTTCATCTTAAGAACAGGCAAACATCCGGAGCTTCAGACCTGGGAAGGAATCCTACTGGAGGATTGCAGCGCACCCAAATGCCTGGAAGTTACCCTGGGCCTACAAGAAGCACTGCCTGCACATCAAGCAAAAAGGTCCTATTATCTCTTTGGCTGGGATCCCAAGGAGGTGGGTAACAAATATTGTTGTTGTTGTTGTTGTTAAATGCTGCTGCTGCTCCTTCTCCTCCCAGGGCCATACATACAGATCCCTTCCTTGGAGGCGACTGACCTCTGACTTGATTTTCACTTGGAGGCTGGTCAGGAAGCGCTGGATCTTGTCCATGAAGACACGGTCCATGGTCAGGAAGCGGAAGCGGTTCTCAAATTTGCTGATCACCTCCGTTGCCTGCAGGAAGGGGCGGCCGAGGGGCGTCAAGGAGAACTTCCTTCCTCTCTCCTTCTTCCATTCTTTCCTCCCTCCTCCCTTCCACCCTTTCTCTTCTCCTTCCCTTCCTTTCTTCCTTCCTCCCTCCCTCCCTCCCACTCTCCTTCCTGTTCTCCTTCCTTACCATCTTTTCCCCTTCCTTCTTCCTTTTCTCCCTCCTTCGCTCCCTTCCATTCTTTCTTCTGTTCCTTCTCCTTCCATCCTCCTTCCTTCCTCCCTCCCTCCTTTTTCACCCTTCCTTCCTCCCTTCTGTCTGTCTGCCCTTCCCCCCTTCCCCCTTCCCCCCTACCTTCTTTCTCCCCCTTCCTTTTCCACTTCCCTTCTCTTCTTTTTCCTCCACCCATCTGCTCCAGGTACCTGGACTCCATCTTCTCCATGTCAATAATGAGGAGTCCCTTCTTTGTTTTCTTTCTCCCTCCCTCCCTTCCTTCTCTCACTCCCTTCCATCATTTCTTCCTTTCCTCCTCCTCCTTCCCCCTTCCCTCCTACTTGCTCCAGGTAGCCATGTCATCATTGCAGATTTGATAAATGTGGCTTTAATATGATATGTGGGAATGAATGGAAGGATGTATGGATGGAGTTAATAATTTTGGAAACACCAGTAAAAGACCAAGGCCTGCAATGACTACCTGCTTGCTGGACTGTAATTAAAAGTTGCTAATAAGAATTGAAAAGTTAACTGTGATAAGGACTGGACAGTAATAAGATCAATGTTTAAAATGTTAAGAAGGAAGTCAACACAAGGCTAACACCAATCAAGAAGAATCAACATCTGGCCAGGAAACTGAGATGGAACCAGGATGGAAGACATCTGTCATTAATTCACAACTTTGGGATGACATCAGCAGAGTATTCCTATAAAAGACTCCCCCTAATAATCTCAAAGTGTGACAGACCTGAGGAGTCCAGTCCACCCACCATGGGAAGGAGGGAAAAAGAAGGAGGGAAGGAGGGGAAAAGGAAGGAAGAAAGGAAAGAGGGAAGGAGGGAGGGAAAAGGGAAGAAAGAAGGGAGGAAGGAAGGGTGAGAGAGGAAGGGAGAAAAATAAGGAAGGAGAAAAACAAAGGGAGAGGGAGGAAGGAGGAACAAAGGAAGGAGGGAAAAAGGAAGGAAGGAAGGAAAGAGGGAAGGAGGGGGGAGGGAAAAGGGAGGGAAGAAGGGAGGAAGGAAGGGTGAGTGAGGGAGGAAGGGAGAAAGAAGATCTGCCACTCTCTATGTATGGAGAGTGGCAGATCTGCAAGGGAGCAGCCTGGTCACTTTGGGGCTTCTTTCTCAAGGGAAGAGGAAGAAGTGCGCTTTTGGAGTCTTGGATTTTGTACAGGGAGTCAGATTCTGCTATATGGAAAACCGAGATCTGATCCTTGGCATTCTGCTTAGGGAAAGGATGTGTTTTGGAGTTTTGGCGTTTTGAAGTTATGGAAGTTTTGGAGCTGTGTGTTGTCAGGCTGCAAGAAGGCAGGGTCTTCTCCAAGGAGGGAGAACATGATATGATAATATTTGGATGCCTGACGATGAATGCATGTACATGTGTGTGAATGCTGAGTGAAAATGTAATTCCCCTTTTGTTTGTTTGTTAGCCATGTAATTAGCAATCCAATGTAGTTGCACAGAATCTGTATGTCTGTATGTCTAAATGTTTTTCTGTAATCTGATATATCTTCTCACACTGGAAATTGCGATAAAAAGAACCTATGCTTTATTGAAAAGTTATTCATGACAGCTGGACTCCAACTTTTCTCATGTTTAGTCCCTCCCTTCTTTTCCCCCTTTCTTCCTTTTCTCCCCTCTTCCCTCACCCTTCCTTCCTTCCTTCTCCCCCTCCCTCCCACCTGCTCCAGGTAGCTGGACTCCATCTTCTCTCATGGGCCCCGCCTATCTTTGCGATCGCATCTCCCTCTATGAACCGGCACAAACCCTTCCGGGGAGGCCCTCCTCTCGCTCCCACCACCGTCACAAGCACGGTTGGTGGGGACGAGAGAGGGCCTTCTCAGTGGTGCCCCCCCCCCCGCCTCTGGAATGCCCTTTCTAGAGAAATAAGACAGGCCCCATCCCTCCCCTCCTTTTATAAGAGCTCGAAGACCTGGTGGTTTAAACAAGCCTTTGAGAATGACTAGTTCTAGCTCAGCCCCAGATATTGTTGAATATGGCCATATCTTTTTCTACCACTTATCCAGGTCACTTCCTCCTATTAGGCCCCGGAAATGAACAGCCGTAGACTGTTCATGATTGTTGTTGAACAGCTATAGCATTGCACCTAATTTCCTGGGCCCTCTAGAAATTGCACTAGCCTCGATCTGGCTTTTTAAAATTGCCTTGAACAGGCAGGATTATTTTGAATATATATGTGCTATTGTGATCTTTTTAATGCTTATACTGCTTTGTTAATTTTATGTTTATGTTGCTTACTCTGTATGTATTGATGATGTTACTTGGAAACCGCTCTGAGTCCCCTCGGGGAGACAGAGAAGTATATAAATAAAGTTTTGTTCTCTTGTTTTGTTTTTCCCCTTCCTTCCTTTTCCCCCTCCTTCCTTTGTTCCTCCTTCCTTTTCTCTCTTCCTCTCTCTCCGTTTTCCCCCTTCCTTCTTTTTCTCCCTTCCTCCCTCACTCACCCTTCCCTCCGCCCTTCTTCCCTCCCTTTTCCCTCCCCCTCCTTCCCTCTTTCCTTCCTTCCTTCCTTTTTCCCTCCTTCCTTTGTTCCTCCTTCCTCCCTCTCCCTTTGTTTTTCTCCTTCCTTATTTTTCTCCCTTCCTCTCTCACCCTTCCTTCCTCCCTTCTTTCTTCCCTTTTCCCTCCCTCCTTCCCTCTTTCCTTTCTTCCTTCCTTTTCCCCTCCTTCCCTCCTTCTTTTGTTCCTCCTTCCTTTTCTCCCTTCCTCCCTCTCCCTTTGTTCCTCTTCCTTCTTTTTCTTCCTTCCTCCTACCTTTCCTTCCTCCCTTCTCCTTCCCTTTTTCCTCCCTCCCTCCTTCCTTCCCTCTTTCCTTCCTTCTCCCCCTCCTTTTCCTTACTTCCCTTCTTTTTTCCTCCACCCATCTGCTCCAGGTACCTGGACTCCATCTTCTCCATGTCAATAATGAGGAGTCCCTTCTTTGTTTTCTTTCTCCCTCCCTCCCTTCCTTCCTCCCTCCCTCTCTCTCCTTCCTTCCTTGACCGTTCTCTGACCATACTCTGACCGTTCTCTCGCCCTCCCACCTGCTCCAGGTAGCTGGACTCCATCTTCTCCATGTCGATCATGATGAGTCCTTCCACAAAGTCGATCCTGCTGCTCTCCTTCTGCAGCCGCTTCATGAAGGCCTCCAGCTCCTCAGGGGAGAAGTTCCCTCCATCGGCAAACAGCCTGCAAAAGTGGGGGGGGGAGGGGAAGGAGGGCAAAAGCCTGGGTCAGAGGGCAGCAGCTCGGAGGAAATCCCTCAACTTTGTGGAGGGACCCATCATCATCATAACGAATATGGAAGGGGTGTGTGCACCTGCAGCTGCGTAGGAATTCAGTGTTGGCCTCGCGCAGCTTCCCGAGGGCCTCCTCCAGGTAGTGCCGGTAGCTGCGCAGGGAGAGCTGCATGACTTCTACGTGGTTCAGCAGCTCCACGTGCAGGTTGTTGCTGAGGGTAACGAGCCTGGAATGAATAAAAGGAAGAAGGGAGTGAGTGAGTGAGTGAGTCTTACCTTCCTTCCTCCCTCCCTTCCTCCTTCGCCTCCACTGACCTCTCAGCCCGGCTCTCGGTGAGGAAGATGTTCTCCATGTCCTGAATGCGGAGTCTGAAGGTCCGGCTCAGCTGGTTCTGCTCTTCCCGCAGGCGCAGGAAGGCCCCGCGCTCCTTGTGCAGAGCCCCCACCACCCCCGCGCAGTGGCGCACCAACCGTTCACTGTGCAGCCGCAGCTCCGCTAAAGAGGAAGGGGATGTGGATCAGGAACTCAGCTCCCACCACCACCACCTCACACAGCAAGCCCCCCGTCACCACCCACACACATGCCATCCATACCAGACCGGAGGCGGAAGACATCCATCTCAATGCGGCCCCGGCGGGGCTCATGCAGGTGGAGGCGCAGCTGGAGCTCCGACTGCAGCTCCTCCTTCTTGGCTGATGTCACGGCCTCTGCCTGCGAAGAACGCTCTGCAAACCAAGCCTCCAGATTCTCAAAGAACGCCAGGCGGACCCTGCCTTGTGAGGAAGGGGAAGGGGAAGTGGAGGAAGTGGGAGAGGAGAAAGAGGTGGAGCAAGAAGAGGAAGTGGAATACAAGGAATAAGAGGAAGTGGAAAGGAAGGAGGAGGAGGAGGAAGAGGAGGAAGGTGAAGAGAACTTCCTTCTCTTTTTTTTAATCGAGTCAAAAGCGACTTGAGAAAAGGAGGCCAAATGTGCCAACTTTGGCTTTCCATTGCAGATCTGACACTCCCCATGGACATATACCATCTCTCCCCTTCCCAATGGAGAAGAGCATGGCGGGTGAACAGCATCGCTGTCTGTCACAATTTTTGAATTGTAAGAAGGTCTCTTATATAGTAATATTTCGTTGATGTTGTCCCAAAGTTCTAAATGAATGATAGATTTTTTTTCATCCTGAAACATCCTGGTTTCCACCTCAGTTTCCTGGCAGATTTTGACTCTCCTTGATTGCTGTTGGTAAACAGCTTTCTGTTGACTTCCTTCTTAGAGAACCATTCTTTAAGTAACATTGAGGAAATGGAAACATTTCCTAAAGTTATGTTGATTTATTTATTTTCTTTGCTATATTTATATACCGCCCTTCTCATCCCGCAAGCGACTCAAGGCGGTTTACAGAGGCAACAATTCAATGTCCAACAACACAATAAAACATTTAAAACATTTGAAAACATTAACATATAATATAAAACCATAACAAGATCAATAAAACATAAATCACTTGTGTCTCCTAGTTAAAATGTTGTCCAATCTCATCATCCAGTCATTCCATATTCCTTGTCTAATTATACTGTATTTACAAACGCTTGCTCAAACAGCCAAGTCTTGATTTTTTTTCCAGAATGTTAAAAGGGAGGGGGCCAATCTGCTCTTCCTAAGGGCACTAGGAAGGGCATTCCATAGCTGAGGGGCCACCACTGAGAAGACCCCATCTCTCGTCCCCGTCAAATGTATTTGTGACGCAGGTGGGATTGAGAGCAGGGCCACCCCAGACGATCTTAAAGTCCTAAATCAGTGGTTCTCAACCTGTGGGTCCCCAGGTGTTTTTGCCTACAACTCCCAGAAACCCCAGCCAGAAATCCCAGCCGTGAGGATTTCTGGGAATTGAGAGCCAAAATATCTGGGGACCCACAGGTTGAGAACCACTGTCCTAGACGGTTTATAAGGGAGGATGCGTTCGGACAGGTAAGTTGGGCCAGAACTGTTTAGGGCTTTTTAGACTAAAGCCAGCACTTTGAATTGTGTTGATAAACATAAGGAGACAGTGTTGACTTCCTTCCTAACAGGAACCATTGTCTTTGGCAATATAAACAAGTCGTTTTTCCACCAAGAGTTAATCAAGTCAACCGTTAATCATTTGTCACAGTTCTCATCAGCAACTTTTACAGTCCCTGGGTGTAGTTGTTTTTCAGGCCTCACTATTTTTAGAATGGTTTCTCTAAATTATTAACTTTCATTCATTCACATTCATACAATTCCATTCAAACCATGTATCATATTTCACCATGACAATGGTGAAATACTACTACTACTACTACTACTACTACTACTATTAGAATCATAGAGTTGGAAGAGACCTCATGGGCCATCCAGTCCAACACTATTCTGCCAAGAAGCAGGAAAATTGCATTCAAAGCACCCCCGACAAATGGCCATCCAGCCTCTGTTTAAAAGCCTCCAAAGAAAGAGCCTCCACCACTGCTCCACTGCTGAACAACTCTCTCTCACAGTAAGGAAGTTCTTCCTAATGTTTGGGTGGAATCTCCTTTCTTGTAGTTTGAAGCCATTGTTCTGCGTTCTAGTCTCCAGGGCAGCAGAAAACAAGCTTGCTCCCTCCTCCCACAGCTTGGCCGCTGTGTTGGACTGGATGAGGACGAACAAATTGAAATTGAATCCAGACAAGACAGATGTACTCCTGGTCAGTCGCAAGGCCAAACAGGGCATAGGGTTACAGCCTGTGTTGGATGGGGTTACATTCCCCCTTAAGGCACAGGTTCGCAGCTTGGAGTCATTGCTGAGTCTGGAACCTCAGGTCTCAGCGGTGAGCAGGGGACCATTTGCACAGTTAAAACTTGTGCACCAGCTGCACCCGTACCTTGGGAAGGCTGACTTGGCCACGGTAGTCCATGCTCTAGTTACATCCTGTATAGACTACTGCAACATTCTCTATGTGGGGTTGCCTTTGAAGACGGTCTAGAAGCTTCAACTAGTCCAACGATCGGCAGCCAGGTTGTTAACAGGAGCGGCGCTCAGGGATCATACAACCCCCTTGTTGCACCAGCTCCACTGGCTGCCTGTTTGCTACTGGGCCCAATTCAAAGTGCTGGCTTTGGCCTATAAAGCCCTAAACGGTTCTGGCCCAACTTACTTGTCCAAAAGTATCTCCTCTTACGAACCACTGAGGACTTTAAGATAATCTGGGGAGGCCCTGCTCTAGGTCCTATCTTTGTCACAARCACGTTTGGCGGGGACGAGAGAYAGGGCCTTCTCAGTGGTGGCCCCTCGGCTATGGAATGCCTTCCCTAGGGAAATTAGATCTTGACGTTTCAGAGGCAAGTTAAAACRTGGCTATTCGAGCAAGCGTTTGCAAATACGGAGTAGCTAATATAGGAAATCGAATGACCTGACAATGGAATTGAACAATGCTTGAGAATAATGAGATGCTGATGATGTTGCTTTTATTGCTTTTGATGTCTTATACTGTTTAATGTTTCTTTATCTATTATGTTTTATGTATACTGATTTGTTGGAAACCGCCTTGAGTCGCCAGTTGGCTGAGAAAGGCGGTATACAAATACAGCAAATAAATAAATAAATAAWTGTCAGCGCTGATTTTGTTTAAGTGCAGGCCAAGGTCTTTAGGCACTGCACCCAGTGTGCCGATCACCTCTGGGACCACCTTGACTGGCTTGAGCCACAGTCTTTGTAGTTTGATCTTTAAATCCTCATATCGTGTTTATTATTGTTGTTGTTGTTGTTTATTGTTTATTATTATTATAGAATCGTAGGATACTATTATTATATTATTATACATGCTCCAGAACCCACACATTGCCAAGGTCAACCTGGCTTCCGTGTTGTTGTTGTTGTTGTTGTTGTTGTTGTTATTGCAAAGACTAGGTGGCCCCGGGGATTGTTCCTATTTCCATTCCTATTATTATTATTTTTATGGCATGCCTGATATATACACACACACTTATACATTCTATATAACCAGCTCACTCACCTCCTCCTGAGCTCGGCCACGAAGGCCTCAGAGAGGAAGGCCTGCTCCAGGTAGGCAGCCAAAGGCTGGCCCTTCAGCTTCCCAGCAAAGTACTTCTCCGGTTTCCGGATCTGGGACTTCCGCAGGCGAGTGTTTACACGGTAGGTGTTTCCGGAGGACGTGAAGAAGGAGGACCCCTCCTCTTCCTCCTCTTCCTCCTCCCCTTCCCCTTCTTCTTCCAGCTCAGAGCCTTCCGATGGTGGGGGCGGAGGTGGAGGCACCTGCAGGGAGGACGAGGGGTTTGGAGAAAGGAAAGGCACTCAAGACATGGTCAAAGCAGCAGCAGCAGTTCAGCAGGCCAGAAGCTCCTTGGCACAGCAGTGGAGCTCTGGAAATTGACAGGATTCATAGCCCAGGAAAAGTCATAGTGTTATGTAGTGTAATATATTATAATTATGAATATAATATAATAACTATTATATTATAATAGTTATTATATTATATTCATAATTATAATATATTACTACACTACATAACACTATGACTACTACGATTACACTTTAATACAATTATAATATAATGTGCTGCAGGATCATAGCGTAATATAATTATAAATATAGAATTATAATAATATAATAACATAATATAATAACATAATGTGTACTAATAATATAATGTGCTGCAAGATCATAGCATTATTTTTATAGCAAATAAAATTTTATTTAATAATAATAATAGTAATATAATGTGCTATAGCAAGATGTCCCTCCTGCTCACTTGCCTCGGCTGCCACGCCGCCTTCTTCCTGGACGTTCCCAGACTCGAGGGGCCTCTCCCCCGGAAAGCCCTCACTCTCTGCTTCTGCTTCCTCTTCTGTTTCCTCTTCCTCCTCCTCCTCCTCCTCCTTTGCGCTGCTGTGTGCCACCTCTTCTCCTCCATCTTTCTCCTCCTTCTCCTGCTTCTTCTCCTCTCCACTTCCAGGCTCTGCTTTTGCCTCCTTTTCTCCTCCTCCTTCGTCATCTCCTCTTCCTCCTCCTCCTTCTGCATTTTCAGCTAATTCTGCTGAAAAAGGGGAGCAAGCGGAGGAGAAAGAGATGCCACCACCATCATCCACACTGGGTTCCAAGGGGAGACAGGCGCCGAGAAAGCAGGCAATGATACCAAACCCAGGCAAGCCACGCTCAAAGCTGTGTCTCTGTTGCAGGAAGGGAGGAAGCAAACTCACAGAAGAAACACAGAGCCAGAGGGGGTGGTATTAATATTATTATGATTACAATTATGATTATGATTATTAATATATAACATTTATTTATGTTATATTAGTTATAGTTTTGTTTAGTTTTATTTATTATTATACAATTATTTGTTTGTATTATATTGTATAACTATGACAATTATATGCCAGAATAGCTTGATATTATTATTATTCATTTCAAACATTTGTACCCAGCCCTTCTCAACCCCCGCAGGGGGACTCAGGGCGGCTTACAGCCAGCAACAATTCGATGCTCCCACATCCAAGATAATAAATACAGCAATTACATATAAATAATACATTAAATCATAGAATCATAGAGTTGGAAGAGACCTGGTGGGCCATCCAGTCCAACCCCATTCTGCCAAGAAGCAGGAAAATTGCATTCAAAGCACCCCCGACAGATGGCCATCCAGCCTCTGCTTAAAAGCCTCCAAAGAAGAGCCTCTACCACATACTCCAGGACAGAGAGTTCCACTGCTGAACAGCTCTCATAGTCAGGAAGTTCTTCCTAATATTCAGATGGAATCTCCTTTCTTGTAGTTTGAAGCCATTGTTCCGCGTCCTAGTCTCCAGGGCAACAGAAAACAACTTGCTCCCTCCTCCCTATGACTTCCTCTCACGTATTTATACATGGCCATCATCATGTCTCCTCTCAGCCTTCTCTTCTTCAGGCTAAACATGCCCAGCTCTTTAAGCCGCTCCTCATAGGGCTTGTTCTCCAGACCCTTGATCATTTTAGTTGCCCTCCTCTGGACACATTCTAGCTTGTCAATATCTCTCTTCAATTGTGGTGCCCAGAATTGGACACAATATTCCAGGTGTTTAAAATTAGTTTAAAATTAAAATCAATTAAACTAATACTGGCTTTCTATCAAAAATTATCAAAAATTGAATTCTGTGAACCACACAATCAGAAGCCTGTCCATAATCCTTTTTCCATAGCATTATCATAGTTGTTATCATCTTTATCAGCGAGCTACCTGAAAGCCTGGTCTCACAACCATGTTTTCAATTTCTTCCTGAAGGGGAGGAGAGATGTAGTTGACCTGATTTCGCAGGGGAGCGAGTTCCACAGGTTGGGAGCCACCGCCGAGAAGGCCCTGTCCCTCATCCCCGCCAAGTGTGTTTGCTCCAAAGGCGGGGTCGAGAGTAGGGCCTCCCCAGAGATCTTAAACTCCAAGGTGGGACATAGAGGGAGCATGTAAACATGTATGTATCTGCATATCCATATAAACCAGTGGTCTCAACCTGTGGGTCCTCAGATGTTTTTGGCCTTCAACTCCCAGAAATCCTAACAGCTGGTAAACTGGCTGGGATTTCTGGGAGTTGTATGCCAAAAACATCTGGGGACCCCAGGTTGAGAACCACTGATCTTGTAAGTCAAAACCAGCACTTTGAATTGTGCTCGGAACTGGATCGGCAGCCAGTGGAGCTGACATAGCAGCCGGGTGGTATGCTCCCTGTATGACGCTCCAGTGAGTAATCTGGCTGGACTAGTTGGATTATTATTATTACTACTACTACTACTATTATTATTATTATTATTATTATTATTATTACTTATTTCTATCTCCAAGGGGACTCTGAGGGTTAACAACCAATATTGGCAATTATTCAATGCAATAAAAACAAGGCTGAGACAACGTAACATTGATTTTAGATTACGTGGTTTTAATAATTGGTTTTATATTGGGTTTAGATGTTTTCAATATATTGGTTTTCATATATATGTTTACTTTATTTCTATGCTTGTGTGGCATTGAATTGTTGCGTATTGTAAGCCGCTCTGAGTCCCCTTTGGGGTTATGCTCGGGTATAAATATAGTAAATAATAAATCAATAAATAACCCACTGCACCCTAACCCAAAACAAACCACATCTACATCAAAAGTAACCACAGATTAACAAGAATAAAATTATGACGTAAGAAATATACAAATATTAGAATAGAATTGTGTTTAATTTTAATTATTATTCTTACACGAAAATATTTTTATTATTGAATTATTCTTTATTAATATTGAATTATTATTTATATATGTATTTTATTATGATTATATTACATAATGATTATTATTATATCCTAGAATTGTTTGATTTTATTATTATAGAATTGTCTTATTTCAATTATTTTATTACATTATTGTTATTATTGAATTATTATTCTTTATGTTTATTTTTATGTTATATAGCTATGGTTATACATATGAAACAAAGCATATACAAATTATAGAATAATTTTATTATATAATTATTATTTAATGTTATTATTGAATTATTATTAATTACGATGAATTATTTTTATATATTTATTTCTACTTTATTTATTTTAATTATTATTGAATTATTATTATTGAGTTATTTATTTATGTTTATATTTATATTATTGATTATTATTATTATTATTACTGTATTTTGATACCTCTGAAAGCAAGGCAAGGTCTTGGATGCAACATTATTCCTTCTCATTTCCAAAGGGATTAACGGTAACATGATGGGAAGCAGACATTACCTTCCTCTTCAGCTCTGGACACTCGTCTTCTTAATGGTTTCTAAACAAACAAACAAACAAACAAAACAATCAAAAAGATGCTTCCAGATAGACAACACATCTATACACATAAGAAAAGGGGAAAATGTGAAAAATGTGTATGTGACAGAGGTGTCCACTTACACAGACAAACTTCCACGAAAAGCGCTCGTTCTAAGGACATTGCAGGTTAGAGTGAGTGTCACATCCCAGGGTTCCTTTCTCTCTCCATTGATGTGGAATTTTCATTACCTCCACCCACTGGCTCTCCCTTAACCCTTTCCTATTTTTTTCTATGGTGCACAGCAATCAGAGGAATGGAACAGGGCTTTCAGGGACTGACTCAACAGGATGGAAGTTGTAGTTCACCCTGCATCAGCACACAACACTGTGACCCACCAACAATGGGCCTGGGTCACATTTGGCATACAGAACCCCCATGAACAGGTTTGAGGGGAATTGACCTTGATTGATAGGAGTTGTAGTTCACCTATATCCAGAGAGAACTGTGAACCTAACCAATAATGAATATGAACCACCAGGCCCGTAGCCAGGATTTTGTTTCGGGGGGGGGGGGGGGGGGGGGGGGGGGGCTGAGTCTGAGAGGTTCTACCCTAGCAAACCTTTTGTATCGTTACCCCAATACCCCCATGCATATGGGATATATTGAACATGGTTATCAGATCATGATATGAATAAACATAACAGTTTAAATAATGTACCAGTAAGGCCTTCTAGCGGACCACCATGAGAATTTCGGGTGGGAGGGGGCTGAAGTTGTTGTATCCCCAGTTCTTGTGTAGTTGCAAGTGCAGCAATCACATCATCCTTTAGAGGTGCCAGATGTTTTCTTGATACTCTTTTCAATGTTGGCAGTCTCTGCCTTTCTTCCTTCAATGCAGCATGGGTCAAATTTTTTTTCCTTTAAGTTCTTCTTGCTTTGTAGTCAATGTGCCAAGTGTAGTATAAGCAATGGTCACAGGCTCTTCATGCTCATTGTCTTGAAAAATTCCTGCATTTTCTTCTGGCTCTGTATGTTCAGTGGGCTCAGAAGTCATTAGATCTTCTGCAGCTGTCTCCACAGTTGTTTGTTCTTCTGTTTCACAATTGCTTCTAATTTCTTTAAGTTCGACTTCACTGAGCACCTTTTTCTTGGTGATGTATCTCCTCTGGTCAGCAAGTTGTTGTTGTTGTTGTTGTTGTTGTTGTTGTTGTTGTTGTTATTATTATTATTATTATTATTATTTCTTTCCTGCTGTTCTCTCCATGGGGACTTCAAGTCAGCTAACCATAACATGGTTATGATGATGATACTTTCTAACCCACCTCCCCATGATGTCATTATAATTTTTATGATAGACATTTTTTCCCAGCCTCCCTCTGCCCCCATTGCAGTGTACAAAAGCCTGGCCAATGGGGTGTCGCTCACCCCCCGGAAGATGTCACGGACGTGGAAGTATCGGCTGAGGGCGGCACTGTAGGAGCACAGTTCGCGCAGGACCTGCTCCGGGTGGGCCGAGGCACGGGCAGTCAGGTCCTGGTGGAAGACCACGTACCTGCAGCCGAAGAAGGGAGGGAGGAAGGGAGGAAGACAGGCCCCATCAGACCAGGAAGGGAAGGGGTCCCATGCCCCCCAAAAGCAAGCACCCCCTACCCAGCCCGGATGAAGTCCAGGGCAGCGTAGACCTTATCCAGCTGGGCCTTGAGCTTCTCGTCCGAGCTTTGCACACGCAGCTTGTCCACAGAGACATCCAGGTGGACCTCCCTCAACTGATGGAAGAATGGAGAAGGAAGGATGGATGGATGGAAGAAAGAAAGAAAAGAGGAACAGAGACCACAATTAGAACAAGGAAGGAAAGAAGGAGGTGCTGCTGGTGGGCGTGGCCTCTCCCTTCCTATCTTCCTTCCCTCTGTCCTTCCTTCTTTTTCCTCCCTTTCTTTCTTTCCTCCCTCCTCCCTGTCTTCCTCTCTTCCCTTTCCATCTCTCCCTCTCTTCCCTTTCCATCTCTCCCTCCTTTTCCATCTTCCTTCTTTCCTTCCTTCCTTCCTTCTCTCCTCCCTTTCCTCCCTTACCTTTCCATCTTCTTCTTCCTTTTTCCTTCCTTCCTCCTTTCTTCTCTCCTTCTTTCTTCCTTCTTCCCCCCTCACTTCCCTCCTTCCTTCTCTCCCCCCCCCCCCCTCCTTCCACCTTGTTGAGGCTCTCATGCCCGAGGCACTTCTGGTTGAGTGGGGCATGGAATAGAGCTCCCTCCTTCCTTTCTTTTCTCTCTCTTCCTTGTCTTCTTCTCTCTTTCCCTTTCCATCTCTCCCTCCCTTCTTTCCTATTACACTCTCTCCCTTCTTCCTTCTCTTTCCACCTTCCTTCCTCTCTCCCTTCCTGACATTTAATACTGATATTAAATGGGATGGTAACTGGGTTTGTATAGTTTTTTAAAATTACAGTTTATTACTGTGTTGTCAAAGGCTTTCATGGCTGGAATCACTGGGTTGCTGTAAGATTTCTGGGGCTGCCTGGCCGTGTTCCAGAAGCATTCTCCCTGACGTTTTGCCGACATCTATGGCAGGCATCCTCAGAGGTTGCGTGGTTGGTTTATATACATAGACCTCTCTTGCCTCGTTTCCAACTGACCTCTCAATCTCTGAGGTTGCCTGCCACAGATACGGGCAAAATGTCAGGAGAGAATGCTTCTGGAACATGGCCAGGCAGCCAGATGAAAAACTCACAGCAACCCAATTATTGCTGTTATTTCAATCTCATATTGTTGTAATTTCTGTCAATTGGTGTTTTATTGTTTTTTGTTAAATTCTGTGTGTATTTCATGCACTTCACTTGCATTGTGTTGCCATGTAAGTCGCCCCAAGTCCTTTCTGGGAGATGGGGTGGGAAATAAATAAAGTTGTTGTTCAAAAAGGGTTTAAAAACTTGGCTCTTCCGTTGTGCCTTTGAAGAGTGACCATATACTTCTTTCTTGTTGTTCCTCCCATAATGTTGTCCTCATACTGCACTTCCTCCACTTTCTGAAGGCCTGTCTCCACTATTCCGTCCCCTATGAGCTTCTCCCTTACAAAGATATCTTTTTTCAAGGCTTGGGTAATGTGATGATGGTGTTTTACTGTACTTATATTTTAATCTGTAATGATGATGCACTGTGTTGTTTTTGTATATTATTGTATATGAACACATGTTGTGAACCGGCCTGAGTCCCTCGTTCGAGGTGAGAAGACCGGTATATAAAACTTCTAAATAAATAAATAATAAATAAATAAGTATATATATTTGAATTTTTTTATCTCATCCAGAGTTTATCATTTTATATCACATATTTGGTCCGCCCGAGTCCCCTTTGGGGAGATGGTGGCAGAGTGTAAATAAAGTTTATTGTTTATTGTTGTTGTTGTTCCTTCCTTCCTTCCTCCTTCACCTCCCTCCCTTTCTTCTTTCCTCCCTTACCTTTCCATCTTTCTTCCTTCCTCATTCTTTCCTCCCTCCATTCTCCCCTCCATATCTCCTTCCCTCTTTTTCTTTCTTTCTTTCTTTCTTTCTTTCTCCCTTTCCCTTTCCCTTTCCCTCCTTCTTCCTCCCTCATTCCTTCTACCTTGTGGAGGGACTCGTGGCAGGACGTGGAGTGGCGCTCCCTCCCTCTCTCCTTCCTTCCTTCCTTTTTTCCCTTTACTTCCCTCCCTTTTCATCCCTCCCTCCTTCCCTCCACCTTGTTGAGGCTCTCGTGCTTGAGGCGCCCCTCATTGAGCCGGGCGTGGAGTTCTTCTTCCAGGCGGAGGAGGCGGTGCCGGTGGGTATCGCGCAGGATCAGCGCCTCCTGGAAGAACTGGCTCAGGTGCCGGCAGTTCACCTCCGTGTGCTTGGCCAGCCGCTCCAGGTCGCTCTGGGGAAAAGGAACAGTTTTGTCATGCGCATATTGCATATCATGAATATTGTCATATTTTATTAGTAGTGACATTTCATTATTATTGTTGTATTAGTAGTTATATATTATTCTCATTCTCCTTCTTGTATGCCTGATCTGGCCACAGTAGTGCACACCTGTTGCACCTCAGCTAGGGTTCACCTTGCTCAAGCACTCACCAGAAAGCCCAACATAGAAATAAACAGTTTATTGAAAAAACACACACAGTAAAAGAGTAAAAATCCAAATAGGTAAGATAAAAGGAGTCTTAAAAAAACAGAGATAAATCTTCAATACAAAGGTTAAAGCATGAACATAAATTCAAGTAGCAGGGTATAATTATGAGCTTGAATCATCCAAAGACATAAAACATCCACTTAAGTGATCCAAGAATCAAAGAACAATACATGAGCTTTATTTCATGGTAAAATCCCAAAGACTTAAAGCAAAACTTGACCAGGACATGACTTGGAGCAGGAACAGTGACAAATGCAAGATACGCCACTTTGGCAGGAAAAACGAAATACAAAGATACAGAATGGGGGACGATGCCTGGCTTGAGAGCAGTACATGTGAAAAAGATCTTGGAGTCCTCGTGGACAACAAGTTAAACATGAGCCAACAATGTGATGTGGTGGCAAAAAAAGCCAATGGGATTTTGGCCTGCATCAATAGGAGAGTGTCTAGGTCCAGGGAAGTCATGCTACCCCTCTATTCTGCTTTGGTTAGACCACACCTGGAATATTGTGTCCAATTCTGGGCACCACAATTCAAGAGAGATATTGACAAGCTGGAATGTGTCCAGAGGAGAGCGACTAAAATGATAAAGGGTCTGGAGAACAAGCCCTATGAGGAGCGGCTTAAGGAGCTGGGCATGTTTAGCCTGAAGAAGAGAAGGCTGAGAGGGGATATAATAGCCATGTATAAATATGTGAGAGGAAGCCACAGGGAGGAGGGAGCAAGCTTGTTTTCTGCTTCCCTGGAGACTAGGACGCGGAACAATGGCTTCAAACTACAAGAGAGGAGATTCCATCTGAACATGAGGAAGAACTTCCTGCTGTGAGAGCCGTTCAGCAGTGGAACTCTCTGCCCCGGAGTGTGGTGGAGGCTCCTTCTTTGGAAGCTTTTAAACAGAGGCTGGATGGGTGATTTGAATGCAATATTCCTGCTTCTTGGCAGGGGGTTGGACTGGATGGCCCATGAGGTCTCTTCCAACGCTTTGATTCTATGATTCTATGATTCTAAGAGTTCCTTGCTCTATCTGCTTGAGTTCATGGTAAAATCCCCAAAACTTAAGGCAAAACTTGACTAGGACATGACTCGAAGCGGGAACCAAGACAAGAGTTGTTGCTCTATCTCAGCGGTCGGGAACCTATGGCTCTCCAGGTGTGGTGGACTTCAACTCCCACAATGCCTTGAGGCTCGGCACTAGCGTGCGGGGCCGAAGCGGCGAGGAGGCGCGTTGCCCGCAGGGGTTTCCGCCCGCTCTCTCCGTCCGAGGCCAGCCTTTGCTGCCCGTCCTCCATGAAAAAGAGCCTTTTCATGGAGGACGGGCAGCAAAGGCTGGCCTCGGAGGGAGAGAGCGGGCGGAAACCCCTGCGGGCAACGCGCCTCCTCGCCGCTTCGGCTCCGCCCGCTAGTGCCGAGCCTCAAGGCATTGTGGGAGTTGAAGTCCACCACACCTGGAGAGCCAAAGGTTCCCGACCGCTGCTCTATCTGCTTGAGTTCATGGTAAAATCCCCAAAACTTAAAGCAAAACTTGACCAGGACATGACTTGAAGCGGGAATCAAGACAAGAGTTCCTTGCTCTATCTGCTTGAGTTCATGGTAAAATCCCCAAAACTTAAAGCAAAACTTGACCAGGACATGACTCGAAGCGGGAACCAAGACAAGAGTTCCTTGCTCTATCTGCTAAGTTGCTTGATCTAAAAACAAAAAGCAGTTTTCCCTCTTATTAAGGACAGCAATGCATGAAAGCATTCCTTCGGCCTTGAATAGATTCTCTTGGCCGCTTTTTCCGTCGCCTGACTTGCACCTGGAATTTGCTGAATGGGTGCCACCTTGTCGTGGTGGGGGGCTTAACTGCTCCAAGGATGCTGAGAGCTGTGCTGGCGGTAGTGTAACTACCAGCAGGTCCAACCAAGCCAGAGAGGTCTCAGCTGAGGAATGGAACCAAGAGCACCTAACCCATTAGCACTATGGAGAAGCAAACCAAAACAAAGTCTATACTGGCTCGGTCGACGCCCAGGATAAAAAGGTCGTGGTGGATGCTGCTGATTCTGGACATCCAGCGACAAGTGGGCTACAGAATCAAAATACGAATGAACCATCACAGAAGCGGCAGAAATATACAATGCCAGAAAACCACACTATTATTATTATTATTATTATTATTATTATTATTATTATTATTATATTAGTAGTGGAGAAGAGAGAGGAGGAGGAAGGACTCCCTGCTCCCAGCCTTGTAATGTGTGGATTAAATGAGATTGCATGAATGGGGTCTGGCTAATGGCCTATGGCCTGCCAAGGCTGAAGGCACCATCTTTTAAGAGAAACCTTAAAATGGAGAAACAAAGGAGGTGAAGAATTGATTAACTTTGGCATGAGAAAACCATAACCAGCCTGGGAAACTTTTGGTGTAAACCCAACAAAAGTTTTGGTGCAAACCCACCAAAAGTTGTCCCACCTATGTCATTCCAACAGACCTCACTACCTCTGAGGATGCTCGCCATAGATGCAGGCAAAACATCAGGAGAAATGCCTCTCCAGTGTTTCTCAACCTGGGGGTCGGGACCCCTAGGGGGGTCACAAGGGGGTGTCAGAGGGGTCACCGAAGACCATCAGAAAACACAGTATTTTCTGTTGGTCATGGGGGTTCTGTGTGGGAAGTTTGGCCCAATTCTATTATAGGTGAACTATAAATCCTAGCAAGTACAACTCCCAAATGTCAAGCTCTATTTTCCCCAAACTCCACCAGTGTTCACATTTGGGCATATTGAGTATTTGTGCCAAGTTTGGTCCAGATCCATCATTGTTTGAGTCCACAGTGCTCTCTGGATGTAAGTGAACTACAACTCCAAAACTCAAGGTCAATGCCTGTCTAACCGTTCCAGTATTTTCTGTTGGTCATGGGAGTTCTCTGTGTCAAGTTTGGTTCAATTCCATCGTTGGTGGAGTCCAGAATGCTCTTTGATTGTAGGTGAACTATAAATCCTATCAACTACAACTTCCAAATGTCAAAATCAATCCCTCCCCAACCCCACCAGTATTCAAATTGGGGCGTATCGGGTATTTGAGCCAAATTTGGTCCAGTGAATGAAAATACATCCTGCATATCAGATATTTACATTACAATTCATAACCGTTGCAAAATTATAGTTATGCAGTAGCAACGAAAATAGTTTTAGGGTTGGGGGTCACCACAACATGATGAACTGTATTAAGGGGTCATGACATTAGGAAGGTTGAGAACCACTGCTCTAGAACATGGCCATATAGCCCAAAAAAACCTACAACAACCCAACACATGTTTAAGTTACGGAAGTCAGAAACAATAGCTCCTTACGTTAAGGAAGTTAAATAACATATGTTCTGGAATTGATGGAGCTTCAGCAAGTCTGAGCTGAATGACAAGTCAAAACAATCAAGAAACAATAACAGCAAAAAAACTTATACATAAGGAGAGCCTTTTTTCTTTGACAGGTGTGTCCGATCCGTGAGGAATACAGAGCCTGAACACCCGCCTTCTTCCAAGATGGACTGAGTGAAGAAGGGTGGTGAGTATGAATGGTTAAATGAATGTATTAGGAGTGAATGCTGAGTATATGTGGTTCCCCCATTTGTCCGTGTAACCAATATATATAGCTATAATAAAACACAGCATTGAGTCTGTGTGTCTAGTTCTTTCTTCAAAAGGGCCTGATTAGCAACCTATCCCACTGGAAAAGGATGAAAGGACCAAAAACTCACGTCCATCTTCTCCACTTCGGCCTCGAAGCGGCTCTGGAGCCTCCCCACCAATTGGAAGAAATCTGGGTTCACGACCTTCTCGGCCTCCTCTTCAGTGCAGACCTTCATCCTCAGCAGCTTTTGCTGGAGGAGAAAAAGAGTACAAGGAATTATTATATATAGTATATAATATTAATATGTTAAAATATATAATATTAATATATATATATATACATATAATATTAATATACATTATCATAATATAATATATAACATAATATAATAATGACAATAATATTAATATGAATAATAGAAATGCCAACTCAACTCGTCTTTGGCAAGCCGTGAGTCTCTCCTTTCTTAGGGACAAATAATAGCAATAATAATAATAATAATAATAATAATAATAATAATACAAATGTCTACTCAACTGTTATTTGACACAGTCTCTTTTTTAGAGGGAAAAAATGAAATAATGATGATGATGATGATGATGATGATGATGATAATAATAATAATAATAATACAAATGTCTACTCAACTGTTCTTTGACACACTGTCTCTTTCTTAGAAGGAAAAAGTGAAATAATAATTATGATGATGATGATACAAATGTCTACGCAATTCTTCTTGGACACACTTTTCTTTCTTAGAGGGAAAAAGTGAAATGATGATGATGATGACAATAATAATACCAATGCCAACACAACTCTTCTTTGACATGCCAGGAGTCTCTTTCTCTCTAATAATAGCAGTATTATTATTATTATTATTATTATTATTATTATTATTATTATTATTGGTATCAATAATACAAATGCCAACTCAACTCTTCTTTGTCATGCTGTGAGTCTCTTTCTCTCTAATAATAATAGTAGTAATAATAATAATATAAATGCCAACTCAGGCTGCTTCAGGAGCTCTTCTTTGAGGGATGTCACCTCTTAATTCCATGGCTCTGCCATTCTGGGATGTGAGATGCTTATGCATAAATGCATCAGATGTAAATCAAGTATAAACAATAGGATGAAAAACTTAAATTATAATTAAGACACACACACACACACACACACATATATATATAGGAATTGAAGAGAGATAACACTACCGAACCTTGGCCTCCTGCACTTTGGAGAGACACTCTTGGCAGACCTTCTCGTACTGGATGCGGATCCTCATCATGAATTGGACGTTGTGTGTATCTGAAGGCCAAAAGAGACACAATGAATGTATAAGGGGATTGTCTTCCAACGCGTCTCCCTCCCGAACGAAGGTGCAGGAGCTCCGTCCTTACCAATGCGCTTGTTCAAAGCGACGAGGGACTCGTACCATTCATTCACCTTGGCCTTGGAAGGAGACAGAGGCAGTAAATCGCTGGAAAGGAGAAGATGCAGGAGAGGCATCTCAGCGCAGGACAAAGTCCATGGGTTACAGACATATGACTCACAGTTAAGGACAGGGCTGGACTGGATGTCCTTTGGGGGTCCCTTCCAAATCAATGATACTGTATCTATCTCATATATAGGGTTGAATGAAAAGTAATGCTTCCACTTTTGTTACTTGAGTTTGGATGGGAATATTTTAATAAATCAAACACAGAAATAATCCTTAGAATGTGCTCTTTAACTACCACTATTCACTTTTCCACATAATCACCAGACAATTGGATATATTTCTGCCAACAATGAACAAGTTTTCTGAAGCCGTCACAGAAGAAGTCGACATTCTGTTTCCGCAACCAGCATCCCACAGTTCTCTCAACGTCTTCATCAGAAGAATAATTATGTCTCTGCAGATCTTCTTTCATTATCGGGAACAGATGGAAGTCAGGTGGTGCTAAATCTGGACTGTATGGAGGACGCTGTACGGTGGTGAGATCCAGTCTCTGAACTTTAAAGTCTGTGCGCTTTCATTTCAGGTGTCAGCATCCTGGGTACCCATCGTGCACAGATCTTCCGATAGCCAAGCACAGCAATAATGTGACCCACACGTTCTTGTGAAATGCCAATTATGCTTGAAATTTCTCTCTGAGTGATACGACGATCATCTTGAATCCATCTGTCAACCTTTTGCTTGTGAAACTTGGTGGTTGCTGTCACAGGACATCCAACTCTTTGTTTGTCACGCAAGTCAGATGTTCCCACCTCAACATCTTTAAACTTACTCGCTCAATGACGCACAGTACTCACATCAACACAATCACCATAAACAGCTTGCATTCTCTGATGAATCTCCTTTGGGGTGACACCTTCTGCTGTCAAGAATTCAATTACTGCACATTGCTGAAGTCGCATTGACCGATCGTCTGCGCAGGGTTCCATATTTTGCACTTTAACAACACAACCGTCAATGCTAAGGCTTCCCGCCAAAATGGAACTGTAGAGGAGAGTCTACTGAACAAGCCAGTACCTACCACATACCAGTACTGCCATCTGTTGAGTTATGAAGGTGGAGGCATTACTTTTCATTCAACCCTCGTATGTATACACACACACAGAGGCAGTCCTCAAGTTAGAGACATACAACTTCCCAACGACTCCTGTTAAAGAAGAATGGGGCTGAGGCCACAGGAAGGGAGAGGACTCTTCCCCTTTGAATTCCTGTCATTTTCTCTTTTTCTTTCTCCCCTCCTCCTTTCCCTTTTTCTTTCTTTCTTTTTTTCTCCTTCTCTTTCTTCCTCTCCCTCCCCCTTTCCTACTTCTCTTTTAATCTTTCTTTCTCCCTCCCTCCCTCCCTCCCTCCCTCTTCTCTTTCCTCCTTCCTCCCATTTGCTGACCTCAGGGACCACAGCAGGGCCTTCCTCTCCTCCGTGAGCGCCAACTGGTCCTTCCTCATCTGCTGCAGCTCCATTTCCACCGCAGCCGGATTCTGGATCCTCTCGCTTCCCATGAACTCCCTGCAAGACCCCGGAGAGCACAGGAAAAAGGAGGAGAAGGGCATTGGCACAGGAAGCAGCAGTGAGGAGGAAAGCGAGGAAAAGCGGGGCTGGACTGGGTGGCCCTTCCAACTCTAGGAGGCTTTGTTTCTACGGCCTTATGTCTCTCCATCAGTCTATGGGACTGGGTGGACATCTGTTGGGAGGGATCGCATTTATGAGTGGCCCTCTTTGGGGGTCCCTTTCAACTGTAGGACTGTATAACATATCCATCTTTGATCTCTCTCTCTCTCTCTCTCAATCATATCTATGATCATCTATCCATGGCTGGGTGGCCATCTGCCAGGAGGGATCAGATTGTGCTTTTTCCTGCATAAATACCTCACTATTTATCCTTTTTGGGGTCCCCTCACTTACATATTTTCTATTCCTACCTCATTCAGGGTTTTATCATTTTACCTCGTCCATTCGGCATATTGTGGGGAATTACAGGCACTATCGTGTGGCAGGGGAGACCTTTCTTTTCTATCCCACCGTTGCCACAATTTTATATTTCTTTATTTAAGAAAAACCTCTTTACTCTTATAAGGATTCAGTTTCTTCTTTTATATTTGCTGGGACTTTCTGTGTGCTGTTTAACCTTTGTACAGGCACTGAGACACACTTCTGTATAACAAAGTAACACAGTTTATTTATAACTTCAGGCTCCAAACACTTGTGGTTACATTTGTGTTTTGTTGCAATCTTGAGACTTACAGTCAGTATAATATACTTGGTTTACTTTTCTGAAATAGACTTTCAATGTTTCTCATTCACAAACATATTACTTGCTTTACACACTTTTGACTGAAATTATGTTCTGACTAAAGCACCACTGGCTTTCTTTATGTTCCTAAAAACCTGAGCTCTATTTGACTAACTGCTTATTTCTAACAGGAGTTCCTAACTCTTTTCTCTCACAGAAGTTCCTAACTGTCTCTCACAAACAGAAATCCCTAACTCTCTAACTGTACCTCACAAACAGCAAATCCTAACTAACACTTTTGACTCTCTAACTCCCTATTTTTAAACTTTGGCTCCGCCCCTTTGGAATGTTTAGCTCGGCTCTCCCCAACTGTCATTTTGGCCTAGCAACCTGTTCAAATTCTGGGCCTATGCTAATCTGCATATGACCAATCGGCTTCCATATGCAAATGAATCCTATCTCTGCTGTTGCTACCCTGTCTGTGCCTATTCTTCCCTATCTGCCATATGCAAACATAGAACTATACACCAAAAATTTAACATAAGAGTAGCAATTTCGCTACACCTACCCATTCTAGTCGATTTTATACTGTGTTAATTTGCTTTATTTGTTTATTTTGCTACTGTATGTATTTTATTCTGATGTAATTTTTGTTGTCTGCATTTTGTATTTTATTTTGCTGTATTGTATCTTTGGGCTTAGCCTCATGTCAGCTGCCCCGAGTCTCCTTTGGGGAGATGGTGGCGGTGTATAAATAAATATTATTATTATTATTATTATTATTATTATTATTATTATTATTATTATGGGGACTGACTGGATGTCCTTTGGGGGGGCCCATTCAACTCTTGTCTTATGTCTCTCCATGAGTCTGCTAATGTGTATGGGGCTGGATGGCCCTTTGATGGGGGCTGGACTGGATGGCCTTTAGGAGTCCCTTCCAACCCTAGGATTGTATAGTTCTATCATCACTGTCACAATCACAATCATCATCATTATGCAGAACCTGGGAAGGCATCAGATGGGGGTCAGGGGCTGGACTGGATGGACTTTGGGGGTCCCTTCCAACTCTTTGATTTTTACAGTCGTATGTCTCTGAGTCTGCTAATGTCTATGGAGCTGGGTGAACGTCTGTAGGGAGGGCTTGGATGAGGGTCTGACTGGATAGCCTTTGGGGGTCCCTTCCAACTCAGATTCTATCAACTTATTCCTCCATGAACCTACTAATGCCTATAAGGCTGGATGTCAAGATCCCTCTGTCAAGAGGGATCAGATTGTACTTTTCCTGCATGAAAGCAGAAGGGGGTTAGACTGGATGGCCTTTGGGTGTCCCTTCCAGCTCTAGGAGACATTGATTCTAATGTGTATGGAGCCGGATGGCTATCTGTGGGGAGGGCTTGGATGGGGCTGGGCTGGGCTGGACTGGATGGCCTTTAGCAGTCCCTTCTAATTATGGGAGACTTTGATTCTACAGCCATATGTTTCTCCATGAGCCTGCTAATGTCTATGATTATTGCCATAATGGGATGACAAGTGTGATTTGTGACGTTTTCTTTCATGTTTTTGAGTTGCACTTCACGTCTATGAGGCTGGATGGCCCTCTGGGGCTCCCTCCCACCTGAACGCGGCCACGACGGCCTCCTTCTGCAGGGCTTTCCAGGTGCGCCTGCGCTCCTCCATGCGTCGGTGCTGCACCACCTCCCTCTTCAGGTCGGCCTCGGCCAGGTTGAGCACCAGCTGGGCAATGGCCCTCCGGTTGGCCAGCAGCGCCTGGTTGATCATCTGTATAGTGCAAGGAAGGAAGAGAAATTCCCCCAAAACAGGCATCTTGTAAAGAGCAAGGAAGGAAGAGAAATTCTCCCAAAACGGGCATAGAAAAGTACAAAGAGAATACTTTGCATTGAGTATTCAGCTGACAGCAAGCAATTCCTGAGCTTAAGGAAGCAACATGCAGAAACATTATTATTATTATTATTATTATTATTATTATTATTACAAACATCTCACAAATCTCACAAAATTTCCTATCTTCTGTACATGGATGACCTGAAGCTGTATGGGAAAACTGAACCTGAGATCCAATCTCTGACTAACACTGTCTGAATCTTTAGCACTGATATCAACATGGAGTTAATTGCCAAGGAATGTTCAGGCCCAGCCGGGAGATCAACATAATTAATCTTATTATCAGTGGCTGTTTCTCCCTTCCTGAAAGAAGGGAGCAAAAGCATACAGGGAATCCATTGGGAGGATCAAAGCCAAAAAGGAGAAGAAGCAGGGCACAAATAACAACAACAACAATAAAAAACAGGAATAATAATAATAATAATCCCAAATTGGGTCCAACTTTGGTACCCTTTTGAGTCTTTCTAGGAAGAAAAAGTGGGGGACAAATAATAATAATACTGGGTGCAGTGCCTAAAGACCTTGGCCTGCAAAAGCCTGTAAAAGTTTTACAGGCTTTCCGAAAAGCAAGTAGGTCTCGGATGGTTCGGGTTTCAACTGGCAAGGCATTCCATAAATAAGGGGCCACGATCGAGAGAGCTCTCTACCTAGTAGATGACAAATGATAAGTCCGGATGTTGGGGACTTCAAGCAAATTTTGGTCTCCAGACCGTACCGGAGTAATCTCTGGGGCTGGTAGGGGGATAAGCGGGCCTTCAGGTACGCCAGCCCCAGACCATATAAGGCCTTAAAGGTTAGTACCAGCACTTTGAAAGTGATCCGGTACTCAATCGGAAGCCAGTGCAGCTGTTGGAGAATTGGAGTGATACGATTGGCACCCCGGCGGGAAGACGAGCCGCCACATTTTACACCAGCTTCAGTTTCCGGATCACTGACAAAGGAAGGCCAATGTAGAGGGTGTTACAGTAGTCAAGCCTCGAGATGACCATCGCCTGGATCACCGTAGACAGGTCGTTCTTAGATAGGTAGGGAGCTAGTCACCTAACCTGACGTAGATGGAAAACGCAGATCTGCTCACAGCAGAGACCTGGGCCTCCATTGTGAGCAGAGGGTCCAATAAGACACCAAGGCTTTTTAGAGAAGGTGACGGATGTAGTGTCTTGCCATCCAGGGTAGGCAGCTGGATCTCCCTCCCACCCAGATGGCCCAGTCAAAGGATCTCCATCTTTGCTGGATTCACCCTCAACCTTCTGGCACGCAACCATCCAGTAACGGCCTCAAGGCACTGATGGAAATTTTCGGGTATGGAGTCCGGCCGGCCCTCCATCCTCAGAATGAGCTGAGTGTCGTCAGAGTACTGGTAGCACTCAAGCCCAAAGCTTCGCACCAGTCGGGCAAGCAGTCGCATATAGATGTTAAATAATAGAGGCGAGAGAATGGCTCCCTGCGGGACCCCGCATACTAGCAGAGACCTCTCGGAAACCATCCCTCCCCTCATCACACGCTGTCCCCGATTCTGGAGGAAGCAGGACACCCACTTAAGGGGTATCCCCCTAACCCCAGTCATGGCTAGGCGGTGGGTTAGTAGATTGTGATCAACCGTATCAAATGCTGCTGTGAGGTCCAATAACATGAGCAGCGCTGATCCGCCTTGATCCATCTGGCAGTGGAGCTGATCTGTGATGGCAACTAGCACAGTCTCCGTCCCGTGCCCACTACGGAAGCCGGACTGGAAGGGATCAAGTCCGGCCGTGTCAGTTAGAAACTGCTGCAGCTGTTCCGCTGCTGCCCTCTCAACCACCTTGCCCAGAAACGGAAGGTTCGAGACTGGGCGGTAGCTAGAGGGAACCGAACGATCTAAGTCTGGTTTTTTCAGCAGCGGAGATACCATCACCTCTTTTAAACCCTCTGGAAAAACTCCTTGCTCAAGGGAGCTATTTATTATATTCCACAGAGGTCCACYTAATCCCTCCAGGCAAGATTTAACTAGCCAGGAGGGACARGGATCAAGGGAACAGGTGGTRGGCCTAGTTAAAGTTATGATCCTATCGACAGCCTCTGCATCCAGCAGGGTGAACCGGTCGAGGATGGGCCCAGCGAGTGGCCACGGAGTCTCGAGTTCACTTACTGTATCAATCATGGAAGGGAGATCCCGGCAGAGAAGCGAGATCTTGTCTGCGAAATAGCTCCAGAAAACCTCAGCAGAAGGGGCCAGATCATTATTGTTTGGGACGGTAGGGATTGTCGTCAGAGATCTAATAATCTTAAATAACTGTGCTGGGTGTGAGCTCGCAGATGCTATCAAGGAAGCATAATGAGATTTTTTGGCCTCGGTGATAGCATGCTCATTAGACTTTCTGAAACTCTTATAAGCTGATCTCGATTCCCCATCACGGAGTTCCCGCCACGCGACCTCTAGCCGTCTCTTCTCCCGTTTCATCTCGTGGAGCTCCTCGGTAAACCAAGGAGACTGATTTTTGTGGGGTCGGAGAGGGCGTCTAGGGGCGATCTCATTGAGTGCTTTGGACAATTTGGTGTTCCATATATCCACTTGCACCTCCAGTGAGTCGCTGACAGGTTCCATGGCCTTCAGAGCATTCAGGAACCTGGCCAGTTCCATAAAATCTCTTTGGACGAACCCAAATAGGTTCGGCGCCCAGACCGGGTGAGGTGGTATGCTCAATACGGATTCCCAGGGTGCAGTGGTCCGACCATGGAACCTCCAGAACGGAGGTTAGGGTCACTTGGATTCCAACTCCGAAGATCAGATCTAGTGTGTGTCCTGCTTGATGTGTAGGCCCAGTATTATAAAGTGAGAGTCCTAGTGTCGCCATGGTCGACACAAATACAGATCTCGTTTGCTGTGACATACTGTGTTTTTGTGTCAGTAAAATAATAACAATCCATTCTAATACTAATAATGGATACATAACCGCTTTGAGTCTCCTTTTGGAGAGAAAAACAGGGTGTAAATAAAGATTATTATTATTTTATTATTATACTAATAATGGATACATAACCACTTTGAGTCTCCTTAGTGGGGAGATAAAGTGGGGTGAAAATCACCATAACAACAACAAGAACAATAATAATAATAATAATAATAATAATAATAATAATAATAATAATACATCATCAATTAGGATAGGAGGAGAAAGGAAAACAACAACAACAATAGGCATTCAGGAATGAGGGGGAAAGAAGAGATTCCTCCTCTGCCTCGCTTAACGCTCTCGATCTGCTTCTCATAGAATCATAGAATCAAAGAGTTGGAAGAGACCTCATGGGCCATCCAGTCCAACCCCCTGCCAAGAAGCAGGAATATTGCATTCAAATCACCCCTGACAGATGGCCATCCAGCCTCTGCTTAAAAGCTTCCAAAGAAGGAGCCTCCACCACACACCGGGGCAGAGAGTTCCACTGCTGAACGGCTCTCACAGTCAGGAAGTTCTTCCTCATGTTCAGATGGAATCTCCTCTCTCATTGAGGACTAGAGACTTGAGCAGTATAGGGTTGGATGCCACTTACCATGGCCTCCTTGTGGATGAAGCGATGGACATCAGCCTTCAAGAGGTAAGCCACGTCCTCCAAGATCTGGGTGTATTTGGCCAACAGGAGCTTGATCTGGAAAGCAAAGCAGAAGGAGAGTATATAAATATTAATAATAATAACAAAAACACTAGGTAACACAATTTTTGTTCCTGGGGTGTAAATGTCATTCCTAATAATGTAAAAATGAATCCCTTTTATACAATATAAATAACAATAACCATAATAAAGGATCCAATAATAATAATAATAATTACTGTACAATATAATATTGAAATAAATAAAAATAAAAATAATATAAATAAATAATAATATATAAAAATAAATCCCTTTTATACAATATAAATAATAATCACAATAAACAATACAATAATAATAAATAACTATACAATATAATAATAATAATGATAAAGAAAGAAAAAATAGGTAAAATGAAAAATATAACTAATTAATAATATAAAAATAAATAACTTTTATATAATATAAATAATAAATATATACTAAATAAAATAATAATTATGCAACACTGTAATAATAAGAAATATAAATATAAATAAATATATATACTGCTATAATAAAAATTATATAATATAATAACAACATAAATTATAATAAATACATATATTATATTAATAAAGTAATTAATAAATATACATAAACAATAATTGATAATATAAATAATAATACAATAATAATATAAATGATGATATAATAAAAATAGGTACAAATAAAAATAAGAATAATAAAACAAAATTCCATGATATTATAATAATAATAAAAGCACAACTGTAACTATATAATATAATAATTATGTGTATAATTATATGTAATGATATAATAATTATATATATATATATATAATCCAATAATAATAATAATAATAATAATAATCTTCTATATAAATAAAAAAATAATGTATGTTTGTGGGATTAACATAACTCAAAAACCACTGGGCAAATTGACACCAAATTTGGACACAAGACACCGATCAGGCTAACAAGTGACCATTACTCATAAAAACACTGAAAAACACAGCAGAAGAGACTTAAAAAGCCAAAAACAAAAAATACATTACAACGCATGTGCACAACCACATATATATACACAAACACACAAAAATACACATATACACAAATATATACACACACAAAGCACATATACACAGACTGGGCCACAGAAACGTGTGGCAGGGGACAATTAGTGATAATAAATAATGACACAATACAGTCAAACATCAGACCTCAGATCTCCATAACACTGATCAGCCTATCAGGAACGCAAAGCAGTTACTGCTACCCTGTTTTGGGCTGGCATGGCACTCACCTGCTGGGCACGATCCCGCTCCGCGCTGCGCAAGGCCTCCTCCAGGTCCCGCAGCCACTGCCGCCTCTGCAGGGTCTCCCGCAAGGCGAGGTCCCAGATCTCCTCAAAGTCCTTCCGGGAAGGAGAACACTCCATTCATTCCAAAGGTGCATTGAGGGAACCTTGTAAGGCTTGGGCACCAGGGCCTATGATCTATCTCTCCATCATATCTATGGCCATCTATTGATAGCTGGGTGGCCATCTGTCAGGAGGGATCGGACTGTATGTTTCCTGCCAAATGGCAGGAAGAAGGGGGCTGGGCCATCTGTTAAAATGACTTTGACTGTGTCTTCCAAGCATAATGGCAGAAAGGGGAGGCTGGACTGGATGCCCTCTGGGGGCCCCTTCCAATGGAGTATTCTTGGCCATCTGTTGGGAAAGATCAGACTGTGTGTTTCCTGCATAATGGCAGAAAGGGAGAGGCTGGACTGGATGCCCTCTGGGGGTCCCTTCCAATGGAGTCCCCTTCTCTGGAGGTTTTAACAAATGCTGGATAGCCGTCTGTCAGGAGGGCTTTGACTATGTGGCAGAGGAAGAAGGGGCTGGGCTGGCTCCCCTCTGGGGGCCCCTTCACCTGTATGGTGTAGGCCTGGAGGCCGGCATCGTCAGCCAGCCTTTGGAAGAGCCGCTCGATGCTTTGGTCGGAGGCCGAGAGGTTGGCCAGGAACTGCTTCCCGGGCTCCACGAGGCAGCGCTCCATTTTCTGGAAGGGAAGAGAAGCTTATTGTTATCATCATTATTATTAATAATACTGTAGCATTAATGCAGCTTGACACCACTTTACGGAATTGGCGTTCACAAAGGCTTAAGCGCAAGCCTCCTCTGGTCGACATAATACATTCTTTCTCCCTCTCAATGTGTTTCGGGCCCAACCTACCTTCCCCACTTGCACCATGTCCTGCCTCAGGGCAGCCAGGCCTCCCTCATAGCGGCGCTTCCTGCTCTCCGACAGGCGCTCCAGGATGTCGCTGTGCTTCTTCTCCGGAACTGCAGGGAACATCACCATTATTAGCACTGTTATTATTATGGGTTCTCCTCCTCTTCATCCTGGGAAGAAGGTGCTATTTGGTGCCATTAAGAGGGCTCTGTCCTATTATTATTATTATTATTATTATTATTATTATTATTATTACAAGGGTTGAATGAAAACTCATGTCTCCACCTTCGTAACTCCTCAACACATGGCTGTACTGGTATGTGGCAGGTACTGGCTTGTTTAGTAGACTCTCCTCTAGAGTTTCATTTTGGTGAGAAGCCTTAGCATTGAATGGTTGTGTTCTTAAAGTTCGAAGTATGTAACCGTGCGCAGACGATCGGCCAATGCAACAGATTGATTCAGGACAATTATCATATCACTCAGAGAGAAATTTAAAGCATAATCGGCATTTCACAAGAACGTGTGGGTCACATTATTGGTTTGCTGGGCTATCGGAAGATCTGTGCACAATGGGTACCCAGGATGCTGACGTCTGAAATGAAAGCGCACAGACTTCGTCTGTGTCGGCTTCCGAAAACTTGTTCATTGTTGGCAGAAATGTATCCAATTCTCTGGTGATTATGTCGAAAAGTGAATAGTGGTAGTTAAAGAGCACATTCTAAGAATTAATTCTGCGTTTGATTTATTAAAATATTCCCATCCAAACCCAAGTAACGAAGTTGGAGGCATTACTTTTCATTCAACCCTCATAATAGTATTATTATTATTATTATTATTATTATTATTATGGTTCCCCTTCTTCATCTTGAAAAGAAGTGACTCCTTGGTGACACAAAGAGGGCTCTGTCCTATTATAATTAATATTGTTATTGTGCCATAAAGAGGGATTTATTATTGTTGTTATTTATTTATTTAATTGCCGTATTTGTCAACGCTGAAGGAGACTCAATGCAGACTTACACATAGGCAACTATTCAATGCCTTAAAAACAACGTGCAATTGAAATAAACATTTCAATTAAGACTTAAATTAATACACATTAAAACAGTTAAAAAGATTACATCAATTATTAAAAACAAATACTCCACAATCGTAATCCGAGGCCATTCCAATGGTAATTACGCATATTCCATATCCTTCTATTGCCCTTCTCCGGAGACTTGATCCCAAAACCATGTTCTCACTCTCTTTCTGAAGGCCAGAAGGGAGGGGGATGATCTAATATCACTGGGGAGGAAGTTGTTGTTGTTGTTATCCAGCTGTTTTTCTTCAATCCTGCTCTCGCCTGGGATTGCAACATCGACAACGCACACATTGTTTTTCCCCACAATCGTGAGGTCAGGAGTCTTGTGCTCCAAAATTCTGTCAGTCTGAATTCGGAAGCCCCAGAGCAGTTCAACGTGTTCATTTTCTGTAACTTTTTCCAGCTTGTGATCCCATCAGTTCTTTGTCGCAGGCAGATGGTATTTGTGGCACAAGTTCCAATGAATCATCTGAGCAATGGTGTTATGCCTCTGCTTGTAGTCTGTCTGCACAATCTTCTTGCAGCAGCTGAGGATGTGATCTATTGTTTCATCTGCTTCCTTGCAGTGTCTGCACTTGGGATCTGTCGTCGACTTTTCTATTCTGGATTTGATGGCATTTGTTCTAACGGTTTGTTCTTGTGCTGCCAGACTCAGGCCCTCCTTATTATTATTATTGTTATTATTATTATTATTATTATTATTATTATTATTATTATTATTATTATTATCAGAAACACCTCAAGATGAGTCCACAGCAGACACTCTGCTGGCTGTTGTATTGGATCACACGTCGGACACTTCCCAAGCTGTTGTTGTTACTCTATTATTATTATTATTATTATTATTATTATTATTATTATTATTATTGTGCCGTCCTGTGCCTTTCAAACTTGTTCAACATCATCATCATCATCATTACTATTATTTTGGTTCTTCCTCTTCATGCTGGAAAGAAGGGACTCTCTGCTGGAAGCTTTTGTTTCTAAAGTAGGAATCTGAAGCGGGAAGAAACTGCAAAGGACAAAGAGGGTGCTTTTTGATGCTTTATGTGCACGACATTCAGCAGCAAACTCTTTCTTATTGTTTCAGGGTTTTGGAAATGAAGGCGTGGCACTTGAATAAATCAATAAATCAAACAAGTAAAATAAAAGTAACGAAACGCCCCCAAGTGCGGCCACTTACTCACGATTTCGGCCAGGCCCCGGACTTCTCTGGCCGCCACCACATTCTCGCCTTCTTGGTTCCTTAGGAAGGCCAAGGCAGCGGCTTCCCTGAAACAGAAAGCTTGACTTTTAGCAAATACAATTAAAATCTGATATCGTTCTCAAATAATATTCTGTGCCCAGGTTAGTTCACTCAGTGCTCTGCTTTGGGTGTCTTCTCTTGCTGAACGAGTTGTTGGGCATGCCCTGGACCCAAAGGAGCCTCAAACCAGCTATGTATTATTACTGTTATTATTATTACTAGCCGTCCCCTGCCATGCGTTGCTGTGGCCCAATATGTGTATATGTGTTTTGTGTGTGTATATATGTGTTTATATCTGTGTATATATTTGTGTATTTGTGTTTAATATGTGTATATGTATATGTGTGTAGGTGTATATGTATGTGTATATACTGTATGTGTATATTTGTGTGTGCTTGCATCTGTATATATATGTATATGTATGTATATATATGTATATATATGTATGTATATGTGTTTGTGTGTGTGCGCACATGTATATGTCTATTTCTGTGTTTATATGTGTATATGGGGAGCCCCCGTTGGCACAGTGGGTTAAACCGCTGAGCTGCTAAGCTTGTTGACCGAAAGGTCACAGGTTTGAATCCAGGGAGCGGTGTGAGTGTCTGCTGTAACACCCAGCTTCTGCCAACCTAGCAATTCGAAAACATGCAAATGTGAGTAGATCAATGGTACCGCTCCAGTGGGAAGGTAACGGTGCTCCAAGCAGTCATGCCAGTGGCCACATGACGAAGGTTTCAATGGACAACGCTGGCTCTTCAGCTTAGAAATGGAGATGAGCACCACACCCCAGAGTTGGACACGGCTGGACTTAATGTCAGGGACAAACCTTTACCTTTACTTATGTGTATATGTATATTGTGTATATGTGTGTGGTTGTGTATATGAATATATGTGTGTAGGTGTATATGTAGGTATGCATATGTGTATATTTGTGTGCTTACAAATATATATGTATGTGTCTGTATGTATGTGTGCTTCTGTATATGTATATGAATATATGTGTATATGTATATATGGTTTATTTTGGGGGATTTTAATGTCCGTTCTGCAGGGTTTTTGTGTGTGTTTTTAGGGGTGATGGTCACTCATGGACCTGATAGGTATCTTGTGTCGAAATTTGATGTCAATTCGCCTACTGGTTTTTGAGTTATGTTAATCCCACAAACGAACATTACATTTTATTTATATAGATTATTATCTTTTAATATCCTCTTTTCTCTCCAAATGAGAGTCGCAAAGCATCTCAAAATAAAGCCGGCATGATATCATTTCTAACCTAAACATATAGAAACTCTCTTTCCCCTTATGATTATATTTATTCACCTGCAGAGGACAGGGTTCTCGACGTGGTCGTCGTTGGGCATGCCCTCGACCCAGTCCCGCTGCCGCTGGGAAAGGAAGCCATGGCCAGAACACACTTCAGGGTCGTGCACCACAGGGATGGCTCCAGAGGGTGGGGGGACCACCTTCCCCTGCGCACGCTTGCTCCGGGACACCCCCAAGGAGCGCACCAGGCTGACCTGTCCAACACAAAGGCACCATTATTGCGCTATGTCACACCATGATTTTTGCTTCTGCGTTATCAATGTCATTTCCTACTTGGTGCTATCAAACAAAACATTTCGAACGTTTACTAAACTGAAAGAACTTTATTTTTGGAAAATGATGATAATAACAACAACCTCAAGGTGACAATAAATAAAATAATATAAATAATATAATACTATATCATTATCAATAATAATAATAACTTCAAAATAATAACTTCAAAATAATAATATAAAATATTACATATTATCAGTACTACTGTACTATTGTTCTCTGAAGGAGAACAATAGTAACTCAAAATGCCAGATATATCGTGCACAATGTTTGAACTGTAATGGACCCCAAGTAGTGCGAAGAGCCTGATTTTAGGCTAAGCTAGCTTTCTTTTTAAACTGTGATAATTTAATGTGCGTTCTTAATTGCATAATTTTAATTTCATGTTAAATGGCAGAAAATAAATAAAGTTTAATGTATCGTCGAAGGCTTTCATGGCTGGAATCACTAGGTTCTTGTGGGTTTTTTCGGGCTATAGGGCCATGTTCTAGAGGCATTTCTCCTGACGTTTCGCCTGCATCTATGGCAAGCATCCTCAGAGGCAGTGAGGTCTGTTGGAACTAGGAAAATGGGTTTATATATCTGTGGAATGGCTGGGGTGGGGCAAAGAGCTCTTCCCTGTTGGAGCTAGGTGTGAATGTTTCAACTGACCACCTTCATTAGCATTTGAAGGCCTGGCTGAGCCTGGGAAAATCTTTTGTTGAGAAGTGTTAAGATGTGCCTGGTTTTTTCCTCTCTGTTGTTTTGCTGTTGTAATTTTAGAGTTTTTTTAATACTGGTAGCCAGATTTTGTTCTTTTTCATGGTCTCTTCCTTTCTGTTGAAATTGTCCACATGCTTGTGGATTTCAATGGCTTCTCTGTGTAGTCTGACATGGTGGTTGTTGGTGTGGTCCAGCATTTCTGTGTTCTCAAATAATATGCTGTGTCCAGGCTGGTTCATCAGGTGCTCTGCTATGGCTGACTTCTCTGGTTGAAGTCTCCAACTCTATTTTCACGCATGCTGTTTTGATTGGATTAAAGAATGGATGACCTTAGAAGACAATGAACTACTCGATCTAGAAGGCCTAAATCTCCCATTCGGATGGCATGCATATCTGGACATACAAAAGGCCAAACCAACAGGCATATTTAATGATCACTATATACGGAGACCAATTCTAAATACCTGGAACAGATATAAAAACAGAATTTACACAAAGACACCGGAGTGGATGTCCCCACATGAAGCATATTATAAAAAGGAGAATATCCTCCAAGGGAAATGGCTAACCTACAGGGAACTGATCCAGATTGATTTAGAAAAACCAGAAATGAAATCCCTAGAAGAACTAAACCAAAAGGGCCTTAAATGCAATTGACTTCTGCATAGACAACTGCGAGAGAAATTTAAAGAACAACTTAGAACCTCAGGCTTCCAGACAGCGAAAACATGGTTTGATGTGGCAATGTTTCAGAAACCAAAAGGTCTTATATCATATATATACAAAAATTTACTGACTTGGCACACGGAAGAGGAAATAGTAAAAGATTCTATGGTTAGATGGGCCCAAAATATAGGCCAAGAGATAAAAATGTCCCAGTGGGAAAAGACATGGAAGAGAAGAATGAAATACACGGCATGTCAAAACTTAAAGGAAAATGTTTATAAAATGCATTTGCGATGGTATCTCTCTCCAGAGAGACTAGCTAAGATGTACAATTGTTCCAACAAATGTTGGAAATGTGGGAAAGAAAAAGGTACATTCTACCACACATGGTGGTCTTGTAGCAAAGTAAAAAATTACTGGAAACAGATCCACATATATCTTGAAAAAATGTTAAACATAGATGTACTGCTATTTCTAGCCACTGTGCGAAACAGTATTCAGATTACCACACAATATTGCTTTACATGAGGAAAAGTGTGGCTTTTGTTTTGTATTTTTTCAATATAGAAATTCTTGTGTCTTATTTAAATAAAAATATTAGGGAAAAAAATGTTAAACACAAATTTCAAAATGACACCTCAAATGTACCTTTTGAATATGCCCGAGGAAGAATTAGAAAGAAAATTTGGAAAAAAAATTGTTTTACACAACAGTGGCAGCTAGAATAGTATATGCTAGATATTGGAAAACCCCAGATATACCTCCCTTAGAAGAATGGGAAAATATATATTATAGATATGTTGATAATGAACAAAATAACTGTATTATTAAGAGGAGAAATACTAGACAACTTCGTTAATGAATGGCAACCAATGATTCAACACCTTAATGTAAAGCTAAATTAAAAATGTATATAGAGGATCCTATAAGACTGTAAGGAGCCCCCCGGTGGCGCAGTGGGTTAAAGCACTGAGCTGCTGAGCTTGTTGATCGAAAGGTCGCAGGTTCGATTCCGGGGAGTGGTGTGAGCTTCCGCTGTCAGCCCTAGCTTCTGCCAACCTAGCAGTTCGAAAACATGCAAATGTGAGTAGATCAATAGGTACCGCTCCGGCGGGAAGGTAACAGCGCTCCATGCAGTCATGCCGGCCACATGACCTTGGAGGTGTCTACAGACAACGCTGGCTCTTCGGCTTAGAAATGGAGATGAGCACCACACCCCAGAGTCAGACATGACTGGACTTAATGGCAGGGGACTACCTTTACCTTTTATAAGACTGTAGACAAGGAAGAAGTGGATGTAAAGTAAGAATCTATGATATCTTTTTATGTAATATTTAGATAGTAGACTGTGACCCATTAATAGAAATATATTATGAGATAAAGGATTACAGAACATTAATAGATGGAGAGTATTGCACTGTATGCAACAAACACTTGCAAATGTATGTTTACTTAAATAAAATTTTAAAAAAAGTAGTCTGCAGCGCCTTTCATGTGGTCAGTGGAAACATTCACACCTAGCTCCAGCAGAGAAGAGTCCTTTGTCCCACCCTGGTCTTTCCACAGATATATAAACCCATTTTTCCTACTTCCAACAGACCTCACTACCTCTGAGGATGCTTGCCGTAGATGCAGGCGAAACGTCAGGAGAGAATGCCTCGAGAACATGGCCATATAGCCCGGAAAAACCCACAAGAACCTAGAACATTACATTTTTATTTGTATAGATATCCGATGCAATACGAAATGCGAATGCGAAGAGCCAGGGCGGGAAGGCTCACCTCATCGTCGAAGACTTGCCGGTAGACCTTTCCGCTGGGGAGCACGCGGGCCACGCCCACCGAGGGGGTTGCCATGGCACCCGGGGGACTTCCGCTGGAAGGCCCGCCTCCTGAGCCGGGGGGGGGCTCCCTTACATTACTTTACGATCTGTCTGTGTAATGTGAACCTTCCTTTCCCTCTGAAGGGCGACCTTTCGGCGGGGAAACGCGCCTCCCTGGCTCCCTGGCTCGCGCGGAGGCCTCGCAGACACCTCCACGCCGGAGCCCGCTCGGCTCAGAGTGCCTCTCCGTCGGCATGGCAACCGGGGGAAATCAAAGTCACGCGGAGCCTGAACTGTCGCGAGACGAGGCGGGACCCAAGATGGCACGTGCCGGGACGCTGTTGCCATGGAGACGCAGGCAAACTGGGCCTGGTCTCGTATCCATACCAGTGATTCCTTCTTCATCGCTGTGATACTTCACCTTGTTGATGGAAGCTTCCCACCAGAGTGGAAATCATCTATCGGACAGATGGCAAGCTGTTTAACCTCAGCAGACTGAAAGCCAAAACCAAGGTCACAACAACATCTGTTATAGAACTCCAGTATGCTGATGACAACGTCGTCTGTGCGCATTCAGAAGAAGATCTACAAGCCACTCTATTATTATTATTATTATTATTATTATTATGGGGCGACTCACAGCAGTGTACAACATAGAAAGAACAAGATTCAAAATTCAAGACACAATATAAAAATAATCCACAATCCAGCATTAACCAAAAAACATCATCATCATTAAAAAAATCATCTACTACGAAAGCTATTCAGCGTCGTCTCATCGTCCAAACCACAATCCAGTATCATTTTCCGTTGTTCCATTCCTATAGTCATTACCAATCATTGCACTTCTTGTTCGAACGCCTTCTTGAACAACCAAGTCTTTAATTTCCTGCGGAATATCATCAGGGAAGGAGCCAGTCTGATGTCCACGGGAAGGGTGTTCCACAGCCGAGGAGCCACCACCGAGAAGGCCCTGTCTCTCGTCCCGCCAGGCGTGCCTGTGAGGCAGGCGGGATCGAGAGCAGGGCCTCCCCGGATGATCTCAAAGTCCTGGTGGGCTCGTAGGTCGAGATGCGGTCGGATAGGTATCTTGGGCCAGAACCGTTTAGGGCTTTATAGGCCAACGCCAGCACCTTGAATTGAGCCCGGTAGCAAATCGGCAGCCAGTGGAGCTGGTACAACAAGGGAGTTGTATGCTCCCTGTGTCCCGCTCCTGTTAGTAACATGGCTGCCGCACGTTGGACCAGTTGAAGCTTCCGGGCCGTCTTCAAGGGCAACCCCACGTAGAGAGCGTTGCAGTAGTCTAAACGGGATGTAACCAGAGCGTGGACTACCGTGGCCAAGTCAGACTTCCCAAGGTACGGGCGCAGCTGGCGCACGAGCCTAAGCTGTGCAAATGCTCCCCTGGTCACCGCGAAACCTGGGGCTCCAGGCTCAGCGATGAGTCCAGGAGGACTCGCAAGCTGCGAACCTGTGCCTTCAAGGAGAGTGCAACCCCATCCAGCATAGGCTGTAACCCTATGCCCTGTTTGGCCTTGCAACTGACCAGGAGTACCTCTGTCTTGTCTGGATTCAAACTCTAAACACGTTTGCAGAAGCATACGAGAAGCTAAGCCTCCCATTGAAAATCGAGAAAACCAAAGTGCTGTTCCAGCAGACACCAGCCAATCTGTCCAAACGCATCTCCTTCTACGTCCCGCTTCAGAGTTTAAGATCTTCTGGGGAGGCACTGCTCTCGGCCCCACCTCTATCACAAGTGAGAAGGTGGGGACGAGGAGCAGGGCCTTCTCGGTGGTGGCCCCTCACCTGTGGAACTCACTCCCCGGGGAAATTAGGTCATCAACATCCCTCCTTTCCTTTAGAAGGAAATTAAAAACCTGGATTTGGGTCCAGACTTTCGGGTAATCTGGCGGATAGATAAGGGACAAGCGATGACCGGAATTGTTGGATTGGACAATGTGGAATTTGAATTTACGGACTCTGAGATGATAAACGTTGAGCACTAGATTGTTTTTAGGGACTGTGATATATAATGGATTGTTTTAATTGTTTAATTATTGTTTATATGTTTTATTTCTTTGACCTTGTTGTTGTGCCGGCATCGAATTGTGCCTTTTTGTAAGCCACCCTGAGTCCTCCCTCGGGAGTTGAGAAGGGCGGGGTAGAAGTGCAAGAAATAAAATAAATAAATAAATAAATCCCTCTCCAATGCCAGAGATACAGCTTAATGGTATAACATTAGAAAATGTTGACCATTTCCGCTACCTTGGCAGCCACCTCTCCACCACAGTCAACATCGACACCGAAATTCTTCCGAATGAAGCAGAGAGTGTTTGAGGACCAGGACATCCATAGGGATACCAAGGTGCTTGTCTATAAAGATATTCTCCTCCCAACCCTGCTATATGCCTGCAAAACATGGACTGCCTACAGGCATCACATGCAACTCCTGGAACGATTCCATCAGCACTGCCTCCGGAAAATCCTGCAAATCTCCTGGGAAGACAGGCAGACAAACGTCAGCGTGCTGGAAGAAGCAAAGACCACCAGCATTGAAGCGATGGTCCTCTGCCATCAACTCCACTGGACCGGCCATTTTGTCCAGATGCCGACCACTGTCTCTCAAAGCAGTTGCTCTACTCTGAACTTAAGAACGGAAAACGGAATGTCGGTGGACAGGAAAAGAGATTTAAAGATGGCCTCAAAGCCAACCTTAAAAACTCTGCCGTAGACACTGAGAACTGGGAAGCCCTGGCCCTTGAGCGCTCCAGTTGGAGGTCAGCTGTGACCAGCAGTGCTGCAGAATTTGAAGTGGCACGAATGGATGGTGAAAGAGAGAAACGTGCCAAGAGGGAAGTCATGCTACCCCTCTATTCCGCTTTGGTTAGACCACACCTGGAATATTGTGTCCAATTCTGGGCACCACAATTCAAGAGAGATATTGACAAGCTGGAATGTGTCCAGAGGAGGGCGACTAAAATGATCAAGGGTCTGGAGAACAAGCCCTATGAGGAGCGGCTTAAGTAGCTGGGCACGTTTAGCCTGAAGAAGAGAAGGCTGAGAGGAGTTATGATAGCCATATATAAATATGTGAGAGGAAGCCACAGGGAGGAGGGAGCAAGCTTGTTTTCTGCTTCCCTGGAGACTAGGACACGAAACAATGGCTTCAAACTACAAGAAAGGAGATTCCATCTGAACATGAGGAAGAACTTCCTGACTGTGAGAGCCATTCAGCAGTGGAACTCTCTGCCCCAAAGTGTGGTGGAGGCACCTTCTTTGGAAGCTTTTAAACAGAGGCTGGATGGCCATCTGTCAGGGTGATTTGAATGCAATATTCCTGCTTCTTGGCAGGGGGTTGGACTGGATGGCCCATGAGGTCTCTTCCAACTCTTTGATTCTATGACAGGACATCAACACTAAAGTGTTGGCTTCAGCCTATAAAGCCCTAAATGATTTGGGCCCAGCTTACCTGTCCAAACGTATCGCCTCCTATGAACCATCTAGGAGCTTAAGATCGTCTGGGGAGGCCCTGCTCTCACAAGTGCAATTGGCAGAGACGAAGGACAGGGCCTTCTCAGTGGTGGCCCCCGGTCATGGAATTCCCTCCCTAGGGATATTACATCACCCCCCTCCCTCCTGACTTTCTCAAAAAACGTAAAGACCTGGCTCTTTGAGCAAGCTTTTGAGAATGCAGCAGAATAGATAACACGGAGCTATGAACGATGAACATGGAATGGCCAGACGATGTTACTGGATAACGTTTTTAACAGGATGACACCAATGATTATATGTTTGAATGGTTTTTATATATGTTTTGTATTGTAATGTTGATTGTTTTAATGGCACTTGTATGAATGCCTGACATCGAATTGTGCCAATCTGTAACCTGCCTTCAGTCGCCGTATGGCTGAGAACGGCGGGCTATAAATGTCGTAAATAAATAAATAAACTGTTTGTTTGTCACGCAAGTCAGATGTTCCCATCTCAACGTCTTTAAACTTACTCACCCAACAAATTAGATTAGATTAGAAATTAGATCGGCCCCCTCCCTGTTCACATTTCGGAGGAAAGTGAAGTCCTGGTTGTTTGAGCAGGCATTTGAATAGGCAGTGTAACTAATATGGAACATTTGGATGATGAGACTGGATCTTAATTTTAACTATGAGATGAGATGTTATGATGTTTATTGATTGTTATAATGTTGTTCTTTTAACTTATTTTTAACTGTTTTATCACGTTTAAGTATTGTATTTGCTTTGTTACCTGCTTTCAGTCACCCTGAGGGCTGAGAAGAGCGGTATACAAATATAGTAAATAAACAAACAAACAAACAAACAAACAAACAATGCATAGGCGTTTCAGAGGAAAGTGAAGACCTGACTATTCGAACAAGCATTTGATTAAACAGTATAATTGAACATAGAAATACGGAATAATGGATGACGAGACTGGATTCTGATTTTACTGTTGAGGCGCTATTGATTGTTATACTGAAGTTAGTGATTTATGTTATAATTGTTTTAATTGCCTGATACTGTTTTGTAATGCTTTGTATTGATGTTGTTCACCGCTTTGAGTTGCCTGAGGGCTGAGAAAAGCGGTATAGAAATAAAGTAAATAATAAATAATAATAATAGTACCGACACCAATACAAATTCCATAAACAGCTTGCATTCTCTGATGAATCTCCTTTGGGGTGACACCTTCTGCTCTCAAGAATTCAATGACTATACGTTGCTTAAGTCAACTTAAGAACAAACCTACAGAACCAATCTTGTTCGTAACTTGGGGACTGCGTGTGTATGTCTGTATATGTGAATGTCCCTGTTCCAGCATACATGCACATTCAGCTTAAGGACAAACCTTGTTCCTCACTTGGCAGCTGCCCGTATTGACTTGAATACTGAAACACCGTAATCAATCCAAAGCGAATAAGGAGACACTTAACGTAATGTACTACAAAATTATTGTATTGTACAAACATTTTGTTTTTCAATTGAAATCATTGTTTCTTCCCCTTCTTTTCCAGTTTCTTTGGCATCTCTTATGTCTTTGTTCCTTTAGATCAGGCCTGGGCCAACTTCGGCCCTTCAGGTGTCTTGGACTCGCTGTCAGGAATTGTGGGCGCTGAAGTCCAAAACATCTGGAGGGAGGGCCATAGAAGCTGGCCCTGGACAGTGTTTGAGGCCTTGCAAGGGGAGTCACCTGAGTACCCCTGTCTCCGTTGACTGCAGAACAGCAGTGCGAGGGAAGCTGTCCTGTCTCATCGGAGTCCTGTCTCATCAGAGCCCCGCCTTCTCCAGGTCCCCCGGCAGGACCCGCCCCTTCTTGCGCGCCTTGGCCTTCCTCTGCTCGGCCTTGCCTTGCTTCCTGCGCTGGAGGTTCCTGCGGCGTTTCTCCTGCCGCTGCTGCATGCGCTGGGCAGCCTGCTCGGTGCGCTGCCCCCACTTGCGCTGCCGCCGCGCCTCCTGCTTGCGCTTGGCCTTCAGCGCCGCCTGCAGCCGCCCCTCGTCGTCCCGCACACGCACCCCCTCTGCCCGGTAGAGAGCGCTGCTCCAGCGCATGCGGGCCTCCAGCGCTCGTGCCTTCGCCTCGTCTGCCTCCTTCAGGGCTTCGACTCGGCTCTTGCGCACTTCCAGGCGCTGCAGCAGCTGCCGGTAGTTCTTCCCGGTCAGAGGTGTCAGGCCGGCCTTCGCCGCCTTGCGCTTCTCCCGCCGCTTCTCCGCTTGGCTCAGTGCCCCTTCCTCGCGCACTGTCACCTTGTTGAAAACGATGGACCCCGCTGTTGTTGCTGTTGCATGTTTACCGTCTTCACTCAAAACGCCCTCCTTGGCTTCCTCTTCCTCCTTCTTTTCCTCCGCCGCTTTCACCTTCATCCTTAGCTCCTTCCTCCGCCGCTTCTTCCGCTCTCGCTCGTACTTCCTGCGCTGCCTCTTCTCCAGCACCGCCGGCGACAGTTCAGTGCAGCGGCCCTGTGGGAAAGCAGAGCATCAGCCTCCTCTGCGAATCACATTATTATTGTTGTTGTTATCTTTATTTATTCCCCATCTTTCTCCCTGCGAGAAATCAAGATGGCTTACAATAACATTATTGTTATTATTATATTTATAATAATAATAATAATTATTATTATTTAGCTGCCCTGTGTCCCTCTGCGAGGACTCAAGGTGGCTTACAATAACTATTATTATTTATGATCTCACCACACTAAAACAGTGGATGTGGCTCTTAATGAGACATGCCGCATTATCACAGGGTGTCTGTGCCCTACACCACTGGAGAAATTACACTGCTTTGCACCACCTGACATCCGCCAGGAAGTAGCAGCCAATAGTGAAAGGACCAAGGCAGAGACATCTCCAGCTCATCCCTGTTTGGGTATCAGCCAGCACGTCAACGACTTAAATCAAGAAATAGTTTTATAAGATCTACAGAGACACTCACTGGAACACCTCATCAAGCGAGAGTCCAAAAGTGGCAGGCTCAAACCCAGAACCTCAATCAATGGCTGATACCAAATGAGAGACTCCCCCTGGGCACACAGAAAACTGGGCGACTTGGAAGGCGCTGAACAGACTGCGCTCTGGCACCACGAGATGCAGAGCCAACTTAAGAAATGGGGCTACAAAGTGGAATCCAACATGCGAGTGTGGAGAAGAGCAAACCACTGACCACCTGCTGCAATGCAACCTGAGCCCTGCCACATGCACAATGGAGGACCTTCTTGCAGCAACACCAGAAGCACTCCAAGTGGCCAGATACTGGTCAAAGGACATTTAATCAACTACCAAACTCACAAATTTTGTATTTTGTCTGTTTGCTTGCTTTGTACTGTTAGAAATGTAATATAATTTGACTGGTTGTCCTGATACGACAAATACATAAATTTATGATATTATGATATTTTATTATTATTATTATTATTTAGCCACCCTGGGTCTCTCTGCGGAGGTCAAGATAGGACGGAATACAAATGTCCGAAATAAATATTATTATTTTTCTAGCCTGCCTTTCTCCCCATAGGGACTCAAGGCTGCTTAGAATAACATTTTTCTTATTAATTTTATTGTTACCATCATTAACTTTATTTCTACCCTGCCTTTCTCTGTTGGAAATCGCAACCTTCTCAAGCCTCCAATATTTATTTGTTATGTATATAATTGCTTACTGTATTGTATATGTGTATTGGTTTGCAATTTTACCTAATTTTTCTGGCATGCCTTTGACAAGTGACCACACATCCCCATATCTGTCCTTGTGACGCACTTTCCCTTGTCTTTAATGAAGGCTCAATCCCATTGGTTGCCCCTTCTGAGCTTCCCCATAGACACATACTTCTCCATTTACTTATCTCACCCAGGGTTTAAGGAGCCCCCGGTGGCGCAGTGGGTTAAACACCTGTGCCGCAGGACTGAAGACCGACAGGTCACATGTTCAAATCCGGGGAGAGCACGGATAAACCCCCTCTATCAGCTCCAGCTCCTCATGCGGGGACATGAGAGAAGCCTCCCACAAGGATGATAAAACATCAAAACATCCGGGCGTCCCCTGGGCAATGTCCTTGAAGATGGCCAATTCTCTCACACCAGAAGTGACTTGCAGTTTCTCAAGTCGCTCCTGATACGAGAGAAAAAACACCCAGGGTTTTATAAATCTTAGTCTGTGCATTTGGCCCATCCGCCGTGCTTTATTTCTTCATCACGTTATTTTGCATCTGTTTATTGCATTTTCTGTTATTTTATGTATCTTATTTTGATGTTATTATTTGCTGTTTGTGTTTTATTTTATGTTGTTGTACTGTAATTCTGGGCTTGGCCTCATGTTAGCCACCCCGAGTCTCCTTTGGGGAGATGGTGAGGGAGTATAAATAAAGCTTCAAGGGTTTTCTTTTCTGTCCCATTGCGCAACTGGAGGGGGAGGCAGCCATGGGAGGATTGATTTGCGTGTCTACCCAGCAGAGGCATTGTGTGTGTTTCCTTCTCTTCTACTAGACAAGGTCAGAGGCTGTGCTATTAAACCTCTGCTAACGGTGATCAAGGCTCTGTATTGTGTTTTTGGATCGGAACATAACTGCATTGCCTTGGAAACATGTGCCTAACCAGCAGGGGCGATGTGTGTGTTTACTTTCCTTCTCTTCTTCCAGCCCCGCAACACTCTCCTCCCCAAATGGAGGGACCAGATTCCTTGCACAAAGAAGCAGATCCTACCTGTCCGGAAGCCTCTTGGATCTTGTCCCGCAGCCGCTGCCGCAAAAGGCCCATCGCAGAGAAGGAGCCAAGCGCTTCCTGGGCCCCTGAGAGGAGATCAAAGGAAACATCTCACTATTACATAATCAACATCAAAAAATCATTCACCCTATACTGATCAAATCCAGCTGTTCTTAAAGTGTGCTCCGGAGAGCCACTTGGGTTTCTGCTGTTATTGTTATTATTAGAAAGGCTGGCTAGCCATCAGTTGGGGGAGCTTTGATTGTGCTTTTCCTGCATAAAGACAGAATAAAGGGAGTTGGGCTGGATGGCTCCAGGGTTGCTGTTATTAATATTACTATTATTATTACAAAGGCTGGGCAGCCATCTTTAAAGGTTTTATATCTTTAAAGATTTTTAATATGTATGTTATATTTTTAAATGGGTTTTTTTCGCGGGCAGTTTTAGGTAATCAGGTTGCTATAAGGAATGTATCGGGTTTTAATCCGTTTTAATTTTTACTTTTTATGTTCATATTGTATTGTTAGCTGTTGCGAGTCTCACTTTGGTGCAGGAGAAAAGCAGGGTAAAAAAACTAAAATAATAAATAATAATAATAATCTGTTGGGGGAGCTTTGGTTATGCTTTCTTTCATGAAGGTGGAATAAAGGGAGTTGGGCTGGATGGCCTCTGGGGTTGCTCCAATTATTATTACAAAGGCTGGATGGCCATCTGTCGGGGGGGGGGGGGGGGGGGGTGATTGTGCTTTTCCTGCCTGGCATAACAAAGGGGGTTGAACTGGATGGCCCTGAGGGCCTTCCACAAAAATACTGTTAAGTTTATGTTGGTCTAAAAGTTTGCAATCGCTTCTCAGCCTTTTGGCTAAGATCAGATGTAGTATCTAAAAGTTTGCCCACGGCTGAGAGCGTGAGCTACTAGCCAAGGCTCTGCAGTGTTTCAGGGATTGGAACGTAACTGTTGACAGTATGTCCCATTGTGCAGCTGGGACATAACATATAAACATTTCTTGAGGCTTCATGAGAAACTGCTTCCAAAAGGGCTCTGCGGCTGAAATAGGTTTGAGAAACCCTGGCCTAATCTAAAGGTTTTACCGTCTCTCCCAGGTGGTTATCATCCCTCAATATTCTACACCAGGCATGGACCCTCCCCCCAGGTGTTTTGAACTCCAACTCCCACAATTCCTAACAGCCTCAGGCCCTTTCCTTTTCCCCCTCAGCCACTTAAGCTAGATGATGGAGTGATAGACCTAAAAGAGGGCTACCTTCATGTCCCAATAGATAGATAGATAAGCAAGATGATGGAGTGATAGACAAGAGAGGCCTACCTTCATGTCCCAATAGATAGATAGATAAGTTAGATGATAGAGTGATAGACCTAAGAGAGACCTACCTTCATGTCCCAATACATAAATAAGCTAGATCAGTGGTTCTCAACCTGGGGTCCCCAGATGTTTTTGGCCTTCAATTCCCAGAAATCCTAACAGGAGGTAAACTGGCTTGGATTTCTGGGAGTTGTAGGCCAAAAACATCTGGGGACCCCAGGTTGAGAACCACTGAGCTAGATGATAAGAGTGATAGACTTAAGAGAGGCCTGCCTTCATGTACTAGACTTAAGCAGCTGAGAGGGAAAAGGAAGGGGCCCAAGGCTATTGGGAATTGTGAGAGTTGGAGTCCAAAACACCTGGAGGGAGGGCCCAAGTTGGCCCATGCCTGCTCTACTATTCAATGCATAAGAAATTAAAGTTAGTTAAGAGATTCCTCTTTAATCAACATAGGAAGTTTATCCATTTCTGCCACTTCGCTTATGTTCATAAGCAGAACGTCTTGGGACGGCATCGTTGAGTCTTTCCATCTTTTGAGTGGAGATCATTTTCTGTGTGTGGAATGTGATAGTCATGTGTTTCCTTTCATCTAGAAAAAGGATTTTTCATTTGTTTGCCTGTGTGGAGGTTTTGTCTTCATTTGTCTAAATAGAAATGAACTTTAAAAACCTGCCGCCTGTGCGGCTTCACAGAAGTCCTCACCCGGCAGGCCATTCTCCTTCCCCTCAATGGGAGATGATCTGGCCAGAACAGGCCCAGCCTTCTTCATGGCGGGCTGCGTTTTCCCAGCGGAAGCCCCTTTCCTGGCTGCAGAGGCCACTTTCTGGCCGTGGAGACCGCCTTCTGCCTCCTTCTTGGCCCCCTTGAACAAGGGGCCCCTTCTCTTCTTCCTCTGCTTCTTCTTTGCTGGTGGGCCATCCTCTCGCATTCTGCCTCCTGGAAAAGGGAAGAAGAAGAAGAATAGATCCATAGCTGCTTTGAGTCTCCTTTGCGGAGAGAAAGAGAGAGGCAATAATAATAATAGATACACAGGTGCTTTGAGTCTCCTTTGAGAAGAGAAAAAGCAGTGTATAAATAAACATCATCATCATATATAACAATAATAACAACAACAATAGAAACATAGCCGTTTAAGTCTTCTGGAAAGAAAAAGCAGGGGAATGATAATAATAATAATAATAATAATAATAATATGTAATACCTAGATACATAGCCACTTTGCATCTCCACTGTGGAGATAAATAGTGGGGCATAAATAATTTGGACAACATCAAGCATGGGCAAGTGAAAAAGGTGGTCAGCAAAGAATATGTTCAAAGAGTCAGAAAGGTTTTGAAGAGCAAATTAAATGGTGGAAATATGATCAAGGTTCTCAACACCTGGATCGTCCCTGTCATTAGATACACTGCTGGGATTATGAACTGAACACTAGCAGATCTGGATGATCTGAACAGAAAAACAAGAAAACTGATGACAATCCACTCCTCATGACACCCGCGTAGTGATGTCAACAGACTTGACCTGCCCAGAAAATCAGGAGGCAGAGAGAGGGCTTCTGCGAGTGAAACAAATGGTAGAAGAAGACAAACACGCACTGGCAGATTATGTGAAAGGCAGTCAAGAACCAACATTGAGTGAAGTCAATAGTAGTAAACTGCTTCAAGTGCAAAAGACAAAGAGGGAATAGAGTAAAAACACAATCCAGAGCAGAAACAAAGACTGGCAAAAGAAGGTGATCCATGGACACTGGAAGCCAAATGGACAAGGAAAAAACATGGCTGTGGCTTACAAATGGAACTTTGAAAAAGGAGACAAAGGAGGGCCTGATTCTGGCAGCCCAAGAACAAGCCATTAGAACCAATGCCATCAAAGCCAGAATTGAAAAGTGAGCAACAGATTTCAAGTGTAGACTCTGCAAGGAAGCAGATGAAACAATAGATCCCATCCCCAGCTGCTGCAAGAAGATCGCACAGACAGACTACAAGCAGAGGCATAACACCGTTGCTCAGATGATTCATTGGAACTTGTGCCACAAACACCATCAGCCTGCGACAAAGAACTGGTGGGATCACAAGCCTGAAAAAGTTACAGAAAATGAACACGTCAAGCTACTCTGGGACTTCTGAATTCAGACAGACAGAATTGTGGAGCATAATACTCCTGACCTCACGAACGTGTTAAAAAACAAAGTATGGATTGTCGATGTTGCAATCCCAGGTGACAGCAGGATTGAAAATAAACTGGAAAAGCTGACACGATATGAGGATTTAGATTGGACTACTGTAATGCGCTCTACGTGGGGCTGCCCTTGGCTCGGAAATTTCAACTGGTCCAATGGGCAGCGGCCAGGATGTTAACTGGTGCTCCTTACAGAGAGAGGTCAACCCTTCTGTTCAAGGAGCTCCACTGGCTGCCGTTTATTTTCCGAGCCCAATTTAAGATTGGGCCACAGCAACGCGTGGCAGGGGACAGCTAGTAATACAATATAATGTTATAGTAATTATAATGATGATGTGTCTCTTGAAGTTTCCTTGTGGGGAGAGAAAGCCAGGCCTAACTGCACCTAGGAAGCCTAAGAAGGCGAGGGCGCGGCGGGCGCGGTTGCCAGACGCACCGTGGGCTCTGCTGCTGCTGCTATCCAGGGCGCAGATCTTCCTGGCCAGGCCCTGCAGGTAGCAGTCCTTCCGGATCAAAGCAGCCATTTCGATCCGGCGGAGAGACCAAGGCGGCCGCTTCCCGCTCCTCTCCTTTCAGGCCTCGCGGACCTCAAGGCAGCAAGCACCACCCCTTCCTTCCGGGCCTAAACAGGAAGTGCAGTCCGGCGGCGGGAATCTTCCCTCCCCTTCCCCGGAAACACTCCGGGCGAAACAAGGTTCCGGGCAAGAACCGTTCCCCAGGGAAGCCAACCGTTTATATCATGGAATCAAAGAGTTGGAAGAGACCTCATGGGCCATCCAGTCCAACCCTATTCTGCCAAGAAGCAGGAATATTGCATTCAAAGCACCCCTGACAGATGGCCATGCAGCCTCTGTTTAAAAGCTTCCAAAGAAGGAGTCTCCACCACACTCCGGGGCAGAGAGTTCCACTGCTGAACGGCTCTCACAGTCAGGAAGTTCTTCCTCATGTTCAGATGGAATCTCCTCTCTTGTAGTTTGAAGCCATTGTTCCGCGTCCTAGTCTCCAAGGAAGCAGAAAACAAGCTTGTTCTCTCCTCCCTGTGGCTTCCTCTCACATATTTATACATGGCTATCATATCTCCTCTCAGCCTTCTCTTCTTCAGGCTAAACATGCCCAGCTCCTTAAGCCGCTCCTCATAGGGCTTGTTCTCCAGACCTTTTATCATTTTAGTCGCCCTCCTCTGAACACATTCCAGCTTGTCAATATCTCTCTTCAACTGTGGTGCCCAGAATTGCCAAGTCTTCACCTGTTTCCTAAACTTCAGGATAGAAGGGGTGGTTCTGCTGTCTAAGATCTTTGGGGAGGGTGTGACCCAATTGTTGATCTAGTTTGCGGATGACTAGGACATCTAGAAAAGGCAGTCTTCCTTCATTTTCTTTTTCCATGGTGAACTGGATGTTTGGGTGGATGCTGTTAAGATGGTGCAGGAACCTGTTGAGTTCTTCTTCTCCATGGCTCCAAATGTTGAAAGTGTCACATCCACATATCTGAACCATATCGTGGGCTTCTTTGTTGCTGTTTCCAGGGCTTGTTTTTCAAAGGGTTCCATGTAGAAATTAGCTATGACTGGGCTGAGAGGGCTCTCCATAGCTACTCCATCTTTCTGTTCGTAGAATTCATTGTCCCACTGAAAGTAGCTTAACAGCATCCAGTTGAAACATTCACACCTAGCTCCAACAGACAGGAGTCCTTTGCCCCACCCTGGTCAGTGCACAGATATATAAACCCATTTTCCTAGTTCCAACAGACCTCACTACCTCTGAGGATGCTTGCCATAGGTGCAGGCAAAACATCAGGAGAGAATGCCTCTAGAACATGGCCATGAAGCCAAGCATGTTTCCCCCCCCCCACCCCCCAATAAGGGATAGTAACAAAGTTTTCCAAGGGCCAAGGACAAGTCTGCAGGACTCCCTTGACTGGTTTAGTGAAATCCTTTGGACCTTTCCTGTTATGAATTATAAGCATATGGTTCCTGCAACATCAACCCTTGACCTTTTTTTCCCTTCCCTTTCCTTATGAAGAGATCCCCCAGGAAACTGCAGAGCTCCAGACATTCCAAAGACCCCAATCCACAATTTCCTTTGCATGAAAAATAAACTGACAGGCGGCTTTGTTCTCGGAGGATTGCCCAACAATGCTGTTTGCCCCCTGGCAGACCTCTAATCATTTTTCTACCTGGAGGTCAGGGGACCCTCGAAAAGCCCCCACCTTCGCACTGGTTGATTTAACTAACTTCCCACTAAGGAACATTCACCCCAGTTTTGCCTTCATTGTCCTCATGTCTGCTGGCTAGTAAAATCCAGATTTTCCTTTACACATGTTGATTCATTCCAATCAAAGCACAATAGATCAGGCTTGCTTGAGACTCCCTCTTTGTCTCACTGGCCACATGGCACTTTTTTTTAGCATTCATCCACAGATCCCTTTGTGTTCTATTGTCCCGCCTCCCTCTCTCCTGATTTGCTGTCGCTGCCAGGTGGCAGAGGCCTCCCCACTGGATCCTACGGACCACTGGAGCTTCCTGATTGGTCCAGAGGCACCGGGGGCGGGAGGGCCGCCTCCCAGCTGTTTGCCCATTGTCCAATCACAGTGGAGGGCAGCAGGCAGGCCGGGAAGTTTGAACTCTGCAACTTTGAATTTTCTATAAATATGGCTGTATCAAATGTATTTCTTTATGCCCTGCTGGCGAATGATCGCAGCTCTGCATCCTTTTCAGCTGGATCGCTAAATAAACCTCGATGGCTTTTCTTCAACCTTGGTGAGATTTATTTGGGAAAAATCAGGGAAAATTCTGGGCCTTTCTCCTCTTTCGCTTGCCAAGGGTTTCGGACTCTCTTTGGTGGGTCTAAGGGCTCCTCTCTCCTGGGCAGGAGCCTTCAAATTCTAGCTCGATACCAGCCATATAGCCCATCTATCTATATAAATAAAAATGTAATGTTCACTAGGTTGCTGTAAGTTTTTTCGGGCTATATGTACAGACAAAATACATATAGTCCGAAAAAACTTACAGCAACCTAGTGAACATTACATTTTTATTTATATAGATAGATGGGAAGGAGTACTAGGTTCTTGAATTCTGAACAATAAAGAGGCCCTTGTGCGTCTTGATGTGTTCCTTTAAGAGAAGACTAAATCCACAGTAACACAGATGGAGCAAAGATCCCTCACATTACATCGTCTGTCTGGCAAAGGGAAAAAGGATCCAGTTTGTTTCGATAGTGTAACAGAGCATGCTTTGGAATTGTGGAGATGCACCCTCTTCCATTTCCCATCACCACTGATTTTCATTTCCTTTTATAGTCAGAACTAGCCACGTTGTCAGCATCAGAACTGGTTTTATTCAATCACCTATTTACAGTCAGGAAACATTTATCCCAATAATGAAACAAACCCACAAACACATCAAACCCGTGCGTTCAAGTCAACTGGCAGGAAAACACTGTCATTAAACGGACATCTAAAGGTTGCCTGGATAATGACAAGAACCCCAAGTATAAGCAGATGCAGCTGATCTAAAGGAAGAACTCTGGGAGGAGGACAAGGGAATGCCCCCCCGATGGCAAGAGCATCCCCCTCCCAGGAGGTTTGAGCAGCACTTCCTCCTTTATTTATTTTGCCTGCCTGTGGCATTTTTGGAGGATCTGATGGGAGTCAAGCGAACGGAATATAATATCATGTCCCCATACAATAAGGTCCAGGGAGGAAGAACAGTTGTCTATTAGCCAGGTGTCAAGGGTGCTATCACCATGTGTTGAGTGGGAACCACGCATTAGCATGCGAGTAACTAAGATGATGGCATAGTCAATGAGTGAAGGCATCTGCACAAAAATTCTGCCCCCCTGACAACAACCACTTTGTCAAGCTACTCAAGAGAAGCAATTGAAACCCACAAGAAGCAAGTGGGGAATTTCAACAGAGAGGAAACAATGAAAATGAACAAAATCTGGCTCCCAGTATTTGAGAAACATCAGGAGACCCTTTCCCTAAGTATGCCAGATCTGCGAGGAATGCAGCGTTTGAACCATTGTCTCTTTTCTCCAGCAGCAAGACTGAATGAAAAAAGGATGGCAAGTATGAACATTGAATGTATGTGAGGGAATGCATGTGAGAGGGATGGTGAGTATGAATGGTGAATATATGTATGGAAGAGAGGGCGAGTAGGAATGTACGTGGAGTGAATGCTGAGGATGTACAATGTTTCCCCTTTTTGATTGTGTAACCAATCTTATCAGATCCAGTGCTGGAATCAGTGTGTCTACTTTATCTGAAAGGGCCTGATGCATTCTGTCCCATTTGAAAACAGATGAAAGGGCATGTTTACGGTTATTAAAAAAAAAAAAGGATTTGTGACACTCCCAGCAGCACGACTGGGGGGGGGGGGGGGGGGGGGGGGGGGCTGCCTTGCTTGGCGTGTGATCTGCTTGCAATATCATACATTTGGTGTTGGTTATTGCTTCCGACTGCAAGGCAACCAAGTAGAGAGCAACAACAAAAAATTATACGAAAAGGAGACCCATTTCCTTTTCCAAAGTGTGCCAGATCTGCAAGGATTGCAGTGTTTGAACATCCATCTCTCTTCTCCAGAAGCATTAGTCTGAACACATGTCAGTGCGTATGAATGTTGAATATATATGGAGTGAACTTATCCAAGTCAGTGAAGGATGGTGAGTCCAAATGGTGAATGTATGTGAGAGAGGGAAGGATGGTGAGTAGGCATGTTGAATGTATGTGGAGTGAATGTGTAGGATATGCAATGTTTTCCCTTTTTGTCTGTGTAGCCAATATTATCAAACCCAGTGCTGGAGTCGGTGTGTCTACTTCTTTCTCTGAAAGGGCCCGATGCACTCTGTCCCACTGAAAACAGGTAAAAGGGCACATTTAAGGTCCAAAAACGGTATTTGCTACACTCCCAGCAGCACGACCGGGGACGCCTTGCTCGGGCTGTAATCCACTTGCAATATCATTTAGGAAACCTTTTCCACCCGCAATTGGCGTCGGTTGTTGCTTCCGGCTGTACAGAGCGGGAGCTCACTTGCACTTGGCCAGGCAGCCTTGGTGGCGCTCCTTGCTCTCAGGGCTATTCGGCGGGGCCTGCTCCATGGCCATTCATGTGCGGGTGGGAGGGCGTGGAACCCTGCGGGGCCGGGAGGGCCTGCTCCAAGGTGTTGGCATTGGCGTTGCTTGTGGGCTGGGGCAGGGAGAGGCTCTCCGGGGAGGAGGCGGCCGTTTCCTGTCTCCAGAAGGCTTCGCAGAGTGGAAGGTCAGTGGCATCAGAGAGGCTGCAGCTTTCAGAGCGAGAGCAAGAGAAAGAAAGAAGGAAGGGAAGCAGCCAGTGCCAGAGAGTAGGAAAGAAAGAGAGAAAGAGAAGAATGCAAGACAGAGGCAACAGTGTTAAGAAAATAGCAAAATGGCTCAAGAAGCAGCAATAGCAGCAGCAAGGCTGGTTAGCACATTCCCCCAAAGCTCCCCCCCTCCACCGCCCCATAAGAAATGCTTAGATTGACCATGTAATAATGAAAATTAGGTAAAGGATTGAAAACAAAATACTTGTAATGTGGAAGAGCCCACAGACTGCCGACAGTGTTTGGAAAGGAAGCCGATGCAAAAAAATAAAAGGGCCGCTCTGCGTAGCATCCTTGCACAAGACTGCGTATCATTTACAAAAGGAAGAAATGGTGGCAGGGAAGCAGATTATAATTTATAGTATTATAATGTAATACAATATAATACTAATATAATATAATATAATACAAATAATACAATATTATAATTCTATATTTTATATTACATGTAATATTACTAATAATATTACAATATAATGGTGTAGTACAATGTAGTAATATATAATACTGATATTGTACTATGCTAGTAATGTAATATATTGTATGTATATATATCTTGTAAGCCGCTCTGAGTCCCCTTCGGGGTGATAAGGGCGGCATAGAAATGTCATAAATAAATAAATAGGTCAACAGAAAGTTGTAAATAAATAAAATTTTATATTTATTATTTATTTATTATTCGAACTTATATGCCGCCACTCTCCTGGGGCTCAGAGCGGCTTACAAGAATGGCTAAAATCTAACACAATTTAAAACAATTTAAAAACAGCAATATCAAAAATCCATGGCCTGTCGAAACAGGTATGTCTTACATGCCCTGCGGAAAGCTGATAAGTCCCGCAAGACACGGACTTCAGGTGGCAGAGTATTCCAGAGTGATGGTGCCACTGCTGTAAAGGCTTAATAACTTATATGGATTAATAACTTATTATTATTATAATTGATAATATTGTAACTATAATCTATATTATAATTATAATTGATCATTAATATTATAATTATAATTGATAAATGATAACTTATTAGTATATTAGAACTTATTCATTCTTAATCACTCCTCTTTTCCTTTTTGCCATGTACTTTATATTTGCAATGATTTAACTGACAACAACTCATCCCCCCCTTTATCTCATTATTTCATTAACCTTCTTTCCCCCACCTTGTGTTGTAAAAATCGGAAATGCTCAATTAATAAATAAACATTAAAGAAAATAGCAAAGTGGTTCAGGAAACAGCAATAGCAGCAGCAGCAAGGCTGGTTAGCACATTCCCCCAAAGCTCCCTCCGCCTCCCGCCCCATAAGAACCTGCCTCTGCCCAGGGTTGGAAAGGAAGCCAAAGCAAAACAATGGTGGTTTGCATAGGATCCTTTGTCCTGGCTGCACAAGGCTTAGAAGCAGACAAGAAACAGGAAAGGAGGCTACAAAGCACCGGAGAAGTTAGGAGCAAGCTGTGTATGAAGGGAAGGGAGAGGCCCTGGAGAAGTAACCCAATAAAACAATGCAAACATGGGGAAATAATAATAATAAATAATAATAAAACATAAAATAAAAATTAGGGAAATGATAATAATAAAACATAAAATAAAAATTAGGAAAATAACAATAATAAAACATAATCATTAATAAAATAATAATAAAATAATAAAACATAATAAAATAAATAATAATAATAATAATGGGCTGTAGCACAGCTGGTTAATTGTCAGCAGCTATAGATTACTGCCAACCAGAAAGTGGCAAGTTTGAAGCCCTATTTGGATTGGGCACCCGACTGTCAGCCTAAGCTCACTATCCACCTAAGCATGTCCACATAAGTTCGAAAACAGCTGAGTTGTGAGTAGAGAAATTAGGCACCGCTTAAGCAGGAAGGCACCATAAAAATGATGGCAATCAAAGAACAAGGAGGAAAATTCTACAATCAAAAAGGACTTGTCACATTGGATGGAGCAACAGCACCCCCCTGTGGCTTGAATCGAGCTTAACCGACGTTGGAAAATGCCGAAATACCTCTCTCTGTCTGTCTTGTATGTCGGAAACAGCATTGAATGTTTGCTGTGTATTGTGATCTGCTCTGAGTCCCCCCTTTGGGATGAGAAGGGTGGAATATAAATACTGTAAATAAATGAATAAAATAATAATAACCATAATAAAATATAACAATACAAAATTAAATAATAATAGAATATAACAAATAAAAATAATAAAATTTTAAAATCCGTAACAACAACAACAATAAACATGGGAAGGGGTAGATATCCACTGCTCTTTTTATTTTACAACCAAGTGTATAGATATCTTTATGGAAGAGCTTTAGGACCTAAGTGTTTTGCTCTCTGATTTTGAAAACTGATTTTTCAAGAAATATACCATGAAAATAAATATATAAAAAACATTATAAAAACCAAGGCGGTCTGTTCTTTATAGTCAACAGGTTTGGCATCGCTGGGAGAACTTAAAATCATGGGAAATAATGAACCCAGCAGGGAGAAAAGAGAGGTTCCACTTCAGCCTGGGGAAGTTGCGTGGTTCCTCCTTCCTTCTCTGGAGGTTTTTAAGCCGAGGCTGGCTGGCTCTCTGCTGGGAGGGCTTTGATTGTGTCTTCCTGCCAAAGCTTCCAGCAAAGTAAAGGAAAACCTTGGGGTGCATCTATGCTGTAGAATGATTCCACTTAACTGCCTTGGCTTGATGCTATGGAATTCTGGGGGGTGTAGTTTTGCAAGGCCTTGCGCCTTTGCTGCTTAGTCCTAAACTTTGTTTTCATATTGGCTTTATTTACCACTTCACTGGATGCGTTGTAACAGCAGATTCCCAGATTAGTTTAGTGTTTACACCTTATTTTATTTTTGGTTATTTAATATTTCTTTTCTTAAGCGATAGTGTTCCCTCACTTATCGTGGGCATTACATTCCAGGACCACCCACAATAAGTGAAAAATCACAATGTAGGGACTCTATATTTATTTTAATATCTATACATTATTTTAGTAGTTATGCACTATTTTAAGTCTTTATTAACTTAAAATAAAGTGAAGGAAAGAAAGGCCCTTCAAGGCTGGAGGGAGGACTGAGGAGGGAAAGCGCCTCGGAAAGCGGCGACGGCAAAACCCCCGCAAAACAGCAAAAATACAACGATATATATTTTAAATTAATAGTTTTTGAAAAACGCAAAACAGCAAGTTCGCTAAAAGCAAACTGCGAAATAGCAAGGGAACACTGTAATGTGGATCATCTTCCTTGATATGCTGGATTACATGGCAGTGTAGAAGGGGCCTGAGACCATAAGGAGAGGAGATCCACAACAGATCAGGGCTTGCGGGAAACATGCCTGGAGGCCATGTTCAGATCGACTGCAATATCGTTTGAATGTCACTCTATGTAGGAATATTCCTAGAGGCCACCCCCTCTGTACCCCTTTTTGGAGCTGGGGTTGTTGCCCCAAACGCATGGGACCAAGAGCCTGCTGGGAGGGCAGGAGAGGTTTGCAAGGCAGCTTCTTCCCGGCATCTGTTCATCTGTCTGTCTGTTTCCAGGGCTTTCATTTGTACCTGGAGGAGTAATACTCTTCTTCCAGCTCGTACAGGTCAACAGAGATCTCATCCCTCAGTGTAATGAGCTTGCGGTCGCACTCCTCCTGCAGAGCGCGCAGCTGCTGGTTGCGCTGGTTGATGGCCTCGTTGACCGATGGGAAGTCGTTCAGGATCAGGAATTGCTTCAGGTCTGAGACCAGCTTCATGAGCGACTCTCCTGCCCGGACCTGCATTAAAGGAGAAGACGAAGAGGGCGTTCACAGACTCCAGCAAAGCAGGACTCCAACTCCCAGGTGCCCTTGCTCAGACCTGAGCCAACTTGGGTACTCCTTCCAAGTGTTTTGGACTTCAACTCCCACAATTGCAGTTGAAGTCCAAACTACCTGGAGGGAAGGCCCAAGTTGGCCCAGGCCTGGGCTAGCCAGTTTGTTAAATGGTCAGGAATCCTGAGAGTTGGAGGCCCAAACAGCTGGAGGTGGAGAAGGCCTGCAGTAAAGGGTCATTCAAAGAGGCCTCATTCCTCATTGCATTAGGAGGCAAGAGAAAGTACCAATACTACTACTAAGATGCTATTATAATTGTATATTTTATAATATACTACTAATAATAATATGCTATTATAATTATATATTTTATATTACATGTAATATTACTAATAATATCACAATATTATTTATTTATTTATTTACTGTATTTGTATACCGCCTTTCTCAGCACGTAGGCAACTCAGGGCAGTTATCAGGGCAAAATTCAATGCTTACAATGTCATAAATACAATTAAAAACATAACATATAATAAAAACTAAACAAATCAATAAAATATAGTAGTATAGTACAATATAGTAGGAGCCCCCGGTGGCGCAGTGGGTTAAACCCCTGTGCCGGCAGGACTGAAGACCGACAGGTCGCAGGTTCGAATCTGGGGAGAGGTGGATGAGCTCCCTCTATCAGCTCCAGCTCCTCATGCAGGGACATGAGAGAAGCCTCCCACAAGGATGATAAAGACATCAAACCATTCGGCGTCCCCTGGGCAATGTCCTTGCAGACAGCCAATTCTCTTACACCAGAAGCAACTTGCAGTTTCTCAAGTTGCTCCTGACACGACAAAAAAACAACAAAAAAGAACCCCAATATAGTAATATATAATACTGATATTGTACTATGCTAATAATATAATATATTGTAAGCCAGTCTGAGTCCCCTTTGGGGTGAGAGGGGCGACATATAAATGCAGCAAATAAATAAATAAATAAATAAAAGGGGCTAATAATCAAGGTTCTGTTAGGATGGCTGAGATGATGCCTTCCTTTCTCGCGGGAAGGGGTGGGACTGGATGGCCCTTGGGGGTCCCTTCCAACTCTTGAATACCGGTCATATGTCTGTCTCAATACTCGTTGGCCATGTGTTGGGAGGGGTTTGATTATCTCTTGATTTATGGCAGAAAGAATTGGATTGGATGGCCTTTAGGAGTCTCTTCCATTTCTAGGTGTTGTCTGTAGGCATGTGGCCAATGGCATGATAGCATGGAGCACTGTTACGTTCCTGCCGGTATGTTTTCGAACTGCTAGGTTGACAGAAGCTGGGCCTAACAGCGAGAGCTCACCCCGCTCCCCAAACTTGAACCGCAGACCTTTCCATCAGCAAGATTCAGCAGCTCAGCGGTTTAATATAATACTAATAACAATACAATAATATAATTATATATTTTATATTACATGTATATTACTAATAATATTGCAATATAATGGTGTAGTACAATATAGTAATATATAATACTGATATTGTACTATGCTAATAATTTAATATATTGTATGTATATATATAATATATCTTGTAAGCCATTCTGAGTCCCCTTCAGGGTGAGAAGGGCGGCATCTAAATGTTGCAAATAAATAAATAAATAAATAAATAAATGGTGCACCACCAGAGGCTCCTAGGATTCTGATACATACATACATACATACATACATACATACATACATATATATATATATATATATACACACTAGCTGTCCCCTGCCATGCGTTGCTGTGGCCCAGTCTGGTGATCTGGAAAATAAATAATGGTTTCTAATATATATAATTCCTTTATGATTGTGGGTAAACAGTATTCCTTGTTGTTTATGGGTCAGTGTTGTTGTGGAGATTGTTTGGTTTGCCTACTCTGGAATATGCAACATATCAGTGTCCTTCTTTAGGGGTCCCTTTCAAATCTTTGATACTATATCTCTGTGTGCGTGAATCATATCTCTCTCTCTATTTATATCTATGGCAGGATGGCTCTTTGTCAGGAGGACTTTGATTACGTTTTCTTGTCCTGATGAAGGGAGTTGGATTGGATGACTTTAAGTATTTTCTGTTGTTATGATGGGTTCTGTGTGGGAAGTTTGCCCTGATTCTGTCGTTCGTGGGGTTCAGAATGCTCTTCTGATTGTAGGTGAACTATAAATCCCAGTAACTACAACTCTCAAATGTCAAGATTCTATTTCCCCAAACTCCATCTATGTTCATATTTGGGCGTATTGAGTCCTTGTGCCAAGTTTGGTCCAGATCCATCATTGTTTGAGTCCACAGTGCTCTCTGGATGTATGTGAACTACAACTCCCAAACTCAAGGTCAATGCCCACCAAACCCTTCTAGTGTTGTCTGTGGGTCATGGGAGTTCTGGTGCCAAGTTTGATTCAATTCCCTCGTTGATGGAGTTCAGAATGCTCTTTGACTGTAGGTGAACTATAAATTCCAGCAACTACAACTCCCAAATGACAAAATCCTAATTTTTTGAGTGATGGTCACTCCTTGTGTTGTGAGACGTTTTGTTGCCAAATTTGGTGTGATTTCGTTCATTGGTTCTTTTGTTTTTAAGGAACTCATTATGCACAGAGCATTTGACTCAGTCTAAAGCACTATTCAATCTAACTGGAACCTCAATTTTCAAAACTTCAAAAGCATTTTTTTTGCTGGCAAACGTAATGTACAGCAGCAAAAAAGTGCACTTTTTTTGTAATTTGACCCAAAAGGATGAGCATTAGATTTGAGTAAATATGGTCCATCAATTGTATCTATGTCTACCTCTCTCAATCATCTGTCTCTTTTTGTATCATATCCATGGCCATCTATCAATGCTGTCTGGACATCTGTGGGGAGGGGGCTGAAATAAATAAGCAAACAAACAAATCCGGAGCACGAATGTGCACCAGGCCCAAGGAGGCACTCACAATGTTTGCTGCCCGGACGTGCATCTCGTAGTTGTCCTGCTCGCCTTGCGTCGCCCGTGAGACCTGGGTCTCTTCCTCGATCTGGAGGGAAAGGCAGGCAGGGGGTGAAGGCCGGGGGAGGGAGGGGGAGTGACTCCAGATCTTCCCTGCGCGCCTGCAAAATGCAGACTCAGGCAGGGCAGGCCAATGCAACTCAAGTGCAGATAGAGCAGGGAGGCGATGGGGCCCTCAAGGCCCATGAAGGGAGGGAAGGGAAGAGAAGGAATAAGAGGAAGGAGATGAAAGGAAGGGAACAAGGAAGGAATTGAAGAAGGGGAAGAAGGAAAAGGGAAGGATGGAGAGGAAGAAAGGGAAGAGAAGGAAGTAAGGGGAAGGAGAAGGAAAGACAAGAAGGGAAGGAAGGAGAAGGAAGAGGCAAGGAATGATAAGAGAAATAAGACAAAGGAGATATGTGGATAGAAGGAAGAGTACGAGGAAGGAATTAATGAAAGGGATGAAGGAAAGAGAAGAAGGAAAGAAAGGAAGAGAAGAAATGGAAGAGGAAGGAAAGACAAGAAGGGAATGGAAGGAAGGAGATGGAAAGAAGAAAGGAAGAGGAAGGAAAGAAAAGAATGAGAGAAAGGAATGAAGGGAAGAGGAGAAGGAAGGGAAAAGGGAAGAGACAAAGCTTCGAGGGGAGAGAAGGAAGGAACAAGAGAATTAAGGGAAGGGAGGAAAAGTAAAGGAAGGAAGGAAAGAGAGGGATGAGAAGGAAGTAAGTGGAAGGAGATGGAAAGAGGGAGGGAAGGAAGTTAGGAAAGAAAAGAAAAGAAAGGGAGGGGAAGGAAGGGAATAAGAAAGGAATTGAAAAAGGGATGTGTATTGAAAGAAGTGAACAAGGAAAGAATGAAAGAAGGGGAGGAAGGAAAGAGTGGAGGAAAGCAAGGAGATGGAAGGAAAGGAACAAGGAAGGAATTAAAGAAGGAGAAGTAGGAAAGGGAGGGAAGGAAGGAGTGGAAGGGAACAAGGAAAGAAAGACAAGAAGGGAAGGGAACGCGAGCAAGGAGAGAGAAAGAGGAAAGATAGGAGGGAGGGAGGGAAGGGGAGAAAGAGGAAGGGAAGGGAAAAGGGAAGGAAAAAGGGGAAGAAGGAAAAGGAAGGAAGGAGAGGAGATGGAAGAGAAGGAAGTAAGGGGAAGGAGAAAGACAGACAGGGAGGAAAGATAAGAGAAGTAAGACAAAGGAGATATGTGGATGGAAGGAGGAAGAGAACAAGGAAGGAATTAAGGAAGGGGAGGAAGGAAAAGTGGAGGAAGGAAGGAAAGGGAGGGAGGGAAGAGAAGGAAGTAAGAGGAAGGAGATAGAAAGACAGGGAGGGAAGGAAAGGAATAAGAATGGAATCAAAGAAGGCAAGGAAGGAAAGAAGGGGAGGGAAGAGAAGGAAAGATAAGAGAAGACAAAGGAGATATGGGGATGGAAGGAAGGAACCCCGGCCCAAATTCAGACCGGGCCGCCAGGCAGACTTCCAAGAGGGCAAGGGCACGCAACCGGCGGCGCCGGCCTTCCGCGGCCGGCGCTTGGCTGAGCCCGCCTGGCCCCGGCCGCCCGCACGCTCCGCCACGTCCGCTCCCGCCCTCTCTGGCTGGCCCGCCGCACCCACCCGTAAGGATTACGCCCAGTAGGACCGGCAACGGACTGGCCAGACCGTAAGGCCGGATCGGTGCACGGGCAGGTCGGCCGGGGCCGCGGACAAGGAACCCTGCCTCACGCAGGAGCGGCCGGCCCAGTGCCGGGCCGGCGGGCCGAGGGTGCCGTCCGTGGAGCCGGCGGCTGACCCGACCCCGGGCGGCGGGCCGGACGCCAAGGCAGAACGCGAATCTGGCGGCAGGCCATCTATGTCTGGCCAGACGCCGCCCGCACGGACGGGCTTCCGGAACAGCAGTAGTCCGGCGAGGCGCCTGCCCGGAGGGCCACCCGCCCGCCGTGGCCGCCGCCCCGGGCGCCCGGCGCGGCCCCGCGGGGGGCCGACCTGCGGCCGGCTGGCGCCGGCCGGCCTTCCCGCCGGGGCCGCCCGCTGCGCCTCGCGGCGGCCGGCGGCCCCCGAGGCCGCTCCGGCCGTCCACGGCGTCGCTGGCCGGCCGGGCGGCGGCCTTTCCCGCGCGTGCCGCCGGACCTACTGGCCGGGCCGCACAGCGCTGGCCGGCCTTCCGCCCGGGTCGGCCGGCCCACGTGCAGGCCGGCCGGCCCGGGCGGGCGCGTCCGCGCCGCCAGTCCGCGCAAGGAGCTGCCGCTGGGCGGGCCTGAAGTTGGCCGGCGCCGGCCGGACCGGCACCGGCCGGCCCGACCGCCCAGGGCCGCGCGGGAGGGGCAGGCCTAGGCCGCGCCCCCTGGCCGGCATACCCGCCAGGGGCCGCCTGCCCGCCTGGCCGCCCGGCCCCCGGCGAGCCTTCCGCGGTGCCGTCGGCCCGGGCCCGGCCGCCTGGGTGGCCGGGCCCCCCTGCCGCCCCGCGGTGGCGCCGCCCGCGCCGCGCCCCCCTGCCCGCGCCACGGACCGCGGTGCGGGCCGTGCAGCCCGCGCGGACCCGCGGCCCCGCTGGCGCCGGCCGGCCGGGCCGCCGGCTTCCCGCGAGGGGCGCGCCTGCCGCGTGGCCGGCCGGCCCGTCCGGACTTCCGGCCGGGCCGGACCGACCGCTTAGCCGAAGTGGCCCGGCCGGCCCCCGGCCGCGCCGGCCGTACCGGACTTAGCTTGGCAGGACGGGCACCCGGCAGGCCTCCACCGGCCGGGGCCGCCGCCGGCCGCCGCTGGCCGGAGTGGAAGGAAAGAAAGGAAGGAATTAAGGAAGGGGAAGAAAGAAATATTAGAAGAGGGGAAGGAAGGGAAAAGAGGAAGAGAAGGAAGTACGAGGAAGTAGATGGAACGAAGGGAACAAGGAAGGAATCACAGAAGGGGAAGGAAGAAGGAAGCAGATGGAAGGAAGGAAACAAGGAGAGGGAAGCAATGAAAGAGGAAGGAAAGGGGATGGAAGGAAAAGACTAAGAGGAAGAAGGATTCTCAACCTGGCCTACAACTCCCAGAAATCTCAGCCAGTTTATCAGCTGTTAGGATTTCTGGGAGTTGTAGGCCAAAAACATCTGGGGACCCCAGGTTGAGAACCACTGAAGGCGATCAGGGAGCGGAAGGGGCGGGCCTTCGCTCGTCTCCATGGCAACCCCTCCCTCTCCGCCATCTTGCCGTTTCCATGGCGACCCCTCCTTCCCCTCCCCCCCTCACCTTGGCGGTCTTGACGATTTCGGCGAAGTTGTCGGCGAGGGAGCGGGCGTCGTCGCGGAGGCGCTTGTTGTAGGACTGGAGAAGCGCTTCTTTACTCTGAGGCAACGCGCGCACACTAGGCCCCGCGCCGGGAACCGACGACATGGCCGCCGACTTTTCCCAAACGGGAGACACGTCTGCGCAGGCGCGGACCCCCCTTGACCCAAGTCTCGCGAGATCCGTGCCTGTTGTCGCTGTCCCTCCGCTTGAGATATATTTCCCGGCGTGCCTCGCTTCTTCCTTTTCTTCTCTAGGCCGCCGCCTGACAAGATGGTGAGTAGAGCTGAGGGAGGGGAGGGGGCCGCGCTGCATCGGGCGCCATCCGGGCTCGGGCGGACTGCTCCGGGCGGC